ACCTCAGGGAAATTATTTTTTCCTGTCTGTCCCCTCCGGACCCACAAGTGGTTTGCCCCAAACCCCCTGGAGAGCCTCAGGGCAGCACGGATGAGACATGGAGTCCAGATGCTTCCAGCAAGTGCTCCACCCAGGAGAGGCCCTCTGCCCAGATGTGGGGTCCCTCTGTCCACATGGATGTCTCATCCATGGCCCCGTTGCAGAGCCAGCAGAGGCCAAAGGACCCGGAGGAAGGTGGAGCAGGATTGGACTCACAAGGCTCAGCTGCTCATCGCATTAAGCATAGTTAAGAGGTAGTCAGGGGCCCGGCTGGCCTGGCTCAGTGGTTGAGTGTCAACCTACCAACCAGGAAGTCATGGTTTGTTTCCCAGTCAGAGCACATGCCTACATTGCAGGCTCGAGCCCCGATCGTGCAGGAGGCAGCCGATCAATGATTCTCTCTCATCATCGATGTTTCTTTCTCTCCCTTTCTCTCTGAAATCAATAATATAGTTTTAAGAAAATACTAGTCAGTGGGGACAAAAGTTATATCTATAACTTGGGTCCGTGTCTTGGGCATGAGCCGTCACCTACCAGACCACCATGAGACAGCACGTGACCTTGCGGATGGCCGGGGTTCGGAAGAGATCCAAGACGGAGGTGGAAGTGCGGACGCTGGTAAACTCGCTCTGGATGTAGGAGCTCACCACCTGGGCCGAGAGAGCTCCATCAGGGGACAGGAGGGATCCGAGACCATGTTTCTCTGCTGGCCATCCCTCCATCCATGGAGGGGAGGGCCAAGGTCAAAGGCCCTGGCAAGATGGCCAGTCCTACTCTCTCCCTATCTTGGGGCTGTTGCCCTCACCTGGCTGTACCTGGGGATTTGGGATGAAGCCGAGGCTCCCAGAGTCCCACGGCTCCTGGGCTGCCTGCTGCTTAGGCTGAAGGAGCCACCTGTGTTCCAGTGGGGCCCTCACGCCCCGTCCTTGGTGGAGACTCTGAGATGGGCTTGGCCAATGGCGAAGAGCAGGGGTTCTGAGAGGTTCTGACCCTTCCCACGGTGTGTTCTCAGGCAAATTACCTGACCCACCCAAACGGCATTTTCCTCATCAGCAAAACTGAGGCATTAAAGGACTTAGCATACATGGTGCTCAATAAATGTACTTATTTACAATAAAGTAGAGGCCCAGTGCACAACATTCGTGCATGAGTAGGGTTCCTAGTGGCTGCCAGCTGCTGGCCCCGGCCTCCCTTCATTCCGTGTCACCTCCCGGTGGTCAGCGCATGTCATAGCAAGCAATCAAACTCCCGGTAGGTTGAACTCCTGAGGGGACACTTTGCATATTAGGCTTTTATATAGAGAGATCATAAATAGTGTTTATAATAAATGGCACTTTTACTATTAATTCTTCAATAATTTTACTTCATGATCGCTATTTTAATATTTTCATTTTGTTTCCATTCTGGCTGGATGTCAGTGTTGAGTGGTAATCTCCCCATTACACAGTCGGATAGTCTGATGGACAAAGCAGCTGGCATTTCGATCCCAGATTGCACAGCCATTCAATGGTTAACACCTTTGCTGCACGGCCTCGTCCAGCTCTGCCTCCCTCCAGCCTCCTCACCTGGATGGTGGGTGAGTCCCAGGAGCTACTAAATGAGTCCTAGCACATCTCGAGGCCACCAGCACGAATGCAAACTGTCCCTCCCGCCCATCCGCCTACCTCCTGGGTCAGCCTCTCCCCTTCCTCCTTCCTCCCGTTCATGGCGGCCACCTTCCGCAGGTTCTGCACAGCCCGCTGGGACTTGCCGTGGAGGAGGAGCCACCGGGAGGACTCTGGCAGCCACCTGAGAGCAGCAGGAGAAGGAGGAGGAGGAGGGGGAGGAGTGACCAGGGCTGAGTGGAATCACTCCATTCCCCAAACGCAAACATGGCCTCAGTCACCTTCGTTCAGACCTCAAGGGAGATGAGATGCCCTGCCCTCCGCAGAGTCAGGAAGACGGGGGAGGGGGGACGGGTGGGGGGTGGAGAGACATGACACGCCAGATTCCCTGTTTCACAATACATCACACAGGGACCCACTGGGGACACTCAGAGACCGCTGGGGGCTGGGGACCAGGACAGGTGGGTTTGAATCTGGGTGTGACCCGGTGTGTGGCCCTGAGTTAGTCATGGACCCTCCCTGGGCGGTGCCTCAGGCCCCTCCTGTGAAATGCCGGGAGGTGGTAGTGAGGCCAGAGGAGCTGACGGAGGCAGAGGCCCTCAGACTGTTCCGGAAGCCAAGGGAGGGATTTCACGGAGCTCCCACTGGGCGTCCGTGGTCCGCTGAGCCCCGCCCTCCGTGTCACCCGCCACCACACGCAGCAAGCCCCACCGCCGCACACCCGGCCTGCCAGAGGGACGGGTGCCCACACAGGGCCCCTCCCACCCGGCTGCTCGGGACGTACCAGGAGTAGAGGGAGAAGACGAGGAAAGGCACCGAGACGGCGAACTGCAGCCAGCGCCAGGGCCGGACCAGGTACGCCACGCCGGCCAGGATGAGCTGCCCCAGGGTGAAGGAGAAGCCCAGCAGCACGCCCGCTACGGTGCGGCCCCGTGTGGGCATCCACTCCACGACTGCGGGGGAACACGCGGGCTCAGCTGCTCCCCAGGAGCTCGCTCGGCTCCCCCCCTCAGGGACCCCACCGACTCCCCGCACACAGCGGGATTCCAGACGGACCGATGACCCGAATTAAACCCCACCACCTCAAACGTAGTAGAAGGAATCGTGACAGGTTGTTTTCTCGATCTGAGAGCCAGGAAAGGCTTTCCTAAGAATGTCACAAAACCCAGGGGCAATGAAAGGAAAGATCGATAAACTCGACCTCATAAAAATGAGCAGTGTCTGCATTAAAAAGACAAACGACAACAGCAAAGCCCACCATAAGCCGAGTCATAAAACCAGCAAAAAAGTGACAAAGGGAAAAATTGCAACTCAACGGATAAAGGGCGAAAATTGGAAAATTGGAAAAATTCTCACAGATCAGGCAGGCCAGCACGGCTCAGGGGCTGAGCACCAACCTAGGAACCATGGGGTCACGGTTTGATTCCCGGTCAGGGCACAGGCCCAATTGCGGGCTCAATTCCCAGTCGGGGGCATGCAGGAGGCAGCCAATCCATGATTCTCTCCCATCGTCGATGTTTCTCTCTCTCTCCCTCTCCCTTTCTCTCTGAAATCAATAAAAATATATATTTTTTAAAAATCTCACAGACCAGCCGAAGCCGGTTTGGCTCAGTGGTAGAGCGTTGGTCTGTGGATTGAGGGGTCCCAGGTTCGATTCCAGTCAAGGGCATGTACCTTGGTTGTGGGCACGTCCCCGGTAGGGGGTGTGCAGGAGGCAGCTGGTCGATGTTTCTCTCTCATAGACATTTCTACAATAGCTCTCTATCTCTTTCCCTTCCTCTCTGTAAAAAAAATCAATAAAATATATATATTTTAAAAAATCTCACAGATCAGTAGAAAAACAATCAAAAGGAAAAGCAGGCAAATGACGTGAACAGTTGAAAGGAAAGGAAATATAATAGTTCTTATTTCCATGATTTCTTTTGTAGACAGCAAACTGTGGAAACAGCCTGCACACCCACACCGGGGGGCTGGTGCCACGTAAAAGACGGGGAGTCAGCACCTTTGCAGCCCAGGTGACCCCCAGCCTTCGGACCCCCAGAGTCTCAGCGCGGCCTGCAGCCCGGGGCCACGGTCTGCCCCCCTCTGCGCCGCCACACGGAGAGCCTGGCACACAGCGGGTGCGTAGGAAGTGGTGTTATTGACGCATTCACACGGGAGCAAACCCAGCCCCTCAGCTCCCTCGCTGATGGCAGATCACGGCCCAGGCCACGGCCAGGCCTCTCGGGGCCCGGCCGGGAGGCTCTGAGCGGAGGTCACTGGTGCGAATCCCGCACAGGACACAGGTCGGTGTCTGAGGAGGGGGCTGCCTTGCCGCCTTCCGCCAGCCCCCTCCGGCCCCTCGGCTGGACTCACCCAGGGAGAGGGAGTTGAGGATGATGCCGGAGAAGGTCATGCCCATCAGGAAGCGGAAGACGCAGTAGGCGCTGAAGGAGCTGAAGTAGGCCGCCGCCGCCCCCGACACCGCCAGCTGCAGGTACGACCAGACCAGGGGGCCCTTCCGGCCCAGCCTGCCCAGCCGCGGCCCAGTGAGGTCCCGCAGCGGCCGAAGGAGGGCGAACACAGCTCTCCCGCCCCGCTCCAACCTGGAGCTGCCCCTCCCACTGCCACCCACTGCCACCCTCCCACTGCCACCCTCCCACTGCCACCCACTGCCACCCCTCCCACTGCCACCCCTCCCACTGCCACCCTCCCACTGCCACCCTCCCACTGCCACCCACTGCCACCCCTCCCACTGCCACCCTCCCACTGCCACCCTCCCACTGCCACCCACTGCCACCCCTCCCACTGCCACCCTCCCACTGCCACCCTCCCACTGCCACCCACTGCCACCCCTCCCACTGCCACCCTCCCACTGCCACCCACTGCCACCCTTCCCACTGCCACCCACTGCCACCCTCCCACTGCCACCCTCCCACTGCCACCCGGAGCTGCCACCCACAGCCACCCCTCCCACAGCCACCCTCCCACTGCCACCCTCCCACTGCCACCCACTGCCACCCCTCCCACTGCCACCCTCCCACTGCCACCCACTGCCACCCCTCCCACTGCCACCCTCCCACTGCCACCCCTCCCACTGCCACCCTCCCACTGCCACCCACTGCCACCCCTCCCACTGCCACCCACTGCCACCCCTCCCACTGCTACCCCTCCCACTGCCACCCTCCCACTGCCACCCCTCCCACTGCCACCCCTCCCACTGCCACCCACTGCCACCCTCCCACTGCCACCCTCCCACTGCCACCCGGAGCTGCCACCCACAGCCACCCCTCCCACAGCCACCCTCCCACTGCCACCCTCCCACTGCCACCCACTGCCACCCTCCCACTGCCACCCTCCCACTGCCACCCTCTCACTGCCACCCTCCCACTGCCACCCACTGCCACCCTCCCACTGCCACCCACAGCCACCCCTCCCACAGCCACCCTCCCACTGCCACCCTCCCACTGCCACCCACTGCCACCCTCCCACTGCCACCCTCCCACTGCCACCCACTGCCACCCTCCCACTGCCACCCTCCCACTGCCACCCTCCCACTGCCACCCGGAGCTGCCTCTCCATAGCAGGACCTTCAGCCCGGGGCCGGGCACGGGTGGCAGAGCTGGCCCGGAGGGAGCGGATGGTGTGGGAGAAAATGACAATGAAGAGGCGTGTGCCCTCCCTCCCTCCCTCCCTCCCTGGAGCAGTTTCTGGCCCCACTACCAGGCGGCTGGTGCCAGGGCCGGGCTCTGCCGAGGCCAGAGGCGGAGCGTGGGCGGCCCGAGCTCATGGCGGGGCCTCGGCAGGGAGACCGGGACCCAGGGCCAAGTCTTCATTGAAACTGGCTGCTGGGGAGGCCACGCTGGACGGGGCTTGTCACACCCAGAGGGTCCGAGGCCAGGGCAGCGGGTCATCGCACCCCCAGCTGTGGGGGGCAGCAGGGCGGCAGGCCGAAAAGGGGCGGCTGGGTGTTCTCCACACCCGGGACACACTCGCTCATTCCCCCGTTCACTGGGTGCCAAGCTGTTCACCACCTCCTGAGTGAAGGGCCGCTGGGCGGTGACAGGGAAGACACCAGGGACAAGACACACACGCTCGCACCCAGGAGCCCAGGCTCCCACCAAGGGCAGCGCCCTCCAGAGGGCGGGTGTGGAATCAGGAGGCCCCCCCAGAACCTGGACTGGCAATGGCGAGGGGGCCGCGGGGGAGGGGAGGAGGAAAGGGGGAGGGGGGGTAAGGGGAGGAAGGAGAAAGGGGCCCAGAGGAGGCGGTGTGTGTGTGGGGGGGGGAGGGGGCTGACTGGCCGGCCCCACCGGTGCACTTCCTGCTGCCTCCCTTTCGGGGTGCAGAGGACAGTTGGGGCGCAGTCAGCTCTGACTCCTCCGGGTGGGACGCGGTGGCAGAGGGAGGTGGGGGGCACTTTCTGAGGGACAGGCCGGGCCTTGCGAGGAAAAGGCAGCCTCGGTGAGGGGAGGAGGGGCCAGCTCAGGGCTCCGGGCTCCGGGGCAGGAGTGTCTGGGGAGGGGCCCAGGCAGGGCAGCCCGAAGGCACGGGGGCGGGGTGGCCCTGGGTGGGGTTCCCGCACGCTCCCCGGGGCCTCCTGGGATGACCAGCATGTGGACGTGTCACAGGGGTTACCCATCACGCACACGAGTGGACGTCCGTGAGGAAAAATGAACCGGGCGGGGGGGCGGCGGAGGGAGGACCCTGTGCTGGGTGGGTGCCGGCCCCGGGGCCCGGAGACGCACCTGTCGGCGAGGCTGCCGAACACGACGGCGCCCACCAGCACCCCGGCCATGTAGACGGACTGGGCCAGGTCCCGGAGGCTGCGGGCCTCACACACCAGGTCCCACTGCGGGGACAGGGCTCTCAGCGGGCCTGAGCAGCAGCCCCCGCCCCGCCCGGCCCGCCTGGCCCGCCCTCCCAGCACCTCGGTCACGATGGTGGCCGGGAAGACGCTGCGGTCGTACACCCAGCCGTCCAGGCAGCCCTCCGTGGCCGCCCCGGGCGCCGAGGCGTTGGGGCTCAGGGGGGCCCGCGGGGGCTCCGGGAGGCGCCGGCAGGGGTCGGGGGCGCCCGGCGGGCCCCGGGGGGCCTCGGAGCCGTTGGCGGGGGCGCCGGCCGGGCCGCGGCAGTGGTGGGGGGGCACCGCGGCCGTGAAGTTCTGCAGGAAGTTGTGGCAGGCCAGCAGGCTGCAGGGCAGCAGCAGCAGCCCCGTGTAGAGCAGCTGGAAGCGGCCCACGCCGCCCAGGGCATCCAGCAGGTCGCTGAAGGCCATGCCTCGGCCTGACCGGCCGCCCGCCCGTCTGCGGGGCTTATGTATCCGCGGCCGCGCCCCGGGGGGCGGAAGAGCAGGCCGGGGTCAGGCCACACACGCCGTGTCCGCGGCCAGGGGTCCGGTTACACCTCACAGGAGGCCTCAGGTGTCCCACGTCTGCGAGGCCCCCCCTCCAGACCCTTCCACCCCGATCCTTCACTCTCTCACCCCCCCACCCCCGCCTAGAAGAGGGAGCCAGCCCATCACAGCCCATCGCCCGCTGCCTCACTGGGACCCCGGCAGTGAATGCCCCTTCCCCTTCCCTTTGAGGGGGTTTATCGAGGGGGTCGGCCCAGCCCCATGGGGCTCTCATCAAGCGAAACCCGATGCAGAGAACTCGGAGGCCGAGGCCGTGCACCTGCCCCCGCTTCCCCAGGGGCCCCTGCAGGCAGCCAGGCTCCCAGGAAGCGATGGGCCAAGCACCCTTCTGGGGACACCGAGGCCCGGGGGACCTGGCCCAGGGACCCGTGGGGCAAGAAGCCGGCCCAGGATGGCACATCCCCCCCCCCCCGCCCTGTGCCAGCCCAGGGCGGGCAGAGTCGAGGCCGGCCCACCATTCGGGGCTCCACCCGGGGCTCCCAGCAGCCGAGGGCAGCCCCCACCCATGTTCCATCAGCCTTTGTCCTAGTTTGTGGCTCCCTTACACCCCCAACTCCTCCTCTTACCCCCCCCACCTTATCTCGTAAGGAAAGCCGGGGTCCCAGCGGCGGCAGCTTACATAAGCTGCAGGTGTGGGCACAGGCCCGGAGGCCCTGAAGGAGCCTCTGTGCTCCGGAGCTCCCGGGGGGTCGGGATTGCGCTAAGCAGGGGTTTGGTTTCAGCCGGAGCCTCACAGGCGGGAGCGGGCCAGGAAGGCGGGATCGAACCTCCGGGCGGCCAGGAGGGTGTGCGGGCCGGCAGGCCACACTGCCCGGCCCCCGGGCCCCAGGGCAGCACCCGGGCAGGAACGCACTCCAGAGACACACAGGGGGCCTTTCTCCTTTATTGTTTGTGGCTTCTCTGCACACACCCAGGCCCAGGTGCCTCTGGCACCCCACAAGCATATACCAGTACCAGAGTCCCCTTTAAAATCACCGATATAAAAAAGGGGGGAGGCCTGACCACCCCCTGGGCCGGGAGCTCCCGGGCAGCGGACAAGGCTGGGCCCAGGCCCTGGGCGGAGGGACACTGGCTTCTGCCCAGGGACAGGCCTCCCAGCCCCGGGCGCACACGGATGCAGGCGGTGCCGGGCTAGTGGTTATGGTTTAAGTCCGCGGGGAAGGCCAGCGGCGGTCTCCGGAGTGAGGGCAGAGGACACAGGGAGATGCTGGGGCCAGGGCTGGACCCCGGAGCCCCGTCCTGAGGCAGGAACAAGCGAGAGCTGCCTTCCTGGCTTGGCGACGGGAGGGGCCGGGCGTCCACCTGAGCCCAGAGCGGACGGACAGGGCGGCGGGAGGTGACGGGCCGAGGCCGCTGCCCGCTCCGAGGAAGGCACTTGCAGCTGGCGTGGCGGGAAGGCATAGCTTGGCAGATGACGAGGGGAGGACGCAGCCGGGGCCTGAGCCCTGCTCATGCGAACATGGTCAGCTGCAACCACTGCCGGCGGAGAGGAGGGGAGAGGAGCGGAGGGGAGGGGAGGGGAGAGGAGAGGAGGGGAGAGGAGAGGGGGGGGGGAGAGGAGGGAGGGGAGGGGGAGGGAGGGGAGAGGAAGGAGGGGAGGGGAGAGGAGGGAGGGAGAGGAGAGGAGGGGAGGGGAGAGGAGGGGAGGGGGGAGAGGAGGGAGGGGGAGGGGAGAGGGAGAGAGGGGAGAGGAGGGGAGGGAGAGGGGAGGGAGGGAGGGAGGGGGAGGAGGGAGAGGAGGGGAGAGAGGGGAGGAGGGGAGAGGAGGGGGAGGGGGGAGGAGGAGGGGAGAGGAGGGAGAGAGGGGAGAGGAGGGGAGGGGAGGGAGGGGAGAGGGGAGAGGAGGGGAGGGAGGGGAGGGGGGAGGAGGGGAGAGGGGGAGGGGAGGAGGGGAGGGGAGAGGAGGGGAGAGGAGAGGGAGAGGAGGGGAGAGGAGGGGAGAGGAGGGGAGAGGAGGGAGGGAGAGGAGGGGAGAGGAGGGAGAGGAGGGAGGGGCGAGGAGGGGAGAGGAGGGAGGGGAAAGAGGAGAGGAGGGGAGAGGAGGGGAGAGAGAGGAGGGGAGAGGAGGGAAGAGGAGAGAGGAGAGGAGGGGAGAGGAGGGGAGAGGAGAGGAGAGGAGGGGAGAGGAGGGGAGAGGAGGGAAGAGGAGGAGAGGGGAGAGGAGGGAGAGGAGAGAGGGAGGGAGGCGAGGAGGGGAGGGTGAGAGGAGGAAGAGGGAGAGGAGGGGAGAGGAGGAGGAGAGGAGAGGAGGGGAGAGGAGGGGAGGAGGAGAGGAGAGGAGGGGAGAGGAGGGAGAGGAGGGAAGAGGAGAGGGAGGGGAGAGGGAGGGGAGAGGAGAGGAGAGGAGAGGAGGGGAGAGGAGGGGGGGAGGGGAGAGGAGGGGAGAGGAGAGGAGGGGGGGAGAGGGGGAGGAGGGAGAGGAGGGAAGAGGAGAGGAGGGGAGAGGAGGGGAGGGGGAGAGGAGGGGAGGGGAGAGGAGGGGGAGAGGAGGGGAGGGGAGAGGGAGAGGAGGGAGGGGAGAGGAGGGAGGAGGGGAGAGGAGGGAGAGAGGAGGGGAGGGCAGAGGAGGGGAGGGGAGGAGGAGGGGAGGGGAGAGGAGGGGAGAGGAGGGGAGAGGAGGGGAGAGGAGGGGAGGGGAGAGGAGGGGAGAGGAGAGGAGAGGAGGGGAGAGGAGGGGAGAGGAGGGAAGAGGAGAGGAGGGGAGAGGAGGGGAGAGGAGAGGAGAGGAGGGGAGAGGAGGGGAGAGGAGGAAGAGGAGAGGAGGGGAGAGGAGGGGAGAGGAGAGGAGGGGAGAGGAGGGGAGAGGAGGGGAGGGGAGAGGAGGGGAGAGGAGAGGAGGGGAGGGGAGAGGAGGGGAGAGGAGGGAAGAGGAGAGGAGGGGAGAGGAGGGGAGAGGAGAGGAGAGGAGGGGAGAGGAGGGGAGAGGAGGGAGGGTGAGGAGGGGAGGGGAGGGGTGAGGAGGGAAGGGGAGGGGAGGAGTGAGGAGGGGAGGGGAGGGGAGGGGAGGAGAGAGGAAAGAAGAGGAGAGGAGAGGAGAGGAGAGGAGGGGAGAGGAGGGGAGAGGAGGGGAGGGGAGAGGAGGGAGAGGAGGGAGGGAGAGGAGAGGGGGAGAGGAGAGGAGAGAAGGAGAGAGGAGACGGTCAGTGGGGCCGACGCCTGCCCGGCCTCCCCGCCCCACAGCTCAGGAGCCACCGTCTCCCTCTGAGGGCAGGCCGGAGAGCGGCCCTCTTCTTTCTTCCTCCTCCTCCCTGGAGCCGGCTGCGGGCTCCTGCAGAGCCTCCAGGAGCCCGGCCTCCCTCCCCAGGGCCCGGGCACCCCACCCCATCCTCCCAGGACCTGGGTGGCCTGGCCTTAGGGCCGGCTCCAAGGCCACAGGCTCCACAGCAACCCCCCCAGGTCCTTCCCCAACCCCCGCCCCCCCCAGGTCCTTCCCCGCCCCCCCCAGGTCCTTCCCCGCCCCCCCCAAACCCCCCCAGGTCCTTCCCCGCCCCCCCCCAGGTCCTTCCCCGCCCCCCCCAGGTCCTTCCCCGCCCCCCCCAGGTCCTTCCCCGCCCCCCCCCCAGGTCCTTCCCCGCCCCCCCCCAGGTCCTTCCCCGCCCCCCCCCCCAGGTCCTTCCCCGCCCTGGCCAAGGAGGTTCCCACCTGAAACAGGTCAAAGGTCACAACGCCATCCAGATCTGTGTCCAGAGATTTGAAAAACCCTGTGGTTCCAGAAAAGATGACACGGGGCTGAGAATCCCGGGGGGCGTTCACGTGGGCCTCCCCCCCCGCCTCACCCGCACCTCCCCAAGCACCCCACGCTCTCGCCACAGCCATGGCGGCTCTTCCTGCTGCCGAGAGCCCCCCCCCCGCCGCCCCCGCCCCCCAGGCACTCAGCCCCTGGCGCTCCTGCCAGGAGGCCCCGCCGGAGGCAGAGCTGGGGGACACTCACGGAACATGGTCTCCAGCCGCACCAGGCAGCACACGAAGTTGTCGAAGTCCACGGCCAGGTCCGGCTCGGAGTAGCGGGTGATGATGAGCTCATACAGCTTCTTGTTGAGCTTGAAGCCTGGCGGAGGGGGGCAGGTGAGGGCAGGGGGGCCCAGCCCAGACCCAGGAGACAGGGAGGGCACCAGGGCTGGAGGGCGAACCCCGCGTCTGCCCTCCGGAGGCTGTGGCCGCTGCCCCTCGCCCGGCCTGTGCGCTCGGCCAGTCCCTCTCCCGCCCTGCGCCTCCGTGTGCCCTGCGCCTCCGTGTGCCCTGCGCCTCCGTGTGCCCTGCGCCTCCGTGTGCCCTGCGCCTCCGTGTGCCCCATGCACAGCGGGAACAACAGAGCCCGTCCTCACGGCGGCACCAGGGACAAAGGCAAATGCCGCTGCCACGCAGCTCAGAAGCCGGGGAAAGGGCAGAGGATGGCTGTCCCGCACAGCCACCCTCACCACCACCGTCACCATCACCATCCTCGCCACCCTCACCACCACCGCCACCCCCGCCACCACCGCCACCACCGCCACCGCCACCCTCACCACCACCACCACCCTCACCACCACCGCCACCGCCACCCTCGCCACAGGGACAGGGCCGATGGCCAGGGAGGCGGCCCCACAGGTGCCCAGCCTCACCTGCAGACTCGATGGCCATCCGCATCTCGTAGGCACTCATGCTGCCCGACTTGTCCAGGTCAAACTTCCGGAAGATGGCCTGGGGCGGGGAGCGGAGGGTGAGGACCAAGCCAAGACAGCAGCCCTTCCAGTCCGCCCCGGGGTGAGGACTGTGGAGCGGGGGGAGGCCCAAAAGGGGGTCAGGTGCTGGGGCGTGTGGTCCGGAGAAGCAGGCCTGAGGTGGGGCCTGGGCCGGCAGCCTGCAGCCCGGCCTGGCCCTGCTGGGACTGAGGCTGCAGAGGGGGCGGCGGGCGCAGCCGGCCGGGGCCACCTACCAGGTAGTTCCGGATGCGGTTCCACAGGATGTTGAACTCCACCAGGCCCAGCTTCCCGTTGCCGTCCCGCTGGATAAAACCGTTAAGGAAAAACCCCCACCGCCTACACCAGCGGGGAGGAGGGGAGACCGGCCGCAGGCAGCGCCAGAAGCAGCAGGGCCCGAGGGCAGCCAGCGTGGCCAGGCCGGCGCTGCCCCTGCACCCGGGTGGGCTGAGGGTGCAGAGCGAGCACCAGCCTTCGGGTCCCCGGGGATGCGGCCTGCTCCGCCTCTCGCTGGACACGAGGCCCGGGGCTGTGTCCGCTGCCCAGTCACTGGGATGGTGCCCAGGCCGGCACTGGTCCGCCCGCACACCACTGTGCCCCGTCCTCTGCTCGGTTGCTGGGGCGAGTCCCCCAGCCTCTTCCCGCCTGCACCCCCGCAGCCCGGCAGGATACGTCCATGAGGTTAACCATGCTGCGGCAGGACTCCATGCTGAAGCCCTTGGTCCGCAGGTCTTTGTCTGCAAGAAAGCGCGGTGCCAGCGCCCGGGTTAGCGAGGTGCTGGGCCCGCCCCACAGTGCGGCCGGGGGGCAGGATCAGGGCGGCAGGCTCCCCGTGGCCTGGCGTGGAAGCTAGCAGTCGGCGTGGAGCAGTGGTTTTACCATCAGAAATAATTTAAAGTCTCTCAGCAACCAAGCCGGGTCCCAGCGGCCAGGCCCGCAGCCGGATGAGACCAGAGTGAAGCGAAACGGGTGCCAAACTGACGTGAAAGCCACGCGGGGGACACGGGCAGTGGAGGTGCCCCGGCTGGGGGGGTCTGCCTCCGGCTCCAGGGAGAGGAGCCAGGGGCTCTGGGCCTAGGGAACAGCATGCTCAGAGGCCGGAGGTCAGAGGCCGGAGGTCGGAGGTCAGAGGGAAGGTTGGGGGGCTGCCTTCGGTTGTGCACATCGGGGAGTGAGCCAGCTCTGCTCCCAGCCGCTCGGCCTGGCCCGGGTGCGGCTTCGGGGAGGACGGGGTCCGTCTTGTTGGCACTAAGCTTCTGAGCACAGGGCACCAGCTCAGGCCCAGGGGGAAGGGGGTGAGCAGGGCTCAGGAAGGTGGTGGAAGGTCCCCCACCCACGAGGACCAAGGGGCCGGGTGAGCTCAGCGTGGGAGCAGAGCCTGGGCTGTGGGCTTTGGAGGAAACGGGGTGCGGGATGGGGGACGGGGGGAGAGAGGAAGGAGGGGGCAGGACGCAGCATGCAGAGCGGCCGCCGGACGCTCACGTTTGCTGATGATCCTGTTGAGGATGGTCTGCAGCTCCTTGACGCTGATCTCCAGGTCCTAGGGGGGGGGCAGGGAGGATGGCTCTCGCCCTGGGGAGAGGCTGCCCCCCATGCCCAGAGGCCCCCTCCACCGCGCCCCAACCTACCGCCCCCGCCAGCTGTCTGAAGAGCGTCTTGAAGTTCTCATCAATCTCCTCTTCCGAGAGCACTTGCTGGTGGAGGAGGGGGAGCAGGTCAGGGACCCCCAGCCCGGCCCGGCCCCCGCATGGGCAGCCCTCTGAGCCTCACTCTTCCCCTCTACCCACTGCTCAGGGTCCGTGTGGCCGAAGTGAGGAGGGAGCAGTTCAGCTCAGGATGAAGGGTGAGCTTTGGCTTCCGGCTGCGCCGCCCTGAGCAAATCCCTCACCTCTCTGAGCTGAGCTTCCCCCTGAGGGGAGGGCGACAGCACCTGACACAGGGAGACCTGACGCTGTCCTCACAGAGCCCCCCGCACACTGTGAAGTGCCGGCTGAGGAGGGATCAGCACTCTGTGGCTCTTGCCAGCGGTGCCGGGCACGGATGCCCGGACGCCCGGGTCCATCCCACGCTGGGCGGAGGAGAGGAGCGAGGGGGGAGGGCAGGCGGGGGGAGAGACGGGGAAGGCACGCACCTCGTCAGGAAGGTTGGCCTGGACCTGGTCGTCCAGCTCCCTGTGGAGGGGGAGAGGGGCCGGTCAGGGGGGAGGAGAGAGGGGCGGGTCAGGGGCAGCGGGAGCCGTGGGGGAGGGGGCGGGGAAGAGGGGCCGGTGGGGGGGGGGAGGGGCCGGTCAGGGTGCGGAGAGGGGCGGGTCAGGGGCAGCGGGAGCCGTGGGGGAGCCGTGGGGGAGGGGGCAGGGAAGAGGGGCTGGTGGGGGGGGGGGAGAGGGGCCGGTCAGGGGGAGGGGAGAGGGGCGGGTCAGGGGCAGCGGGAGCCGTGGGGGGGAGAGGGGCCGGTCGGGGCAGCGGGGCCCAGGGCACAGGGGGGCGGGGGGCGGGGGGCCCAGGACTCACTCGGTCCCGGCGCTCTTCTCCGAGAAGAAGCGCAGCACGAAGTCGCCCTCCTTGTTGGGCTCGAAGGTGGAGGGCACCACCACGTACTCCCCGGGCGGCAGGCGGAAGCGGGTGCTGACCTCCCGCAGGTTGATGAACTGCTCCGAGCGCGCCCGGGACGCGTTGGCCAGGAAGAAGTCCCGCTTCAGGTGCACGGCCGGCTGGCCCACCAGCTGGGGGGGGAGGGGGGCTGCAGCTGCCCGCTCAGCCACCCTGCCAGCTGCCCCGACCCAGCCAGGCCCCGCGTCCCGGCCAGGGGCCTGGAGGGCTGAGCAGGGCTCGTCCCTCCGTGGCCGCATGGCCCTGACCAGTCATTCTGCCTCAGTTTCCCTACCTGTGAAATGGGGCGATAACCCTGCTACTGCACAGGGTGCGGGGGGATGCAGTGACATTCCCATTTCCACTCGGAGCTTCCCCGGGTCAGACTCCGTCCTCACAGCCCTGTGCCCATTTCACAGCCACGGACATCGAGGCTTAAAGCCTAAGCAACTTGCAGAACGCTCAGCCATCCACCCGGCCCCTAACCAGACTCGGGCAGTGGACACAGGAAGACAGGGCGGGCCTGGGTGTGCGTGTGGGCAGGCTCTGAGGGCCAGGGTTCAAATCCAGCTCCCTCCCGCTGGCTCTGACTCCAGGAGAGCAGCTGGCTCTGCCACGGGGGCACTCTGTGAGCCGTAAAACGAGGCGACTTCCTCCTGTGGGCTCCCCTGGGGCATGGTGTTCAGGGGCGTGTACAGCCGGTGAATCACGTGCCACACCTACCTCCGGAGGAACCTGCGGGAGAGACACGGAAGTCAGAGAGTCGGAGCCAAAGTCTGGCCCAGGAGCTGCCTCTGGGACATCTCCCTCCCTCCCTCCACCCTCCACCCTCCACCCTCCACGCCGAATGGGATGAGTTTTAGGCCCCTGCCCGCCCCAGGCCTGGCAGAGGCGTGTGGCCTGATGCCCCCAGCGGCTCAGGAAGGGCGAGCGGCGTCCTCCGGCGCCCCCTGGCGGCCTCGCTGCCCTGGCGGCGCCGGTCTGTCAGCGGCGCTGGGACTTGCACGCTCACCTCGTACACGGCGAAGCCGATGGTCTCCATGTCGCGGCCGAAGCGGCGCTCCCGGCGGCGGTGCTTCTGCATGAGCGCCAGCACGAAGCTGCAGCCCGACTCCCGACCCCCATAGTCGTCCTCGTTCACGTCGTCCGTCTCCTCCAGCCGGATCTTGAACTGGGGGTTCACCCAGAAGGTGGCTGCAGGAGGGGAGGTGGGGAGGATCAGAGGAGCAGAGAACCCCAAGCCTGGTCCGCCCCCACGTGCCCCTCCATCCATCCATTCCTTTAACCCAGGGCCTCCGTGAGCCACGTGGCAGACATGGCGGACCCCGTGTCTACTGGGCTCACGTTCCAGCGAGCACCAGGGACCAGGGAGGGGGCAGAGGCGTGCAGAGCCGGGCGGTGCTGCCGAGTGTGGACTGAATCAAAGAGCAAAAGAGCCTTCTGTCAGCCCACTGGCCTGGCTCAGTGGTAGATGTGGGCCCATGAACCAGGAGGTCGGGGTTCAATTCCCCGTCGGGGCACATGCCCGGGTTGTAGGCTGGATCCCCAGTAGGGGGCGTGCAGGAGGCAGCCAATCAGTGATAATCTCTCATCATTGATGTTTCCATCAATCTCTCCCTCTGCCTTCCTCTCTCAGAAATCAATAAAAACTTATTTAAAAACATGTTTTTAATTGTCCAGAAGAGGCAAATCCATAGATTTCCTGGTACCAAAGCCAGATAAAGATATCACAAGGAAATTACAAACGCCTGGGTTGCGGGCTCCATCCCCAGCAGGGGGTGTGCAGGAGGCAGCAAATGGACTGATCAAGTTCTATCTCTCTATCCCTCTCCCTCCCTCTCTCTCTCTCTAAAATTCAATAAAAACGTATTTAAAATTCAATAAAAACATATTTTTTTAAAAATTCAATAAACACTTTTTAAAAATACTATACTTTGGATCAACGGTCAAAAGACATTTCTTTGTATAAATTCTAATATTGACAAATTCCTTAACAAAGAAAAAAAGAGGCAGAGCAAATAAGCAACACTATGAACAGAGAATAGCAGCAGATGAGGTATCAAAATACATAAGGGATAACCTATGCTAATGATTTTGAAGACAGATGCAAAGGATAAACTCCTAAAAAAATACAACTCATGCAAATACCCTGTTTCCCCCAAAATAAGCAAAATAAGACAGTGTCTTATATTAATTTTTTCCTCCCAAAGTTGCGCTAGGTCTTATTTTCAGGGGATGTCTTATCTTTCCATGCTCTAGGTCTTATTTTCGGAGGATGTCTTATTTTCGGGGAAACACAGTAGGCGGAAGGGGAAATAGGAGAGCTGGGTGACCCTATTGCCGTTAAAGATACTCAGTATCAGAAATTAATCTTCACAGGAAGACAGCCTTACAGACCAAACGTTCAAGCAACCTATCATCCCCATCTCGCAAACTCTTCTAGAAACCAGAAAAAGAGAGAGCACTCCCCAATTCACTGTAGAAGCCAAATATAAATATAGCACCGAGAGCAACAGCAGGCAAGGTCAGCATAAGAAAGGAAAATCACAGGCAGCTCTCACTCATTGGCGCAGGTGTAAAGCTATTGCATAAAAATGTTATGCTACGGTCCCGCTATGACCAAGTTGAGATTCAGTCTCTGGCCAGGACACATAAAGAATCAGTCACTGAATGCATAAACAAGCGGAACCACGAATCAGTGCTCCTCTCTCTCTCCCTCTTTATCTCTAAAATCAATCAATTATTAACATTAAATAAAAATGTTATGCGATGAACACATTTTTATCTCAAAGGGTAAGGTTAATTTAATATTATAAAAGTGGAATTTACCATTTTGACAGATAAACAACACTCTACAGTCCTGGCCAGCATATTAAACAAGAATGCAGCCAAAACCGGTTTGGCTCAGTGGATAGAGCATCGGCCTGCGGACTGAAGGATCCCAGGTTCGATTCCGGTCAAGGGCATGTACATTGGTTGCAGGCACTCCCCAGTGGGAGGTGTGCAGGAGGCAGCTGATTGATGTTTCTCTCTCATTGATGTTTCTAACTCTCTATACCTCTTCCTTCCTCTCTGTAAAAAAATCAATTAAAAAAAAAAGAAAAAAAGAATGGCTCACGATTTCCAATCTATGAATCCTTTCTGGGATTTTCCACTTAATGCTCTCAGGCCACGGTTGGCTGTAAGCGAATTTGCTAAAAGCAAAAACGCCGTGGAGGGACTGCGGCACGGCACTCTTAGATAAGCCTCAAAACCGGGAAGATGGCGATTCTCCCCAAACTGATCTATCGATGCCGCGCCGTTCCCAGTGAAATGCTCCAAAGGGTTTTCGGAGGACTTGGTAAGCCGATTCTAAAGTCACTCTACACGGAAAAGCAAAATGCCAGAATGGCGGAGAGACTCCGGAGAAGAGATGGCCCTGTGGGCAGCAGGACTTCATACAAAACTGTGTGAGCTGCTAGCGGCAGAGGGACAGGCCAGGGGGCGGGGGCGGGGCCAACGCAGACCCCCGCGAACGTGGGGGCTCCGTGCGGGCTGGCGCTGCAGGGCAGGTCCCAGGAGAGGCACAGGGAGCTGCGGTGCCTATTTGGGAAGCAGTGAAACCAGATCCCCACGAGGGAGAGGCTTCCACTGGGCTGCGAGCTGCGAGCGGCCGGAGCAGCGGGCGTGAGAACCCGGGGGCGGGTTGGCAGAGCCAGGCGGAGTGACCTCACACGGCAGTGGCGGCGAGGATGGCAGCCGGACGGCAGTGGGTGAAACGCTGGGCTGGGGGGAAGCGTTCCTGAGACATGGCCGGGGAAGGGGGCGGGGTGGGGCTATGAGGCAGACACGCCTGCATGATGACTCAGAGAGAGGCGATGGAGGCAGGGGCAAGGCGTGCAGAGGTGAAGGGGGACGGGTCCCAGGCAGAGCTCGGGGTCCCCACGGGCAGGGAGTACTGCCAATGGCACAGGAGGGAAAGCAGCCCAGATGGCGCAGCCCAGACAGGCGGGCGCGGGGGAGGGAAGATGAGGGGTGTCTGAGCGATGAGGTCTGTCAGTGCCAGGCCAGGTGTGCGGTGAGTCACCGCCGAGGGAGGTTTGGGCTGACGGGCAGTGGGGTTGCTGGGGCCGAGCAAAGTGCTCGTTAGAGGTTTGTGGCTGTGATTCCAGGGAAGTGATTCCTCCCCAGCCACGTGGTGGCTCAGCGAGGAGGTGGCTGTGCAGAGAGAGGAGCAGAGGGAGCCAGGGGCCGGGAGACAGTTTGCAGGGACAAGACGAACCCCATGACTCTAAGCTGGGAAGGAGAGGGAGGGAGGGAGGGAGGGAGGGAGGGAGGGAGGGAAGAGCACAGCGAAAAGCAGGGGCTCAGCAGGCCAGGGAGGTCAAGGCTGAGGGCGGCAGGGAGAGGCAGGGAGGGGAAGGGAGGTCAGGGAGGGACACTCGGAACTGCCCAGGGTGCTGCCGCCAAGGATGGCAATGATGAGGGGCCAGTCAGTGGACTGGGTCACCCCCATGGTCCAGGAGCCCGGGGAGAGGTGGCAGAGGGGTCAGGGGGTCAGGGGCCGGGGCAGGTCTCAGATGGAGGAGGGGCAGGAAGCGCTGGCTGGTTGGCAACAAAGTCTTGCTCCCCAGTTTGCAGCCGGGGCTCAGGCCAGGCTGGGGAGGCAAGCGGGCTCTTTGGCCTCTACAGGGACGGGCATCGCTCTACTCCTGAGCAAACGAGGTCTACAAGGTCATCTACAAGGTGGGCACAGGGGCGAGGAGCTAACGGAGGGCAGCGGCCGCCGGGCCTTCCCGCCGGGGGCAGCGACGGGCACCTGGGTAGTTGCGGCAGCCGCCCGCCGTGCTGCCCCGCCGCCAGGTGCCGTCGTACAGGGTGGTGTTCCACTTGCGGAAGCGCCGGCTCTTGAGGGCGTCGGGCGTCAGGTTGCAGATCTCCAGGCGGGTGAACTCGCGCATGAAGTCCCGGAAGGACATCCTGGGCGGGGGTGCGGGGTGAGCCCGGCGGCCAGGACCCGGGGAGGCGGCAGGCGAGGGTGCGGGCGAGGGTGCGGGGTGAGCTCAGCGGCCAGGACCCAGGGGTGCGGCAGGCGAGGGTGCGGGCGGGGGTGCGGGCGGGGGTGCGGGGTGAGCTCAGTGGCCAGGACCCGGGGAGGCGGCAGGCGCGGGTGCGGGCGGGGGTGCGGGGTGAGCTCAGTGGCCAGGACCCGGGGAGGCGGCAGGCGCGGGCAGGGCGGGAGGGGCCCCCCCCGCCGGGGTCCCGGGGGGGGGGGGGGGGCAGCTGCTCACCAGAACTCCCCGTCCTCCATCTTGATGCGGAGCTGCTCCCGCTCGTAAGGGTCCACGTTGTTCCACTCTGAGGAGCTGCGGGGAGAAGGGCCTCTGTCCCTGGGGCCTGTCCTCCCCCAGCCCAGGTCACGGTCAAGGTCAGGCCCCAAGACCCCGGGTCCAGGGGTGGCCAGACGAGGCTCGCAGGCCGGGCCCAGGCGCCCAGGGCCCCTCTGCTCCATCCTGAGCCCGCCCCAGGCCGGCAGCACCCTGAGCAGCCTCCCAGCCGGTGCCCGGCCCTCACCCGTCACTCCAGGCTCCAGTCCACTCCACCTCGCCCCAGGGGTTCCGCATCCGGATCAGGTTCACCATCTGGCCCATGTAGTTCACCTGGTGCCCAGAGCGCCCATCAGCGCCTGGGCACGACCACAGCGCCTCCCCCGTCACCCCGTTCCGGACGCAAACCACCGGCAACGGGGGCGGGCCAGGGCACCCCCCCAGGACGGAGCCCCCAGGAGGCCACGAAGGGGCTCCGACAGGAGAGCCGGCCCCTCCCACAGCCCCGGCCGCAGGCCCGAGGGGCCAGGGCAGGCTCAGGCGCGGGCAGCCCCCAGTGGGGAGCCCCGGTACCTGCTTGGCCCCCGTCACGGAGTAGGCGTGGCCCTTCACCAGCTTCTTGAAGGTGACGGCCTCCATGTCCAGGACGCTGGAGATCTGAGAGTCACGTGCCCCGGTCAGGGGCGAGGTTCCAGGGACCCGGTCACACCCCTCCCCCAGGCAGAGGGGACCCCAGCACGAGGGCCCGGACACGCCCCTGTGGGACGGAGCGGCGGGCAGGACCCCTGGCCCAACACCTCCAAGTGCAGAGGCTGCCCTACAAGGGGCTGCCCAGTGTCCCCCCAATGCCGCCAGGGGTGGGGTGGGCCCCCGACACTGCTCCCGGCAGAGCTGGCCGCCCGGTGCACACAGAGCCCCCGGCACTCACGTCGATGGAGCAGCCCAGCAGCGAGCCCCGCTCCAGGGCCTTGATGATGATCTGGTAGAGGTCGCTGGGCGCCTTGCGCAGCTCGTACCACTCGGTGACGCCGCCCGTGAAGTCCTCGAAGCCCTCGGAGGTGCTGCCCCCGGACAGGGCCTCGTAGCTGCCGTTCACCCTGCGGGCGGCCCGTCAGTGCTGCGGCCGGCGCGAGGCCCCGGCCCCCGGGCCTGGCTCCCCCCCCCCCGCCCCGCCCCCGGGACCCGGCTCCCTCCCCCCGCCCCGCCCCCGGGGCCCAGCTCCCTCCCCCCGCCCCGCCCCCGGGCCCGGCTCCCCCCCCCCCCCCCCGCCCCCGGGCCCGGCTCCCCCTGCCCCCGGGCCCGCCCCCGGCCACTCACTTGGCGTAGGCCTTCTCCAGCAGCGCGCTCCAGAACTCGTTGCCCTGGGCCGAGTGCACGAACACCAGCTTCCCGTCCTTGGTGGGCAGCAGGTCGTCCACCACCACGTCCACCCACTCCCCGAACTGCCACAGCTGTGGGGGGGGGCGCGGTGAGGCCTCAGCCACCCACCCCCCGAACTGCCACAGCTGGGGGGGGGGGTGCGGTGAGGCCTCAACCACCCACCCCCCGAACTGCCACAGCTGTGTGTGGGGGGGGGGGGGGGGCGCGGTGAGGCCGCTCACAAGGTCACCGGTCCCAGAGCCAGTCATGCCCTGGGCGCCCGTTTCCCTGTCCGTGCCAGGGGGCCGCGGTGCCTTCCTCATGCGAAAACTAGCCTCGAAGGTAAAGCGGCCCCACAAGAGCGGCACTGGTGTCCCCGAAGGTGTGAGAGGCTGGAAGACACACACACACACACACACACACACACACACGCATGCGCATGCACACATATACACACACACACACACACACACGCATGCACACATACATACATACACGCACACACACCGGCTCTGGGGAACTAGCCCCTGTAGGGCGCAGTCCCCACCGGTCCCCTCCGCATTCTGGGCCCGGGTGGGGGGGGGGGACACACATGCAGGGTGTGGACCGCAATGTAGCACCAGGCCCTTCACCACAGGACGGGCGGGGCCTGCAATCCGGGGCTGGCTTCCCAGGTGCCAGAGGCCGGTGCCCAGAAGGGAGGGGTCAGGTTGTCGGGGCCAGAAGCTGCCCAGGCGGCTGAGCAGGAAGGTGTGGGACCTTGGGGGAGGGGAGCCCTGGGGGAGGGGAGCCCCGGGGGAGGGGAGCCCCGGGGGAGGGGAGCCCCGGGGGAGGGGAGCCGGGCACCCAAGTAGCACAGGGGGTGGTGGCTGTTGGACTGGCGGAAAGAGGTGGGGAGGAGCAGATGGGAAGAGTGAGGGAAGGGGGCGGGAGAGGGGTGGGGAGGCCGAGCCCCTGGACAGCCCGGGCAGGTGTGGCACTTGGCCAGCGTGCATGGCCGCTGGGATCCAGTGGTCCCCGAGGTCCGGAAGGCCGGCGACCGCTGCTGAAGGCGGTCTCCTGGGACCACGGAGGGCGAGGGGGCACAGTGAGGGGCTCCCGCTGGGCAGAAGGAGGATTCCCAGGGCAGGGCTGGGGCCACAGGGCCCGAGGGTTTCCTCCAGGGCTGCTGGGGGGGGGGTGATGTCTCTCCCGACACCAGCTCATTAAGAATTCATTAATCTTCGCCTTGAAAAATGGACTTGGTGAGCAACCAACCGTCACGAAAATCTGGCTCAAAGAGGCTCAGCCCCGAGCTGTTCTTTCTGCTGGGCTGGCCCCGGCTGAGGCTAGAGCTGCCCAAGTCCCGGAGGAGCTGGGGTGGGGGCGGGGTGAGGGGGCCGGTCTGTCTTCACCCAGAACATTGATCTGTTTAGATGGGGAAACTGAGAGCTGGGAGGAAAAAGGATTTGCCCCACAGGAGGTAACACAGAGTTCTTTCTCCTCTTCCGGCACTTTCTTCTCGACACGCACGGCCACGCAGGAACACTGCCAGCGGATACCTGCCCGCCGCCCCCCGCTGCCGGCGATGGCCGAGAGGCCACACACCTCCCCAGGGAGGCGGGCCCTGCAGGGTGTGGCTCTGGGCCACCTCGCTCCGGTCTGCTGAGGTCACCTGTTCCCCCTCGGTGCCTGCCCCCCTCCCCGGCCCTCACCTGGAAGTGGAAGATGCCGGCGTAGCCATCCTGAAAGCTCTGGCCGTGCGGGACCACGCGGTGCAGGAGGGTGTCATTGAGGGTGAGAGAGGCGATGGCAGCCAGGAGCCAGCAGTCCCCTGTCGGGAGACGCCCATCAGCCCTGCTCTGCCAACCTGCCCCTGGCGCTGCCCCTGGCATTGCCCCTGGCGGTGCCCCTGCTCGCCCATGCTGGGGAGGACCGGGGTCCCCGGGGTGGCCTAGCCCTCCGCTGGCGGAAAAGCCCCAGGAATCCGGGAGAACCAGCCCAGGCCCGGCAGCAGGGCCTGTCTGAGCCTGCCGGAGGAGCTGGGGCAGAGCCAGAAGGAGCGGGCAGAGGGAGCTCCCTGGGGAAAACGCCCGGAACCCGCTAGGCCTACCCAGCGCGCCCTGGCAGATGTCCGTGCGGGTGGCTCCGTCCACGATGAACTGGGGGTTCGAGAGCAGCTCCTGCGAGACACCGGAGCCTGTCTCCCAGAGGCCGGAGCCCAGCCCCCGGCCCAGCCCCCGGCCCACCCCCCACGGCCCGGGCCCCGCCCCTCCCTCCCTCCGATGGGGTGCCCGCCTCACCGTGGGGCGCTTCCACTTGATGCCGTAGGTCTTGGAGGAGTTGGGGCCCAGGTCCTTGTAGCCCAGGCTCTGGGTGACGGGCGGGAAGGCGTCGTCGCGGAAGAGGGCCCCGCTCTGCAGGCAGCGCGCCCGCAGCTGCTCGTAGTCCTGGCCCAGGTACTTGATGGCGTTCTCGTGGCGGCCCAGGCCCAGCTCCTTGGCCCGCAGCTTCTGCACCTGGGCCGACACCCCGGTGCAGTACACGGGGGTGATGAGCTCCTCCGCCATCCTGCGGGCAGACCAGGCCGGCCTCTCAGCACCCGGGCCGCCCTGACCCCGGCGGGGCCCTGCCTGTGCCGGCCCACCGCCCTCCCCACCCCACCCAGGGGTCACCCTCCCGCCCCGGGGTCACCCACCCCGTGGTCATCCACACCCGGGGTCACCCACAGCACCCCGGGGCCACCCTCCGGGAACGCGGGACCAGCCACTTCCTCCTGCGCCCGCCGGGAGGAGTCCTGGCCCGGGTGCGGGCCACGCCCTCGCCGCCCCCCTCCCCGCGGGGCCGCCACCCTCTCCCCAGCCCGTTCCCATTGTCCCGGTTCTGCGGAGCCCAGCCCGCCGCCCGCCGGCCCGTGCGCCTCCGGCCCGGGGAGGGCGACCCCGGAGAGGCCTCTGCCCCGGTGGCTGCAAACCCCGCCACCACGGGCCCCGCACCCCTGCCCGCCGGAGGGCGACCGTGCCGCCGGCTGGGTCCCGGGCCCCGGACAGGCCGAGGGGTGTGGGGGGTCCGCCCCTGGCCCCCCGCCCGGACCCTCCGCCCTGACCGCCGGCCTCCAGCCCGGACCCTCCGCCCGGACCCTCCGCCCTGACCGCCGGCCTCCAGCCCGGACCCTCCGCCCGGACCCTCCGCCCTGACCGCCGGCCTCCAGCCCGGACCCTCCGCCTGGACCGTGCGCCCAGACCGCCGGCCTCCAGCCCGGACCCTCCGCCCTGACCGCCGGCCTCCAGCCCGGACCCTCCGCCCTGACCGCCGGCCTCCAGCCCGGCCCGGCCCGGCGGGCGGCGGCGGCGGGCGCGGGCGCCGGGCTGTGCGCTCGGCCGGGCCGGGCAGCCCCTCGCCGGGCAGCCCCTCGCCCGGCTCCTCACCTGGAGCGGAGCGGGGTCGGCGGTGCCCGCGGCCGGCTCCCGGGGCAGCTGCGGGCTGGGCCCAACCAGGAAGAGCTCCGCCGCCCCCGCCCCCGGCCCGGCCTCCGCCCTGCGCCCCGGCCGCCCCGCCTCCTCCCGCCCGGCCCGGCCGGCCCCTCCCGCCTTATCTCCGCGCCGCGGTCGCCGGGACTCCGGGCGATCGGGGAGGCGGGGCGGCGGGAGCCGCGGGCGAAGGGCGGGGCGGGGCGGCGGTATTTTTAACCGGAGCAGCTGCTGCGGCCGCTCCCGGCGGCCCGGGGGCATTCCCGGTCCCGGGCGCCCGGCCCGGCGGCGCCTCCGGGCCGCACCCGCCACGTGGTCCGGCCGGGGCTGCGGGGCCGCGGGGGCGGCGGGGGGCGGGCCGTGCGGGGCGATCGGGGCCCCGATCGGTTCTCGGCAGCCGCTTCCGCCCCGCCCCGCCCGCGGGCTCAGCGCGGGGTCCCCGGGCCGCAGCGAGCGGCGTGACCTGGGTGAGTCCTCCCGGCGCCTCGGCTGCCCGGTTCGCGGGGCGAACGGGACGGGGTGAGCGATGGTGGGGAGCCCGCTCCCCTTCGTCCTGGGGGGGGGGGGGGTACCGCCCCGGGGTGCTCGGGAGGTGGCCCAGGCGCTTTCCCCGTGGACCTCGCCCACCTCCTGGGGCGCCCGGTGCAGGTCCCGCCCGGCCGAGGGCCCGGCCCAGGGCTGCAGCGCCTGTGGGTGCGCACAGAGCATGGGGGGCTGCAGCGCCGTGGGTGCGCACAGAGCATGGGGGGGGGGCGGCAGCGCCTGTGGGTGCACACAGAGCATGGGGGAGCTGCAGGGCCTGTGGGTGCGCACAGAGCATGGGGGGGCTGCAGGGCCTGTGGGTGCGCACAGAGCATGGGGGGCTGCAGCGCCTGTGGGTGCGCACAGCATGGGGGGCGGGGGGCAGTGCAGAGCTCCCCAGCATTTGGGGACCCAGGAAGGCGAAGAGCAATGCCTCCGACCTAGAAGGTCACTCCGGTTGCAGGGAGGGGCCGCAGCCCGGCAGGTGTGGCCTGAGCTCCCGCACCTGTGAGTCAGCGGCAGCCCCTGTGTGTCCATCCAGCCCCTGTGTGTCCGGCGGTGACTCAGCCCGCAGGCCCGGCGGGGGAGGGGCTCCGCTGGTCCCGGTTGGGGGAGACGCCCCGGAGTCTAGGGGTTGGCCAGGTAGGGAGGTGCTGGAGGGAGCCTGGCCGGAAGCAGCAGGTGCACAGGGGCGGAGCCCAGGGAGCTCAGGCCAACGAGGGGAATGTCCCGCGCCTTGTGGTCACTTCCCAGGGACAGGGACCTTGGAGAGGAAGGATGCTCTGGGCAGGGGCCAAAGGTCACACTCCCGCCAAAGCCCTCGGGCTCAGCCTGTGTGTCCCCACCGTGTTGACCTGGGCACAGGAGGGTGCAGACCATGGCCTCGGGTATTACCCATAGTTCACTGGGAGGAGAATGGGGGGCGGGCGCGGGGAGATGGCTGGCACAGGGAGAGATGGGATGTGCTTAGCGTGGCTGGAGCAGAGAGAAGGGAAGGGAAGGCTGTGACAGGGCCGGGTAGGCCACAGGATTTAGATTTTATTTTCCTGGAGCTCAGATTTGTACAAACGCAGGAGGAGGAAGCTTGGGAGGGAGCTAGGTGGGCCAGAAAGGTTTGAAACACCAGGAAAGAGACGAGTTTCAAACCAGGGAGGTGATGGGCATAAGAGAGAAGCAGATAAACTTGATGACTTAGCCAAAACCAGTTTGGCTCAATGGATAGAGCGTCGGCCTGTGGACTGAAAGGTCCCGGGTTCGATTCCGGTCAGGGACATGTACCTTGGTTGCGGGCACATCCCCAGTAGGGGGTGTGCAAGAGGCAGCTGGTCGATGTTTCTCTCTTGTTGTTGTTTCTGACTCTCTATCCCTCTCTCTTCCTCTGTAAAAAATCAATAAAATATATTAAAAAAACCAAAACTTGATGATTAAGATGCATCACATCAAACTTCAACTCACTGGATTATACAACTACATGTAAACTATGAAACTTCTAGAAGAAAGCTTAGGAAATACCTTACTGGTCTTCAGTTTGGCAAAGATTTCATGAATATGTACATAAAGCACAAACAATAAAAGAAAAAAGGTTTGATTCATCAAAACACACTTTTGTTCTTTAGAAGGTACTATTATGAAACAGCCACAAATGAAGGGAAAATAATTGTCAAAATTACGAGGGCTTGTATTTAGAACATATAAATAACTTTTACCACTTCAAAATAACTCAACAACCCTAGCCAGTTTTCTCAGTGGTCAGAGCAGCCGCCTGTGGACTGAAGGGTCCCGAGGTCGCAGGCTGGATCCCTAGCCCTGGTCAGGGCGCATGCAGGAGGCAGCCAACCAATGTGTCTCTCCCTCCCTTCCATTCTCTCTAAGAACCAATGGGAAGCCAAAACCGGTTTGGCTCAGTGGATAGAGCGTAGGCCTGCAGACTGAAGGGTCCCGGGTTCGATTCTGGTCAAGGACATGTACCTTGGTTGTGGGCAGGGGGCAGCTGATCGATGTTTCTCTCTCATTGATGTTTCTAACTCTTTATTCCTCTCTCTTCCTCTCTGTAGAAAATCAATAATATATATATAAAGAATCAATGGGAAAATATCCTCGGGTGAAAATTAACAAAATAATAATAATTCAATAAAAATGGGCAAAAGATTTGAACAGACATCTCACTCAAGAAGATATATGAATGTCAAATAAGCCATGAAAAATTGCCCAACTCATTATTCACCGGGAAATGCAAACTGAGAGAAGAAGGAGGCGGCACTCCGGCCGGTGTGGCTCAGTTCATGGTTCCTGCAGCCGTGTGACTCCCTTCAGGGCACGTGTCTGAGTTGCGGTTTGATCCCAGGTCAGGTGTTTACGGGAGACAGCCAATTAATGTCTCTCTCACAGGGGTGTTTCTCTCTTCCCCCTCTCTAATTATCATTAAATGGGGGTTCTCAGGTGAGGATTAAAAAAAAAATAAAGATGAGTGGTTGCCAGGAGTTCAGGGGGGAGGAGGGATGAATAGGGGAGCACAGGGTATTTGTAGGCGGTGAAACTATTCTTTGTGAGACTGGGAAGGTGGATACATGACATTATGCATTTGTCAAACCCTCTGATGTACAACACGGAGTCCTAATGTGCACTGTGGGCTTTGGTGAATAATAATGTATCAGTACTGGTTCAGCAGTTGTAACAAATGCGCCACAGTAATGCAAGATGTAACAGAAGAAACTGTCAGAGGGAGAGGGGGTAAATGGGAATGCTTTCTACTTACTGAGCAATTCTCCCCCTAAAAGCAGGTGGTATAGATTTACTTAAAAAAGAAAAAAAACACATTCACAGGGCCCTAACCGGTTTGGCTCAGTGGATAGAGCATCGGCCTGCAAACTGAAGGTCCCAGGTTCGATTCCGGTCAAGGGCATATACCTTGGTTGCGGGCACATCCCCAGTAGGGAGTGTGCAAGAGGCAGCTGATTGATGATTCTCTCATTGATGTTTCTAACTCTCTATCCCTCTCCCTTCCTCTCTGTAAAAACTCAATACAATATATTTAACAAATAAAAAAAATCTGTCCAGCAAACCCAGGCCAGCGTGACTCAGCTGGTTTTCGGTTTTTAAAGGAGGTGGGACATAAACGCGTGTTTGGTGTGGTGTCTCTTTTCTGACACCACTTCTCACACTAAATGTGTGTTTCTTCCCACTTACCAAACACTGTGGTTTTCCCTCACCAATTCCCCACACCAACCAGGAGCCCACAGTTCAGTTCAGCCCTGACATTAACTGCCCAGAATTCGTAGTGTAAGGACTCAGCCCCTCACCATGCCAGCCACAAAGGGGATGCCCAGGCGAACCCCACTCTTTTTTAAAAAATATATTTTTATTGATTTTGTACAGAGAGGAAGGGAGAAAGATAGTTAGAAACATCGATGAGAGAGAGTCATTGATCAGCTGCCTCTTGCACACCCCCTACTGGGGATGTGCTCGCAACCAAGGTACATGCTCTTGACCGAATCGAACCCAGGACCCTTCAGTCCCCAAGCCGACGCTCTAGCTATTGAGCCAAACCGGTTTCGGCTGACCCCCACTCTTGTCTGGCTAACTACAAATGTGAGGGTGCCATCACCCCCTCCTCAAGTTTGATACTTTAGTACTTAGGCTCACAAAATGCAGGAAAGTGCTTTACTGACTATTACCAGTTTATTAAAATGGATACAGCTCAGGAACAGCCAAATAGGAGAGATGCGTGGACAAGGACTTGCTAGGGGCAGAAATAGAATATTGGGGAGTGTTGGTTATAAGAAATATTAATCCCACGGAAAGCACATTCTAGCCTGGCTGGGTGTTGTATGCCCTGGGACTTGGGAGTCAGCCTTGGAATGTGGTCCCAGATGCCTGTGACCGTGGAAAGATTAACCACCTTGTTGCCCAAATAGTGGAGTCCCACCTCAGCCCCCACTGCCTGTCATCTGTAACCATTATATCCATTAAAAAATTATCACCTTTCTTCCTGTCATTTTTTCTTCTTCTGTCATTTTTTTTTTTAATTTATTTATTTATTTTTACATATTTTAATGATTTTTTTTGCCCCCCTCCCTCCCTCCCCCTCTTCTTCTGTCATTAAAAAAGATGTTATTGACTTCAGAGGGGAAGGGAGAGGGATAGAAATATCAATGAGAATCATCAAGTGGCTGCCTCTGGCACGCCCCCTACTGGAGGTCGAGCCTGCCATCTGCCCTGACCATGATGATCTGGTTGATAAATTGATGCTCAACCACTGAGCCACACCAGCCTACTCCCCCGTGTCATCTTTGTCCTAAACCATATAAGCAGCTGGCTTACGGGGGGGGGGGGGGGGGGGGGGGGGGGCGGGAGGTTTGTGGATGACCTGCTGCTCTCCATGCTGCCAACATTATTGGAATAAATGCCCATATATATTTTTTAAAAATATATATTTTATTTTTACAGAAAGGGAGTTAGGAACATTGATGAGAAACATCGACCAGCTGCCTCCTACACCCCCCACAGGAGACGTGCCCACAACCAAGGCACATGCCCTTGACCGGAATCGAACCTGGGACCTTCAGTCGGCAGGCCGAGGCTCTATCCACTGAGCCAAACCGGTTTCAGCTAAAAGCTCACATATGGATTCAAACCTGTCTGCTTAAATGGCTGCAGTATGACGGGCAGCCGGGCCCCATGGTGGTCCGGTTTCAGTGTGGGGGAGGGGTACAGAGCTTCCATGCCTCTCCAGGCAAGCCCCCTCCCCGCACACCTGTGTTCACCAACCCAGACACTCTCCAGGCCCGGCCCCTGCTGGAGATGGGGGAGGGGGTGTTTGGAAGTTCCCACACCCTCTATTGAGCTAAGCCACTCATCAGCATAAACTAACTCAGGTGTGGTCCAAAGGGGACGGCCCTACTCCTATGACTCAGGAAATTCTAAGGAACCAGGGACAAAGACCAAATACCGGAATATGCACTTTTATTATACTGCATTTGGTTCTGTATGTCATTGCCCCTAACCAGGTGGCTAGGTGTCAGGAATAGGAGGTGACTTTTGGTTCAAAATTCAAAATGAACGAAATTCAAATGACTATATCACCTGTTTGAAAAGTAAAACGACTGTAGTCCTCGTCTTGGCTTCTAATGTCTGCAGACTCCGGCTTGCTTTTCTTTTCCTTCTTTTCTTTTTAAACTAACTGCAAGCCATAGTGTTTTTGTGGGTTTTGAAGATACGTTTTCTATTGATTTCAGAGAGAGGAAGTGAGATAGAAATGTTGATTGTCTGCCTCCTGCACACCTCCCACTGGGGATCGAGCCCACAACCCAGCTTGTGCCCTTGACGGGAATCGAACCTGGGATCCCTCAGTTCACAGGCCAACCCTCTATCCACTGAGCCAAACCAGCCAGCGCTCATTTGAGCTATTGTGTGTGCAGTGGCCCCAGGCCGTCTGCCCAGGGCTATGCACACCTCATCTCAGCCAGTGCGGTCCACACGGCAGACCTCATCTCTCATGGGGGGGAGGGGGCAGAGATGGGAAACTGAGGCTCAGGATGCCCGCCACCAACGGGAAGGAGAAGAGCGATGACAGACTTGTGCTCATGGGTCTCAGATCTGAACCTGCCAGAGGCTTCTCTCCCCATGCCCGCCCTTCCTCCCTCCCTCCCCCGCCCTGGGCCACGGAGCCAGGCCTAAGCATAGTGGGCATGAGTTTATTAGAGGGGGCAGAGTCAGAGGGGGTGCAAGTTGCAGGTCGGGAGGAGGGGCAGGGGGCTTGGGCAGCACTGCCAGCCTGAGGTCAACGAGACAGGGGCACCGGGGCCACAGGGCAGGCAGGCCAGCTGCTCTCCACCCTGCGAGCGTGTCCGCCCGTCCATCTGTCCGTCGGCGCCTAGGGCACTGGCAGCGGCTCCAGGAGGACTGGGGAAGGAGGGAGAGAGGCTCAGAGCGGAAGCTCCCAGCTCACACAGCCTGGAGCTGGCAGAGCTGGGACCTGCACCCAGACCCGCCTTCTGGGCCCTTTCGCTCGTTCTGTCTCCCAGGCGCCCGCGCCCACCCAGCTCCTGCCCGCAACTCACTGTGGAAGGAGTAGGTGCCCGGCTCCAGGAGCAGCTGGGAGGGCAGGACCACGAGGAAGCCTCCGGCCCAGGGGTCTTCAGCCCCTGAGAGACAGGCCTGGGGGGGGGAGCCGCACTCCTCGGGGCTGGGGGAAGGGCTCTGGGGGAAGACGGGCGAGGGGCCGGGCGGGCGGCAGTAGTGGCGGTGGAGGGAGGGCGAGCCGCAGAGGGAGCAGCTGGGCGGGGAGAAGCCGGGGGCGCGGGGGAGGGTGATCCCCGCCCGGGAGTAGCTCCGGTGAGCCCGGCCGTGGTGGGCGCCCCGCGCCCGGGCCCAGGCCCAGTGGGACGGCTCTGTGGCCATGACCTGGCAGAGGCGAGAACACGGTAAATGGGGGGGGGGGGGGGGGGCCCAGCCTCTTTTCCCACCCCAGGATGCCCCAGGGCCTCACCCTCTCACAGTGCCGGCGGCTCACTAAGGCCCGGAAGCCCATCCTGGCCCACAGCTTGTCCCTCTGGCGCAGGAAGTCTGCCACCTGGTCGTGCCAGCCCTCGCCCAGGGCCCAGGGGAAAATCATGCACTTGGCCTCCTCCAGGTCCTCCTCCATGTCGTTCGCAAGGTACCTGGTCTCGGGGGGGGGGGGGGGGGCAGGGGTATGAGCACCTGCCTGCCCACCCTACACCGAGGAGGCGGGCAGAGGCCCCCGCCCCGCCGGGCGCTCACAGTGCCAAGAACAGGTTGCTGCAGGTGTACTCGCTGAGCTCCAGGTTGGCGCGCCGGAAGTAGACCAGCACCATGGCCAGCAGGTACTGCGGGCACAGCAGGGGGAGGGGTCAGGGAGGGCCCGGGCACAGGGGCCTGTGTGCACCCCAGGAGGTTCTGTGGGGGCCAGAGAAACTGGGGTTGCATGCGGGGCGGGGTCTGCAGAGACCTGGGCTGGAGAAGCAGGCGGTCCTCCAGACCAGGGCACCCCGGGAACAGCAGCACACGATCCCCGCCACGTCAGCCTCCCCCGGGGCCCCTCACCTTGTCCGAAATCTGGAAACAGGGGTCTCTGGCGAGGAACTCCTGAAGGAAGCTGTGCTCTGCGGGGAGAGGAGGAACCGGCAGGCGGGGTTACCACCCACCTCCCACCAGACAAAAGTGGCTGAAGCCCCAACCGGTGTGGCTCAGTGGATGGAGCGTCGGCCTGCGGACTGAAGGGTCCCGGGTTCGATTCCGGTCAAGGGCATGTACCTTGGTTGTGGGCACATCCCCGGTGGGGGGTGTGCAGGAGGCAGCTGATCGATGATTCTTTCTCATCGATGTTTCTAACTCTCTATCCCTCTCTCTTCCTCTCTGTAAAAAAATCAATAAAATATATTTTTTGAAAAAGTGTTATGAAGCTCCAAAGCCTCAGACTCCACGGAACCACCTGCCAAACCGGGGCCCCCTGGGAAGGGAGGGGCGGTGAGAGCCACCTCTCCTGTCTGTCTCCAGCTTGGACCCTCCCATGCCAGCCCCCAGCCCTCACCCCTCAGCTCACCCAGGAGGCGGAGGAAGGCCCGCAGCTCCAGGTGCTGGCGGGCAGGGAGAGGCCCGCTGCCCCCATCCTGGCAGCTCCAGCCCCACAGCTTCACCTGGATGGCAAGCTCATGGGCAGCGGCTGGGGCTTTGCTCATCTCATAGGGGGCGGGGCGGGGGCGGGGCGGGGGGGGGTGACCTGCAGAGAAAGGAGCCCGGGACTTAGCAGCTTTCCTCGCCCCCAGCAAGTCAAGGGCCTGGTGAGGCTGGTCTCAGAGAGGCCCCCGAGGTGGAGGGTGAAGATGCAGACTTGGGGCTCAGAAGAGAAGGAAACAGGGGAGCCCATAGGGTGGGGAGGTCAGGAAAGAGCAGAGATCCGGGAGGCCGCAGCCCCCGGCCCCTCCAGGCTGGGCCAGGGAGGAGCAGCGGGCAGCACTGAGGGACTGAGTGCCAGGAGCTGTGCTCAGTGCGGTGAGGGCATCGCCTTGCTCCGCCCCGTAGGCAGACGGAGCTGGGACCCACTTTGCAAACATGGAAACAAGTGTGAAGATTCACGGCCACCTAACAGTGGAGCCAGCCTGACCCCCCAAACCGGAGTGCGATGGCTCCCCATGCTCCCCCAACGCCTAACCCCCTCTCTTGTGCACCAGTGGCAAACCACGGACCCCCTGACCCCTTATCTCACAGCAGCCTGAGGCCCAGGGGAGGGTGTCACACACATGCCTGGGTGTAAGCAAGTTGAGTTGGGACCACCTCACACCTGTCAAGTTCTGGAGAGAGACGCAGCCTGGAGAAGGTGCCGCCCACCGCCCGTGGCCAGCCTGGGGCCCTCCCCCCAGGACCCCACACGCGGCCCAGCCTCCCTGCTCTCCAGAGCCTCACCTGAGCTCAGGGCTGACCTACAGCGCAGCCAGCAGCCTGCAGCCCCTGCGCTTATAAAGCCTCAGGCTGCCGCCCACAGCTCGCTGCAGCCCGCCCCTTCCTGGGCGCGGGCCGGGCCAGCCCCCCACCTACCTGCCTGCCTCCCTCCCTCCCTCCACCAGGAGTTAACCAGCCCCCGCCTCCTCCCCAGCTGCCCGAGATTCCCATCCTCAGAGCCTCCTCACCTGCGAAGAGGGGGGAGTAAGAGCAGGTGCAGGGTGAGGCATGGCTGGCCTGTGCGTTAAAATTCCCGACGGTGCCTCGCTGGGGCAGGGTCACGGGGCAGGGTCGCCTGTGTTTTCTTCAGATCCGGGAATCCCGAAACCTGGGAGCCAGAGAGGAGGCAATCCTGGCGTGAGACTCCCAAGAGGCTCCGTCCCCTTCCCACGCTCCTTGGAGGGCGGGTGGGCGGGCGGGAGAGACTGACCGATGGCGCAGAGTTGCTAGAGGAAGCCTTTACCCCAAACCACTGAGCCACCCTGGCCTGTTGCTCCATGGTTAGAGCTTCTGCCCCGGATTGAAGGGTCGCGGGTTCGAGTTCGGTCAAGGGCACAGGTTCCCCAGCCCTGATAGGGCCGAGTGTGGGAGGCAGCCAATCGATGTTTCTCTCTCTCTCTCTCTCTCTCTCTCTCTCTCTCTCTCTCCCCTCTTCCCCTCCCATTCTCTCTGGAAATCAACTGAAAAAATATCTCAGTGAGGATTAAAAAACAAAATCTCTAAGCTACTGCTGCCCTGCCCACCCCTCTCCTATCCCCCCCCCTCCCCCCTCAGGCACCAGCATCAGGCCCTTTGGGCTTCACGTCTTCACTGGCTCCTTCACTGTCCACAGCCCTGCCTACAATCAGCTCCTCCGTTACTTTCCACATTTGACAGGTGACTATGTGTGTGTGTGTGTGTGTGTGTGTGTGTGTGTGCGCGCGCGCGCGCGCGCGCACGCGGTAAAATATACATAATAAAAGTTACTGCCTTGCCGAGACTGGTTTGGCTCAATGGATTGAGCGTCGGCCTGGGGACTGAAGGGACCCGGGTTCGATTCCGGTCAAGGGCATGTACTTTGGTTGCGGGCATATCCCCAGTGGGGGGTGTGCAAGAGGCAGCTGATTGATGACTCTCTCTCATCGATGTTTCTAGCTTTCTATCTCTCTCCCTCTCTGTACAAAATCAATAACATATATTTAAAAAAAAAAAAAAAAAAAAGTTACTGCCTTAGTGGTGTTTAAGTTTATTGGTTTTAAGAACATTCCTATTGTGAAATCAACAGCCATCATTCATCTCCAGAACTCTGCATCTTGCAAAACTGGATTTCCTGCCCCTGAAGCACTGACTCCCCCAGCCCCTCCTGCTGCCTTCTGTTTTCTTTTCTTGTCTTTTTTAAAAGAATTTCTTTGTAATTTTTATTTATTTATTTTAGAGAAAGAGAGGAAGGAAAGGAAGAGAGGGAATGAGGGAGAAAGAGACATCGACTTGCTGTTCCGCTCATTTATGCGCTCATTGGTTCATTCTTGTATGCGCCCTGACCAGGGATTGAACCTGAAACCTCGGTATTTGGATGATATTCTAACCAACTGGGGAGGCCCTTTGGGGAGGGACGGAGGCCCCCTGCCGTTATGTCACCATGCAAGCAGATTCCCCGGTTTTAAGGGATCAGATGACCCCAGGCCTAGCTGACATCATGAATGCAACCTCACCAGGGACCCTGAGCAAGATCTACCCAGCGAAGCAGCGCCGGATTCCTGACCCACAGAAACGACGAGATAATAAATGTTTGTTGTGTTAAGCTTCCAAGTTTTAGGGTATTTGTGACACAACAGTGAATGACTAATATAGCAGTCACATTGGAATTCTTACATTGGATCCTGGACCAGGAAATAAACGTTAGTGGGACCATTGGAGTCAAAATAAGGTCTGTAGATTAGCTAACAGTATTATAGCAATGCTAATTTCCTGGTTTTACAACTGTCTTATGGTTGTGTAAGATGTTAGCATTAAGAAATATTTTGGCCAAAACCGGTTTGGCTCAATGGATAGAGCGTCGGCTTGGGGACTGAAAGGTCCTGGGTTCGATTCCGGTCAAGAGCATGTACCTTGGTTGCGGGCATATTCCCAGTAGGGGGTGTGCAAGAGGCAGCTGGTCGATGACTCTTTCTCATCGATGTTTCTAACTATCTCTCTCCTTTCCTCTCTGTACAAAATCAATAAAATATTGAAAAAAAGAAAAAAAGAAAAAAAAGAAAGAAATATTTTGGCCAAAACTGGTTTGGCTCAGTGGATAGAGCGTCAGCCTGTGGACTGAAGGGTCCTAGGTTTGATTCTGGTCAAGGGTATACACCTTGGTTGCGGGCACATTCCTAGTGGGGGTTGTGTAGGAGGCAGCTGATGGATGTTTCTAACTCTCTATCCCTCTCCCTTCTTCTCTGTAAAAAATCAGTAAAATATATTTTTAAAAAAGAAGTTAAAAAAATCAATAAAATATATTGTTTTTTTAAAAAAAGAAGGCACAAATTAACAATAACAGGAATGAAAGCCCTAGCTGGTTTGGCTCAATGGATAGAGCATCATCCTTTGGACTGAAGGGTCCCAGGTTCGACTCCAGTGAGGGGCACAGGCCTGGGTTGTGGCCCCATCCCCAGTGAGGAGCATGTGGGAGGTGGTCAATTGATGATTCTCTCTCATCATTGATGTTTCTCTCTCTCTCTCTCCTTCCTCTCTGAAATCAATAAAAATATATTTAAAAAAAAATAAGGACTGAATGAGAGAGAAATACTGGAGGCTCATAAACGTAGATATAAATACCTAAACAGATTATCGCAAAACTGGACCTAGTAATGTATAAAATAAGTAACACACTGCCCACGTGGGGTTTGTTCTAAAAGTGCGAGGTTAGAGATGAGAAATGTAATTAATGCAATGTACCCCTTTAACACGTTAGAGGAGAAAAGCTGTACCATCTCAGTGAATCCAGAGTGCATGTCGCCCGCCCAGCGAGACAGACAGAGCCAAAGGGCACGTCACACCAGTGGGGCAGGTGGCTCAGGGCAGGAGGAGCGGCCGTGGCTGGGCAGAGTATTGAGCCACTTGTTGAAATGGGATCTAGCTGTTGGCAGCTCTCTCTGCAGTGCCGTTTTGCACGGAAATATAAAATCCTCTCCATTCTGAACTGGCACATTTTTATAAGCATAGTTATAATCAAATAACCACCGAGTTTATGAGAGAAAGAAAAGTAAGGTAATGAATTGAGAAATATAAAATTAGGGTGTGGTATCTTGGGGTGGGAGACAGAGAGATGTGATGGAGAGGAGGAGATAGGAAAACTTTGTTAATATTCTGTTTATTGTTAATATTCTGATATTGTTAATATTCTGTTTATCAAACGGAGGGGGCTTATTTAATTACTCATGCCACTATTTATGTATAATTGACATCAATGACTTTGTACGTATCACATAGGTCATAATTTTAAAAAGTGAACTCAACATGCTACTTCCAAACCTGCTATCTCTGGGATTCTCCATCTTACAGAATAATTTCTTTTTCAAATATGTATTTTTCAAAATACATGTTATTGATTTTTTTACAGAGAGGAAGGGAGAGGGACAGAGAGTCCCTCCTGGAATGCAGAGGGCACTCTGCAAAGTTGCTGTCTCTCCGCAGCTCCTATGTTGAGTGTCTGCCCCCTGGTGGTCAGTGCGTGTCATACTTACAGGCTAGTCAGCCAGTTGGCCAGTTGGCTGGTCACTTAGCCTTTTATATATGTAGATTTTATCTTCCTCCACACAGGGCCACTCTGCTTCTCCCTTCCCCTCTCCCCACGCTAAATCGAATACTGAATTCTGGCCCTCCACACCTTCGGCACCTCCATCACCCACCCTGTCCAGCCCAGCGCAGGCTGTCTTTATCCCCGCGTGAGCCGCTGCATCAGCTTCCTGACCGTTCCTCTTGCTCCAACCGGCACTCCCTCCCTCCTTCAGTCCCCCATGCGACCGAGGCCAAGGATAGCATCTCCCAGTGCAGATGTGCTCAGCCGTCTCCTGCTCAGCCCTCGGCGGTATCTTTCCACTGACCCTAGTGTAACCCCAAAGTCATGAAGAGGCGGTTTTTATGGCCAGTGGCTCTGGCTCACCCGTCTCTTCAGGCTCATTTTCTGCCATTCCCAGCTCTCTCACCAAGCTCCAGTCCCCTGGGATCCTCTTCGCTTCCTAATAGACACCTGGACTTTCCATTCAGGCCGGAGGGTCTTCCCGCTGACTAAGCCTATTCCTGTCTCAAGTCCACCCACCCTACCCTCTCATCATCTTATGGTGTCATCTAAAATGTCACTTCAGCCGAGACCGGTTTAGCTCAATGGATAGAGCGTCGGCTTGGGGACTGAAGGGACCCGGGTTCGATTCCGGTCAAAGGCATGTACCTTGGTTGCGGGCATATCCCCAGTAGGGGGTGTGCAAGAGGCAACTGATCGATGACTCTCTCTCATCGATGTTTCTAACTCTCTATCTCTCTCCCTTCCTCTCTGTACAAAATCAATAAAATATATTTAAAAAATAAATAAATAAATAAAAAAATAAAATGTCACTTCATCATCCCACTTTTTAAAAAAAATATATTTTATTGATATTTTACAGAGAGAAGGAAGGGAGAGAGATAGAGAGCTAGAAACGTCGGTGAGAGAGAAACATCAACCAGCTGCCTCTTACACACCCCCCACCAGGGATGTGCCCACAACCAATGTACAATATATGCCCTTGACCGGAATCGAACCTGGGACCTTCCAGTCCGCAGACCGACGCTCTACCACTAAGCCAAACCGGTTTCGGCCATCATCCCACTTTTATTACTTTTTTAAATATATATTTTATTGATTTTTTTTACATAGAGAAAGGGAGAGGGATAGAGAGTTAGAAACATCGATGAGAGAGAAACATAAATCAGCTGCCTCCTGCACGCTCCCTACTGAGGATGTGCCTGCAACCAAGGTACATGCTCTTGACCGGAATTGAACCTGGGACACTTCAGTCTACAGGCTGACGCTCTATCCACTGAGCCAAACCGGTTAGGGCTTTCTTTTTTTATTCTTCATTGCCAGGTGTAGCCTTTGAAAACCTCCCTCGTATGATCTACCTCACTTTTCATGTCCCTGACTTCCAGCCAAGTGCAGATCTCCCGGAACTCCAAGGGCCTGTAGGAAATGGTGGAGCCACAAGGTAGAAAGAGCCTGGGCTCTCCAATGATCAGGTGGGAGCTGGACCTCCAGGTGTTCTCTGTCACAGAGATGTATTAGTTGTGTATGGTGTAAAAATTACTTCAGAACTTTGTGCTTTACGTTAAAAAAAAACAAACACACAACTCGTTATCTCGCTGTTCTGTGGGTCAGGAATTCAAGAGCAACTTATCTGGGAAAGACTCACAGTCATTCATGAGGTCGCATGCAGTCAGGATGTCGGCCAGGGCTGCAGGCACCTGAAAGCTTGCTTGGCTGATATGAACATTCATGTACAAGTGTTTGTACGAACAGATGTTTTCAAATCTCTTAGATATGCATCTAGGAGAGGAATATCTGGGTCATGTGGTAACTGTCTGTTTAACTTCTTGAGAAACTGCCAAACTATTTTCCAAAGCATCTGTACTATTTTACCAGAAATGTATGAGTATACCAATTTTTAAAAAAATATATTTTATTTTTATTTTTTTAAAATATATTTTATTGATTTTTTACAGAGAGAAAGGGAGACGGATAGAGAGCTAGAAACATCGATGAGAGAGAAACATCCATCAGCGCCTCCTGCACAACCCCCACTGGGGGTGTGCCCACAACCAAGACACATGCCCCTGACCAGAATTGAACCTGGGACCTTTCAGTCCGCAGGCTGATGCTCTATCCACTGAGCCACACCAGTTTCTGTGAGTGTACCAATTTCTTCACACTCTTCCTAAAACTTGTTATTGTGTTTAGTTATAATATCCTAGTGTGTGTGAAGTGGTATCTCATTGTGGTTTTGATTTGCATAACCACGTTGTGCCTGTTGGCCATTTTTCTATCTCCTTTGAATAAGTTTCTATTCAAATCCTTTGCCCATAAAATAGGTTACTTGTCTTTTTATGAGTTATAAGAGTTCCTTAAATGTTATAGATACAACTCCCTTGCCAAATATATTATTTGAAATATTTTCTCTCATCCTGTGAGTTGTCCTTTCACTTTCTGAATGGTGTCCTTTTGAAGTTCAACATTTTAAAATTTTGATAAAATCCAATGTATCTAGTTTTCCTTTTGTTGTTGTGCTTTTGCTGTCATATGAAAGAAACCATTATCTAGCCCAAGCTCATGACGTTTATGCTTACGTTTTCTTCTAATACTTTCATAAGGTCTTACATTTAGGTCTCTGATCCATTTTGAGTTAATTTTCGTGTGTGGTGTAAGGTAGATGACCCAGAAGCATTTGTTGACAAGACTATTCTTTCCTCCATTGCATTGTTGTAGCAACCTTGTTGAAAATCAATTGACCACCCTGGCTGGTTTGGTTCAGTGGATAGAGCTCTGGCCTGTGGACCAAAGGATCCCAGGTTTGATTCTGGTCAAGGGCATAAATCTCAGTTGCAGGCTCCTCCCTGGCTTGGGCCCTGGTCGGGGTTTTTGCAGGAGGCAACCAGTGGATGGTTTCTCTCACATCAATATTCTTTCTGTCTTTTCCTCTCTATAAAAGTCAATGAAAAAACTTTCTTGGGTAAGGAGAAAGGAAGGAAAAAAAAAAAAAAGGAAGGAAGGAAGGAAGGAAGGAAGGAAGGAAGGAAGGAAGGGAGGAAGAAAGGAAGGAGAAAGAAAGTCAATTGACCATAAATGCATATTTATTTCTGGGCTCTTAATTTTATTCCATTGATTTGCCTATGTTAATTAGTGTGGATCTGTAGTAAGTTTTCAAATAAAAAAATATGAATATACGAATACAACAACTTTATTCCAAAACTGTTTTCTCTATTCTGAATCTTGTGTGTTTCAATAAGAATTTTATGGATCTCTAATTTGCATGTCATCTTTGCATAGGAACCACGATAACCTTCTCTGTATCCTTCCAATTTTAGTAGATGTGCTGTTGAAGCGAGCAGTCAACGTGAATTTTAGGATCACCTTGTCGATTTTTAAGTCTTTAATTTAGGTCTTAGTAGTCGCTGAAAGTCATAAATGGCTTCATGGGGAATCAACTAAGGGACAGTTGACAAGCAAAACTGACTAGGTCAACGCTGTCGCTTGTAGCAGAACTTCAATCCAGGTCAACAGGTGGTGGTGAAGGTGGCTGAGGGAACAGGACGGGACTCCATGCCAACCCCAGGACAGGTCTCCTTAAATCTCTGGACCTCACTTGTCTCACGTATAAGATGAAGACAGGCCGGGACCGGTTTAGCTCAATGGATAGAGCGTCGGCTTGGGGACTGAAGGGACCCGGGTTCGATTCCGGTCAAGGGCATGTACCTTGGTTGCGGGTATATCCCCAGTAGGGGGTGTGCAAGAGGCAACTGATCGATGACTCTCTCTCATCGATGTTTCTAACTCTCTATCCCTCTCCCTTCCTCTGTACAAAATCAATAAAAAAAAAAAAAAAAAAAAAAAAAAAAAAAAAAAGATGAAGACAGCACCACCTAGCTCACAAACTTTAATGATGGGTAAGTGAGCTGACAAAATTGCAAGGCACAATGTGGGTGCATTAGCTTCATTCTGCCAGTGCAGAGACTGGGTTGGCACAAACTGAAATACCGGGCCCCGGAACGGAACACCAGGACTGTCAAGCTGCAGGCGCGGGAACGCAGCATTGAAGTCAAGCCTTCCCACGGGACGGTCCCCCCGGCATTCAAGGTCTGCCTTCTCCTCAGTCCGTGGCCACCTGACTGCCCTCTCCCACAGAGTGCGGCAAACGTCCCCCCCAAGGCAGACAGTCACCCCCCGCCCACCCGCCACACACCCCCGCCCGGACCGCGCCGTCCCCACGCTCCGCCGCTGGGGTCCGACCTGGACCTAGGCAACGCTGCCTTCCGCCCCTAGCAACCGCTCACCTGCTTCTCTCTCCCTATTGGCCAGCACATTTCCCCTTTTTTTTATTGGTCCGCGTAGATACATCCCGACCAATCCGCGGCAGCCACGGGGAGCCAACTTACTCCCACACAATTTGGGGTGAGCTCGGAGGAGGCGAGTTTTTCCTTTTCTGAATCCGGAGGCATCTTCCTTGTCAAACTACTGTGACTCCCCCTGGAATTCGCTTCAAAACACTTTACGTCCCAGGCCTGTCTGTCCCGCGCCGACTCCCCGCTCCCGGGGGCCGGGCCCCCACGACGCCCCGCCTCCCCGCCGCTCGGAGCGCCGGGTCCCCGCTAGGCAGCGGCCACCCCGCGGGGGACCGTACCATCTGCGGCTGATAATAGGGGGGCTCCCCCTCCCCACCCCAGGGCTGCCCTGTTCCGCACCGGCCGCCCGTGGCATCTCCTGCTCCCCCCACGGGCACGGACCCCCGCGGACATGGCGGTGGGACGCCGGCTCCGGGCCCCGAGGAAGGCCGGCGCGGCGCGGCCGGAGGGCACTTGGTACGGCCCACGCCGCGCCCGCGCTGCCGGAAGTGAGGTGTCCCGCCCGCGGAGTTCCGGCTCGCAGGGGGTGGAGGAGTGTTGTTACCGGGGCGCCTCCGCAGTCGCGGGGTTTGAGCGGGCTCGCGGCGGGGCTCCTGGTGAGTGCGCCGGGCGGGCCGGGCCGGGTGTGGTTGGCGCCGGGGCCGGGCCTTCCCCGGGGTCTCCGGGCCGGGCGCCCCGCCGCCCGTGTCGGTCTGTCACTGGCGGCGGACAGACAGCGGCGCCGCGCGGCCGCTCTCCCCGAGGCCGGGCCGCCGGCGACGCCCGCAGCTTCGGGCGCTCACAGGTGCGCGATCGCGGGGCGACCCGGGCCCCCGCGGTGTCGCCGCTGCATCCTGTCGGCCGGCCGTTTCTCGGGGGCCCCGAGTGGACACTGCCCCGAGGCTTGGGGGGCACCGGGGTTCCAGACGGACGGGCCCGCCCGCTCCCGCGGGGCGCGAGTCCGAGCTGCCAGCCCCGGTCCAGCTGTCACCGGCCCCACCGCGCCCCCGGCGCCTGGGCTCCTGCCGGCCCGGCCGCACGCTCCGCGGCGGGAGATCCATGCCTCCTGCCCCCTCCAGCCTTGGTGCCTGTCCCCCTTCCTCCCTCGGGGCGGCGGCCTGGCCGGCGGAAAGAGCCCTGGATTTGACACAGGACTGACCCAGACTGCCGGGCCGGCGTCCGTGGGATCAGTCAACCACTCAGTTTGCTGTTTGTAAAGTTGGGGAATGTATGCTCTTCTTGGTGTGATGGTTGTGAGGGCGGGATGAGTTTTTATTTTCACCATATGGGCATCCCACAGGTTATCCTTCCTCCCGCACGCAGGTGTCCGGCCAGGGCGATGTTCCGCACCGCGGTGATGATGGCGGCCAGCCTGGCGCTGACCGGAGCAGTGGTGGCTCATGCCTACTACCTCAAGCACCAGTTCTACCCCACGGTGGTGTACCTGACCAAGTCCAGCCCCAGCATGGCAGTGAGTGGAGGGCTCAGGGAGGGAGGAGCTCCGGGAGGGAGGGAAGGAGGAGGTTGCTTGAGACAGAGGCGGGGCTAGAGGTAAGAGAAGTGAAGCGCCAGCAGCTGCCTGACTTTGAATAAATTGTGATGGGGAGGTGGGGGTGGGGTGGGGTCCTGAATGACGAGCGCCAGGCAGAGCAAAGCCAGAAGTGACCTCAAACCATCGCCTCTCTCTCCTCCTAGGTCTTGTACATCCAGGCCTTCGTTCTTGTCTTCCTTCTGGGCAAGGTGATGGGCAAGGTGTTCTTTGGACAGCTGAGGGCAGCAGAGATGGAGGTAAGATGGTTGTGGCCCCAAAGGTGAGGGCCTGGGAGCTGGGCAAGAGAATGTCTGAGTTCCACATCATGTCCTGCCCACCCCCAGCACCTTCTGGAACGTTCCTGGTACGCGGTCACTGAGACTTGTCTGGCCTTCACTGTCTTTCGGGATGACTTCAGCCCCCGCTTTGTCGCGCTCTTCACTCTCCTCCTCTTCCTCAAGTGTTTCCACTGGCTGGCGGAGGACCGTGTGGATTATGTGAGTAATCAGGGGTTACTGGAGCAGACAGAAGCCAGATGGTGGCCAGTGGGCAGGCTTGTGGACTGAGGGGGGCTGGGCTGGGGGTATGGGGTGAGTCCCAGCCTTTCTGACAGGACCCCTCTCTGCTCTGCCTCAGATGGAACGCAGCCCCAACATCTCCTGGCTCTTTCACTGCCGCATCGTCTGTGAGTGAGACCCACGCAGGGGAGAGGCGGGGGAGAGGCGCCAGGACCTGTACTCCAGAGCGCAGGCTGCCCAGCTGTACAGGAAAGATAATTTAGGAAATTAATTTGCATCGTCTCTGTCCTGTTCCACTCCAGAGCCTCTCAGCTGCCTGGCCCCTTAGCTCTTTGCCTCCTCACCTGGAGCTTGGGTTTCCCAGTGCCCCGCTAGGCAGACTGGAGCCCCGGGGGGCAGGTGCAGTGGTATGTGCCCACCTGACTGGAGGCTGGGACCATCCAGTATGGGCTTGAGGGTGGGAGCTGTCTTAGAGCGTGAGATGGCTGCCAGGCCCTGGGCTGACCCCTCCAACCCCCCACGCGGGGGTCCCCACAGCCCTTATGTTCCTCCTGGGCATCCTGGACTTCCTCTTCGTCAGCCATGCCTATCACAGCATCCTGACCCGTGGGGCCTCTGTGCAGCTGGTGTTTGGCTTCGAGGTAAACTGGCTTGGGAAGTTGGGAGGACAAGCCTGAGGTGGCGCTGCATGTGCCTTGAATAACCCAACAAACCTCTGAGCACCTGCTCTGTGGCCCTCGGCCTTCAGTCAGTGCTGGCTCCTAGGAGCGCGGGGAAGCACAGGAAGAGGCGTGTGTGGAGGAGGACCCTGACCTGGTGCTCGGGGAAGGCTTCCTGGAAGTTGATGCCAGAGGAGCTGGCTGCTGGTGGACAAAGGGAGTTAGCTTGATGGGCAGCTGGGGAGGTGTGTCGCTGGCAGAGGAAGAATGTGTTCATTGACAACAGCTCACTTTGTTGAATGCTTCTTGTGTGCCAGGCCCTGAGCTGAGCACTTGACCTGCATCTCTTTTAATTAGCAAAGTAGCATTGTTACAAAGGAACAGCCAATTCTGTCATTTTACAGACAAGCAAACTGTACTTCAGAGAGGTCTATGGGTTGCCAAAAGTCAGACCAGCTAGTGAGTGGAGGGGCTAGGAAGACGCCAGCTGTGTCCAAACCTGTGCTCGTACTACTGTGCCTGCTGTGCGGAGGCCTGGGGTGGCAGTGTGGCTGGAGCAAGCAGGGGCTGCTGCTTAGGCCTCCTCTCCTCTCCTTCCTCCAGTACGCCATCCTGATGACCATGGTGCTCACCATCTTCATCAAGTACGTGCTGCACTCTGTGGACCTTCAGAGCGAAAACCCCTGGGACAATAAGGCCGTGTACATGCTCTACACAGAGCTGTTTACAGGTGACAGGACTGGGCCTCCCTGACCTGGACTAGTATCCCCAGCTCTGCCGCGCAGGCCTGTGACCTGCTGCTCTCTGTACCCCTTTCCCCGCAGGCTTCATCAAGGTTCTGCTCTATCTGGCTTTCATGACCATCATGATCAAGGTGCATACCTTCCCTCTGTTTGCCATCCGGCCTATGTACCTGGCCATGAGGTGAGCCCAGCTGAGCCGGGCCCTGCCACACGCCTCACCCCTGTTTGATCCCTCCCCTTCCTCTCCCAACTTCCACTGAAACTCTCCTTTCAGGCAATTCAAGAAAGCTGTGACAGACGCCATCATGTCTCGCCGAGCTATCCGCAACATGAACACACTGTACGTGGGCTGGCCTAGGCGCCCTCCTGAGCTCTGCTCCAGCTCTGGTCCTCCAGCTCTGGTCTTGACATGTCCTTGGCCTGTTGTAACCAGGTACCCAGATGCCACCCCAGAGGAACTCCAGGCAATGGACAATGTGTGCATCATCTGTCGAGAAGAGATGGTGACTGGTGCCAAGAAACTGCCCTGCAACCACATTTTCCATACCAGGTGGGAGGGGCCCTGGGGAGTCTGCGCCTCAGGGGACAGGCTCTGGGGGGGCAGGTCCCTAGGGACCTGCTCATCATTGCCTGGTCTTGACCGCCAGCTGCCTGCGCTCCTGGTTCCAGCGGCAGCAGACCTGCCCTACTTGCCGTATGGATGTCCTCCGTGCATCGCTGCCAACCCAGTCACCACCACCTCCTGAACCTGCGGATCAGGGACCACCACCTGCCCCCCACCCCCCACCACTCCTGCCCCAGCCCCCCAACTGTGAGTGACTCCTCATTTGGCCATCTGACACTGTCTAGTGCTCGCCTTGGGCTGGGTATGGGAAGTCAGAATCCCTGCCCACTAGCTCAGTCTGGTGTGGTGATGGGGAGGGCATGGGAGGAGACAGAGATGGCTGCTGTCATGTGTAGTCAGTGCTGAGCTCAGAGGACCTGTGGGAGCAGAGGGCATAGCTCCAACAAGCAGCCCCTTGCCTGTGATTTGGACTGTTTCTCATTGCCTCCTGTCCTCTCTCTGCAGTCCCCCAGGGCCTCCTGCCTCCGTTTCCACCAGGCATGTTCCCGCTGTGGCCCCCCATGGGCCCCTTTCCTCCAGTCCCGCCGCCCCCCAGCTCAGGAGAGGCTGCGGCCCCTCCGTCCACCAGCGCAGGTGAGCCTTTTAGGTGCTGCGACCACCAGGGGGGCGGGAGTAGTGGAAACAGAGGCCCCTCAACACCCACCGACTTCCTGTTCTTGCTCGTTAGCAGCGCTTTCTCGGCCCAGTGGAGCAGCCACAACCACAGCTGCTGCTGCTGCCTCTGCCCCGGCACCTGGCTCTGCCCCCGCCTCCGAGGCTGCTCCCGCCCCGGGCTTCCCCTTCCCCCCTCCCTGGATGGGGATGCCGCTGCCGCCACCCTTTGGTAAACAGGGACCCTGGGGTGGTTCTGGTGGGTGAGGGGTGCCAGGCCCAGGCCCCCAGGCTGAGCCTCTACCTCTCTGCAGCCTTCCCCCCGATGCCTGTGCCCCCCGCCGGCTTTGCTGGGCTGACCCCAGAGGAGCTGCGGGCTCTGGAAGGCCACGAGCGGCAGCACCTGGAGGCCCGGCTGCAGAGCCTGCGCAACATCCACACGCTGCTCGATGCCGCCATGCTGCAGATCAACCAGTACCTCACTGTCCTCGCCTCCTTGGGGTACGTCCACACGGGAACCGGGTGGGCGGCAGAGGCATGGAGCTTGCCCTTTTTCTCGTGCCAGCCCGAGATACCCGATTCAGGCCACCTGGTGCCTTTGTACACCCCCCCCCCCCCCCCCCCCCCGCAGGCCTGTCTGGATCTCAGTGCAGAAGTGTGGATTATTAGAGAGCTGACTTTGCATCTTGTTACTTTATCTTTTCCGCAATTCAAATTCCTTCTAATTCTCAGTGTTTTAGTTCGTCTCCTGCACCCTCCTCACAATGTGTTACTGACTGGGAATCAGTGTTCCTGACCTGAGACAGCAAATAAAGTCAGTCACTCAGAGGCACCTGGCCTCACTCAGGTGCTTTGTGGCCACCGTTACCTTATATCAGTGTTTCCCAAACTTCTCTCATGATGAGAATCACCTGGTGGAGTTGTTAAAATACAGATTCCTGAATCCCAACTAGGAAGTGCTAAACCAGAATTTCTGGGAACATAAAGGTAAAATTGTATTCTTAACTTAGTGCTCTAGAGTTAACCAAACCAGTTTCGGCAGTACTTTTTATTTTATATATTTTTATTGATTTCAGAGAGGAAGGAAGAGGGAGAGATAGAAACAGCAATGAGCCGAAACCGGTGTGGTTCAGTGGATGAGCGTCGGCCTGCAGACTGAAAGGTCCCGGGTTCGATTCCGGTCAAGGGCATGTACTTTAGTTGCGGGCACATCCCCAATAGGGGGTGTGCAAGAGGGAGCTGATCGATGATTCTCTCTCATCGATGTTTCTAACTCTATCCCTTTCCGTTCCTCTCTGTAAAAAAATCAATAAAATATATTTAAAAAGAAAGAAAAAGAAACAGCAATGAGAAGAGAGAACCATTGATCGGCTGCCTCCTGCATGACCCCCCACTGGGTATTGAGCCCACAACCCAGGCATGTGCCCTTGACCAGAACCCTTCAGTCCGAGGGCGGACACTCTATCCACTGAGCCAAACCGGCTAGGGCAGTGCTGCACTCTGTTTTGCAGGGCTTGCCAAGGACAAGAGAATCTGCCCAGTCATACCAGGATGCCAAAGCTGGGCTTACCTCTTGTCCCTTTTCTTCCTAGGCCCCCCCGGCCTGCCACGTCGGTCAACCCCACTGAGGAGACTGCCCCTCCAGTTGCTGCTGCTGCCTCCTCCACCAGCATCCCCAGCTCCGAGGCCACCACCCCATCCCCAGGAGCTGCCCCAGCAGCCCCCGAACCTGAAAAGCCTCCAGGTAGCTGCGGCCAGCCTCCGGGGGCAGGGCGAGGGGTTCTCCGTGTTGCACTCCTGACCTCTGTGTCCCCAGCTCCTGAGTCCGTGGGCACTGAGGAGCCGTCCGAGGATGGGGAGCCGGATGCAGCAGAGCTCCGCCGCCGCCGCCTGCAGAAGCTGGAGTCCCCCGTTGCCCATTGACACTGCTCCAGGCCTGGCCCTGCTCCTCAGGCAGCCCTTGCTGGAACACGTCCTGCCACCAAGTGCCAGCTCCTCTCTGTACCAGGGAGCAGTAACCCCCCATCTGAGACAAAGGAGGTGGCATCCCCCAGGCCAAGCGGAAAGAGGCCTAAGGCCCCAGTTGACGCCAGCCCTTACGTCCTTGGGCAGCCAACGGGATCGAGTCAGTTCCAGCCTTCTCCAGCCCTCCAGCCCTGCGTTCCGCGGGGGCCATGAAGGCAGAGCAGCACAGCCTTGAGAAGCCCTCTGAGCCCCACTTGCGTGTGGAGTCACACTGCAGTGCCGAACAGTATTAGCTCCCGTTCCTAAGTGTGGACTCGCGGGTCTGAGGGCAGGCCAGGCCCTGGCTCCCTGACCCACCAAGACTGGTACCTGTGTCCATTTTTTACCCTAAACTCCCTGGAGGCCCTTCGTGGTGGCGGCTGTGTCCCTTATGCCCTGTGACATTTCCATGTCTTACTGGCAACCACACAACTCAGGGAAAGGAGTGCCTGGGGGCAGAGAAGCAGGAGGGCGGCACTGAGGGACACTGCCCGCAAGGCCCCTCTCCCTGTAGCTTGTCTAAAGCGACTGTCCCTGCTCTGACCCAGCGGCCACTGCCCAGCCTCTCCAGGCTGAGGGTTTGTGTCTGCTCCGGAACCACTGAAGCCCCAGAATCTACGGAAGGCCACTTCTCAACTCACAGAACTTGCCTGAAGTTTGAAGAATTAGAGTCACTTCCTTGTATTTTCTTGGGCTTAAAATCTGTCTTTGGATTTGAATGCTTGACCCTAGGGAAGGGGAGCAGGAGGGCCATGCTCCCAGTCTTTCCAGTTCAGAAAAGGCTGGGCAGGGAGGGAACAGGAGCCACGCCTGCCTGTCCCTGTCTTTTCCCCTTGGTTTTGTGTTAAGTGAGTTGCTGGAGAGTTTCAGATGATTATTTAATTTGTAAATATTGTACAAATTTTAATAGCTTGAATTGTATATACAGCCAAATAAAAGCTTGCATTAACAATTGGTAGATCCGGTGTCAGTATCAGTGAGCTGGGCTCCATTTTCTTGCTCAGGCTGTAGACGAGAGTGGCCCGGAATCTTCAGGGATGAGGGTTTATTTAGACAACCCAGCACTGTCCTTGGCGCATTGTTATTAAACGATTAGGAAGATATACCCACATTATATAAAACAGCTCCAAAAGGTGAAGTGCCCTGCCTTAGTCCAGAGAAAGCTAAGCACTGAACCCTGACTTAAGTCTGATTCTGGGGTGGGGTGGGTTTTCCGCCCTCATTACAAGTGTGAAGGTTCATTGGATGGCGATGGCAGGGGCAAAAGGCCAGCGTCCTCATGCCTGCAAACCCCCGGTCCAGCCTTGATACCAGGTCATCAAGCTGGGAAGCATGCCACCTGCTGGGCTGCTAGGAGCTCCCAAGCACCCCTTGTGGGCAAATCAGCTGCAGCGAAGCACTAATTACTGCAGCTGGAAACCCAATCAGGCGTAATGTGCCTCGGCCTCTCCCTGGGAAGGAAAGATGAGCTCCGGCTGACAAGGGCACTGTGCCAGCGCTGCACACGTAACGGAAGGCTCCCAGGACCCATGTCCGTCATCTGTGTTCTCCGCAGCCTCCACAAGCCAGGTCTGGCTGGAGGAAGAGCTTGGAATGTGTGCAGCAGTAAGTCTAAGACCAAGGAAGGCAGGTCCCCAGTGCTTCTGTCCTGTGCTACCCTCCCCTAAACACCAGAGGGGCAGCCAACAGCCTCCAGAATTTGAATAACTGACCCAAGAAGCTCCAATGAAGAAAAAGCAAGAATAGACCAAAATCAGGGGCAGGGGGACAGCAACTAATGCCCCCACTACCTCAGCTGTTCGTAGTGGGTCTCCATGTTAAGACAGCCCTGCCTCAGTGCTGGCATCTGTGCAGACGGTCCTGTTTCCCCCTGTAGGCAAGCAGTCTGCTCCAGAGCCCTTCAGCCCTCACCCTAGTCCGTACCCCAATCCTAGTTGCCTCAACACCGCCTCCCTCCTGAGGTCCCCTGGACTCCGGTCTGTGGGGGATGCTGTTGTGTAGGCTGCTCGGCCAGGCCTCAGAAGCCCTTCTCTAAGAGCCAGGCTTTTAGCTGCTGGTCAAAGTAGCCCTTGATCCGCAGGGTGCCTGTCACCTCATTGACCTGGGTGATCGGGGGCTTCCCCAGCAGTGGGCTCAGAAAGTCTTCCACATCCTTCTGCAGGGCCTGAGGGAAGATGACAAATCCGGCCCGGTCAGGAGACCCGTCACCTCTAGAGGACTCCCATCCCATCAGACCCTGGCCACCCACACACTTACCCAGATGTCTCCCTCCACCTTCCGGATCACAGTCATCTGACGGTTGCCGTGGGTGATGTCGGTATAGACGGGGAGGTTGTGCATCCGAGAGCGCCGCACAAAGTAAGGCAGGTTGGGTGGAGGGTCTGGGACAGGGAGGGATGGGGATAAGCACAGTCTTCCCAGACTTCATCCCACTCAGCCACGGCCTTTCTCCTCACAGTCTGCGGCAGAGCCGCCTCAGACTTCAGTCGGGAGACCCGCTCTTTCCAGAAGGTTAGAGCCAGGACACTGGTAGCCCAAGGCCCACGCAGGTGCCTCAGGAAGGGGCTCAAGAAGAAATTAAGTGAGGGCCAAGCCTCCCTGGACATTTGGGACCAATCCCTGCTCTTCTCCTCTGGGACAGGAAGACTAAAATGAACTCTGGCACCAAGGCGTGGAGATGTACGAGTACTGAACGCCCACCACATGCCGGGCTCTGCACTAATGCTTTGTGGTGTCAAGCAGACTTCTCCATTTTACTGAGACTGAGGTTGGGAGAAACTGACCCAGAACTGCCCAGCTCCCAAGCTGAGTTCTCAGTTATGGTACATGGACTACGGGGGTGAGGATGGGGGAGGGGGAGGAGTCCAAGCCCTTGGGTCTTCTCTCTATGCTTCTCTTCCTGCATGGGAAGACCTTATCCCAGTAGCGTGGATGGATGGTTACTTGTGAAACAGGCCTCCATTCCTGGGCCCTTCCTTGAACATGAAACAGGTACTAGGCCTGTGAGATGTCAAAACAAGTCCTGAAACCCGAGTTCAGTGTCAGCTGGGGCAGGCCAGCCACCAAGGAGGGGTACTTCCCTGTAGCCTTCAAGCCATCCCCATTATCTAGCTCACCTCTGGGGGGCTGCCAGCCACTTGGAGTAGGATAATGTTCATGCTTCGGGGGGTCTGGAACGCGGGTGGGGGGTAACAGGCGTTCCACAAACTGGTATTCATCCACACACTCCACGAAGCTGGGATAACTGGGAGGCCCTTGGGTCTGGCTCTGAGGCAAAAAAGAAAAAGGAAAAAAAAGCAACCATCAGCATACTCACCACCCACCACCCACCCACCACAGCAGAACTTCAGTGAGTAGGGAAAGGGAACATCACAGGTGGAGAGAACGGTGTAAATGAACAGCTGGAGACAGGGGAGCACCAGTCCGTCTGTCAGGGTGCAGATGGGACTGGAGAAGAACTGCAAGCATTCTGAAGGTCCGCCTCTCCAGCCCTCCTGGGACTCAAACAACAAGACCATTAACCGGAAATCAGAGCAATATGGCAGAATTCAGTATCGAAAGTTTCTTTTAAATATTCTACCTTGGGTTAGGCACTTCCACTCATCCCACGTGATCCTCCTTTACCTGGAAGGTCTCAGCCTGATACGCACATGGCCAGGCATCAAAACTACTTACTCTACAGGTATAGTTTTCATTTAATTCTTTTTTTTTTTTTTTACATAAACACTTCAATGACAGTGGAGCATCTTTCCCATGGGCTGTGTGGGTCACCCAGCCAGCCAGGACCCAGACTCAAATGCAGCGCCTCTCACTCTGACTCCAACAGAGCGAGCACGTCGCCCTCGCGCACCGGGCCTTTCACGTTGCGGATGACGGAGCGGCTCGTGTCGTCCAGGGATTCCACGCGGACCTGCGTGCACTGTCCCTGGGAACCGGTCCTGCCTAGCACTTTGGTAACCCTGGCTAGCTAGATAGGCTGCACACGACTCGTGTCCATGATGGCGGCAATAGTCAGATGGAAAGCCATTTAATTCTTATAATTCGGCGTATTTTATCACATCAACCTTTAATCCTCTTACATTCAACAATCTACCCTAAAGTCACACTCCAAATTCTGTCCTCCCATCCTGCAGCTTTAAGATCCTTTTTGGACACTTAATCCGACAGATACCAAGGAGTCCTGATTGGCGCCGGGGTGGCAACGAGGACAGGGAAGCAGGATGAAGTGGCCCGTATGTCATGAGCTCTAAGTTCCCCATGGTGTCGCCAATGATGGGTCCATCTGAGAACCCGTTAGTTTCCCCTTCAAAAAAAGCTAGGCAGCGAGAATCGGTGTGTAGCCCCGCCCAGTGCTGACTCGCCGAGGTGTCCTCCAATCAGGTCCTAACCCCCACACCCGGAAGCGCGCACCAGGTCCTGTCACCTCCCTTCTCAATCTTGTATCTCCCTGGTCGGATACAAGGTCTCCCTGACCGGATTGGAAAACTAAGGCCCAGATGGGAATGCGATTTCCAGGGCTAAAGGATTAACAGTGAGCCTCTGTTATTATATAACACCCCGCCCTCTGCCCGCCTCTCCGTGTCAGCCCTCTCACCAGCCGCCGGAGCGCGCAGCCCGCCTGGACGCCGACCCTCCAGCGCCGCAGCACGGCCGGGAGCAGGGCCGCAGCCATCTTGAACGCCCCCAACTTCGCCTTCTGCGCGCGCAGCCCGCCTAGTCCCACGCTACCTGCTCACGTCCCGCGAGATCGAACGAACGCCTACGCTTGCGTCAGGGGGCGGAGTCACGGAGCCGTGGGCGGTACAAATAGCCGGGGCGATGGTCGGCGCGCAGCAGTGACGCCAGACGCAGCAAGCGCTTCGGACGTGTACGTGCCTCTTCCTTCCTCTTTCTCGACTCCATCTTCGCGGTAGCGGCACAGGCTGCCGATCAGGTAAGAGTTGGGGGCACGACTGAGTCCGGGGGGCTTCAGAGCAGCTTGGCCGCGAGGGCGGAGGGCGCGGGGGAAAGAGCGGAAGAGGGGTTGCTGTGTGGGCCGGGTCCTTGTCCCCACCCGACCTCCGGGCCCTGCCTTCCCCACGTGAGACCTGCGATCGCACCCGGCCCGCCCTCTCTCCCGGAGTATTTCTTCTCTTACAAGCATTCCTTCTCCTCAGACGCCGACATGCAGCTTTTTGTCCGCGCCCAGGAGCTCCACACCCTCGAGGTGACCGGCGGGGAGACTATCTCCCAGATCAAGGTAAGGCTGCGTGGGGCCAGGTGGCCACCGTACTCCTGTGTGCTTGAACTCGCTCCCCGCGGGGACGCTAACGAGCCTGGTCTTTTCGTGTAGGCTCGTGTCGCCGCGCGGGAGGGCATCGCTCCCGAAGACCAAGTCGTGCTCCTGGCAGGCACGCCCCTGGAGGATGAGGCCACTCTGGACCAATGTGGGGTGGAGGCTCTGACCACGCTGGACGTAGCCGCCCGCATGCTTGGAGGTGAGTTGGGGAGGACCATCCTTAGAACTGCTGTAAGCACAGGATGAGGGGAGATCAGCGTCCTTATGCCAGGATGGTTCTTCCTGTTTACCTAAGAATAACTCTTTTTGTTTTGTTACCCTCACCCGAGGATATTTTTTTCCCATTGGTTTTCAGGGGAGGGGGAGAGAGAGAGAAACATTGATGTGAGACAGACACATCTGCAGTATGTAACCTGCAACCCAGGTACATGCTCTTGACCAGGAATTGAACCAGTGACCCATTTGTGTGCAGGCTTGGCGCTCTAACCACTGATCATGCCAGCCAGGGCAGAATTAATTCTTTAAAAATTTCTTACTGTCGTTGCCCTAGCTGATTTAGCTCGGTGGATAGAGCGTCAGCATGCAGACTGAAGGGTCCAGGGTTTGATTCTAATTAAGGACACATGCCTGGGTTGTGGTCTTGATTCAGGAGGCAGCCAATCAATGATTTCTATCATCATTGATGTTTCAATCTCTTCCTCTCTGAAATAAATAAAAATCTATTTTTTCAAAATTACTGTTGAAAGTATTACACACGTCTCCTCCCCCTCACCCTTCCCTCCTCCCCAGCACATGTCCGCCTCCTTATTGCCTGTGTCCTTTGGCAGCAGTAACTGTTGAGAGGTCCCTGGAAGACTGAACTAGAGTGTAGTTCTATTTCAGTCACTTACTAGATCTTTGCCTATTTCCCAGTTTCCTCGTTAAAATTAGGAGGTTAGACCAGACCCCCTTCAGTTGTTATTTAAAGTCAAGGGGCTAGAAAATCCTGAAGAGGAACCTAGAACATGCCAGGCTAAGATTCCTGGTCAGATGTCACATCTCTGTTTTGTTCTCATTTCCTGTTGAGCCCAGCTCACCTTTTTTTTTTTTTTTTTTTTTTTTTTTTTTTTTAATATATTTTATTGATTTTTTTACAGAGAGGAAGGGAGAGAGATAGAGAGCCAGAAATGTCGATGAGAGAGAAACATTGACCAGTCGCCTCCTGCACACCCCCCACCGGGGATGTGCCCGCAACCAACGTACATGCCCCAGACCAGAATCGAACCTGGGACCCTTCAGTCCGTTTCGGCCCCAGCTCACCTTTAAAGGCTTGAGTTGAGGGAGAAAGAATTCTGGGTGGGGCCTTCTCCTAACCGCTTGCTGCTGTTTCCCTCCACAGGAAAAGTCCATGGCTCCCTGGCCCGCGCTGGGAAAGTCAGAGGGCAGACCCCCAAGGTAAGTGAGAGGATTAGTGGTGTCCTTGGACTTAGTTTTTCACTGTCACAGATAAGACCCTTGACTTTTGACCAGTCTTCTCCCTCCCTGGTAATGAACCCGAGGGAAGAGATGGAAGATGTCAGCCAGGGTTTGATCAGCCTTCCCCTTTCCCAGGTGGCCAAGCAGGAGAAAAAGAAGAAGAAGACTGGTCGGGCCAAGCGACGGATGCAGTACAACCGGCGTTTTGTCAATGTCGTGCCCACCTTTGGCAAGAAGAAGGGCCCCAATGCCAACTCCTAAAGTCCTTTGTAATCGGGTTTTCTCTAATAAAGCCACTTAGCTCAGTCATCTCGTTTCATCTTAATTTGCAGGGGCTCAGGGGGAGAGAGGCTTCTAGGGCTGGTGGTGTGTCCACTAGAACAGTGAGGTCTCACTTTGGTGTCTTGGTATTGCCAAGTGAGGCAGATGCCCTGGATGGGCAGAGAGGGAGAGGGAGGTGGTAAACTATAAGAAAAGGCTTTCCTTCAAATGTAGAGTAACAGAAGATAGGAGTCATCGTGGGTGTTTATAGAGGCAGCAATGGACGGGAGGAGTTCTAGGAGAAAAATGTCAGGGAATGCCAAGCTGGCCTTTTCCTGAACTTGGACCAGCTGTGGCTTGGTGGGGCTCAGTGCAGAAATTGTTTCCAGCTTTGGGAAGTACCACTGATGATTTGGCGCTGTGGGGACCTTGTTTGTGCTGATTGCATGACTCGTCTTGCTAGTCTAATCAGAACTCGGGCTGGTCAGCTGCTTGGTTCACTGTTCCCAAAAGTTGAGTTCTCTGAACTGATTTAAAGTTCCCTGCTAGCCACACCTGCATACCCACATGCTTATTCTAATATTTTTGATCATGCTGCTGCTGAGAATAAAGCCCACGGGGTAAAGAAGGACCTTGGGCTCTAGACTTAGACTGCCTTGAGTTTTGATCCTTATTCCATTTATAATATCTCTGGCCAGGTAGCTCAGCATTGGCCCAATATGCCAAGGTTGCAGGTTTGATCCCTGGTCAAATGAGCAAATATGGGGAGCAACAAATCAATATTTCTCCCTTAAATTGGCTAAAATCAACTTAAAAAAGCCTAATTGCCCAGCCTGCATGGTTCAGTGGTTCAATTCCCATTCAGGGCAAATGCCAGGGGTGCGGACTTGATCCCCAGTGTGAGGTGTACAGGAAGCAGCTCATCAATGATAACATCATTGATGTTTCTATCCTCTGAAATTAAAATTTTGACCATTTTTATTATATATATATATTGATTTCAGAGAGAAACCTGCAACCCAGGCAGGTGGGGCCTTTCAGTTCACAGGCCAATGCTCCATCCACTTAAACTGGCCAGGGTAAAATACATATATATATATATATATATATATATTTTTTTTTTTTTTTAAATATATATTTTATTGATTTTTAACAGAGAGAAAGGGAGACAGAGCTAGAAACGTCAATGAGAGAGAAACATCGACCAGCCGCCTCCTGCACACCCCCCACCGGGGATGTGCCCGAAACCAAGGCACATGCCCCTGGCAGGAATCAAACCCGGGACCCCTCAGACCGCAGACCGACGCTCCACCACTGAGCCAAACCGGCTTCGGCAACATATATTTAAACTAATTTCTGCCATTGTCTCTGAAGAAGCTAATATTCTCACCGAGGATATTCTTTGTCCATTGACTTTTTTTAGAGTGGAAGAGAGGGATTGGGGAAGAGAGACATATCAATTGCTTGCCTCCCGAACTGTCCCAACCTGGACTGGGGAATGAACCCCAAGCCAGGGCAGTCTAACCACTGGTATACCCTGGCCGGGGCATCTACGTACTATCATCTCTTGACAGTTGTGAGGATTAAATGAAGGCCAGAAAGTGCTTGGATCTGCACTTGGCCACGTAGTAAGTACAAATATATTGGCTGTTTTTGTCTCTGAAGTTACACCTGGTGCCCTCACTTATAGGAATTTAGATTCAGGTGGAGGAAGTGAGGAAACTAAATTGTTAACAGCCTTAAAGTAAGTGTAGGGGAATGTAATGAAGGGAGTTGGGTAAACACATACTATCCTAGGAAAGGTCTCTGAAGACCTGAAACAAGTTGCTAATCAGATGGTAAGATGGTGAACCAACCTTCCAGCGGAAAGAACTGCAGTCGGACGTGGAGTTTAGGTCCATACAGTGGAGAGTCATCAGGGCCAGGCCTGGGTTTAAGCAAGGGCCCGGTGTGATCTGACTGACCTGACATTTCACCAGGCTGATGTTTCTGGAGGGCCGGCAAGAAAGGTATTGATTGGCAAGGAATGCCGAGCACCAGTGGTGATGTGAAAAAATGGACAGACTGCCGAAACCATTTGGCTCAGTGGATAGTGCGTCGGCCTGTGGACTGAAAGGTCCCGGGTTCGATTCTGGTCAAGGGCATGTACCTTGGTTGTGGGCATGCCCCCGGTGGGGGGTGTGCAAGAGGCAGCTGATCAATGATTCTCATTAATGTTTCTAACTATCCCCCTCTCTTCCTCTCTGTAAAAGATCAATAAATATATATATATATTTTAAAAAATGAACAGACTTGTCTCACTGCTTCACTCTTCAACTCGCTTTAAACAAACTTGAAGGTCATTAAACCCATCTGGATCTTGGTAAAGAAATATATGATTGATATTGAAATAAGTACAAGGTATTTTGAAGGCAGAACTAACTGTAGGTGAGATTGGATGTGAGAGGTGAGGGACTAAAGAATCAGGGCTTGCTGAAACTGGTTTGGCTCTGGATAGAGCATCGGTCTGCGTACTGAAAGGTCCCAAGTTCGATTCCAGTCAAGGGCATATACATTGGTTGCAGGGACATCCCCAGTAGGGGTTGTGTATCATCGATGTTTCTAGCTCTCTATCCGTCTCCCTTCCTCTCTGTAAAAAATCAATAAAATATATATTTTAAAAATAAAATAAATTTTATATAAATAAAAGTGGAATTGCCCTTTAAAAAAAAAAGAACCAGGGCTTACTGTAAGGGGTGCCATGGACCAACTCCTCACTCGAACACAAACTAAGCTGCGTTGTGATAGGGCCGCGTCTCTGCTCCAGGTGGTCCACTTCACAGGTGGGGGAACGATAGGTTTGGAGGAGGAAATCGAACTGGAGCTCAGGTGTTTGTTCAACGTTGCTGTTTTGAAGAGGGAACAGGCCGCCAACACACACCCAGTCCGGGGGAGGTGCCCCACCTTGGCCTTTCCGCTCTCTCCCCTTTGTCCTCTAGTATAATGGCTGTCCCTACGGCGCAGGGACCCGCACAATTAATGGCCCAGAGGCGGTGTTGGCAAAGACCTACTCCTGCCCCCGCGCGTGGCAGCGCCCGGCAGTCGCGCTGGGGCCGGTGCCGCCTCCCACCTCGCGCTCCGCGGGCGGCTCGGGCCTCACCGCCGCCTCCTGCGCCGGCCCGACCGCGACGTGAGGGCGGGGCTTGGGTTCCGAGTGCGGGCGGAAGTTCCCGAGAGTCTTCGGGAGCTTTCACTGGGCGCCCGCTGGGCCCCACAAAGAGGCGGAAGTTGCCGAGGAGCGCCGGAAGTTGCCGAGCTGCGGCCTCTGCGTTCGCGGGCGGCACGCGGCGCCAGTTGCCATGGAGCCGGCCGGGCCCTGCGCTTTCTGCCCGGCCGCCGAGGCCCGGCCGGCGCGCTACACCTGCCCCCGCTGTAACGTGCCCTACTGCTCGCTGCGCTGCTACCGGGCGCACGGCCCCTGCGCCGAAGACTTCTACCGGGACCAGGTGCTGGGAGAGCTCCGCGGCCGCAGCGCCTCGCCCAGCCGCCTCGCCAGCGCCCTCCGCCGGCTGCGTCAGCAACGCGAGACCGAGGACGAGCCGCAGGACGTAGGCCTCAGGCCCGGCCCGGCGCCCGGCGGCCTCGCAGGCCTCTGGGAGCGGCTGGCCCCGGCCGAGCAGGCGGCCTTCGAGCAGCTGCTGAGCCGTGGCGAGGCCGGGCGGCTGCTGCCCCCCTGGCGGCCGTGGTGGTGGCGCAGCGGGGCCGGGCCACGACTTCTGCAGGAGCTGGACGATGCCCCGGGTGGTGAGGCCGCGGAGCCAGAGCCCGACCCTGCGAAGGCGCCGCCGGAACCCGGGAAGGAAGCCGCGGCCCCGGAGTCCCCGGCCGCCGAGGAGGCGGTTCCTGGAGACGCCCCGGGGGCCTGCGCGCCCGCGGTGCCCGCCCGGATCCCCGCGCTGGGCAGCCTGAGCCGCGGCAGGGTCTCGCCGCTCGTGCGCTTCCAGCTGCCCAACGTGCTGTTCGCCTACGCGCACACGCTGGCCCTGTACCACGGCGGCGAGGAGGCGCTGCTCCCCGACTTCTGTGCCACGCTGCTCGCCGTTTCGGGGGCCCTGGGCGCCCAGCAAGTCTTCGCCTCCGCCGAGGAGGCCCTGCTGGCCGCCGCTCACGTGCTGGAAGCGGGCGAGCACCCGCCCGGGCCCCTGGGCACGCGGGGTGCCATGCGCGAGGCCGCCCGCATCCTGCTGGGCGAGGGCCCTGCTGACCAGAAGGGCTACACGCTGGCGGCGCTGGGGCACCTGGTGCAGACCCTGGGCCGGGCCCGGAGACAGGCCGAGGCTGCTGAAGTGCGGGCCCGCCTCTACCGGGCCCGCAAGAAGTGCCGATTCCTGATGGCGTGGACCAACGAACATGAGGGGGCCCTCCCGGCGCTGGCTCTGGACTGTGCCTGGGCCCACCGAGCGCACACGGTGGCGGCGGGAGAGGTGGCGGCTCTCACTGGGGAGCTGGAGCGGCTCTGGGGAGGCCCCCTACCACCTGCCCCCCGGACTCTCATTGAGGAGCTCCCTGGCTGAAGGGTGGACTCCTGGCACCAATAAACCTGTGAATGGTCCGGCCTGCTGGGAGTGCCCGTTTCTGAGAGGCAGCTGTTGTCCCCACCCCCACCCCCACTCCCCGATTCTTGGGCCCACAAACCTCTCAGCTTCTCCCCAATCAGGGCTGACCCAGCCAACATGTAAACACCCTGTCCCAGGAAGGGAGAGAAGCGGTACCCGAGGTTCCAGATGTTTATCCAAGAAGTAAGAGCACCTCTCCGCTCCGTGTTTGGGTGCTGCCTTCGTGTTCTCCCGACTCCCAGCCAGCGCTCTGAGCTGTCACCCGCCTGTTGGGGCTCGGCGGGAGGGAGTGCATGAGTCCTAGACGTGCCGGGGCTCCTGCCACAGGGTGTGCTGGCCACCGGTGGGCACGCTGGGCTCCACCCACTTCAGTAGACGTAGGGCACAATTCGGTAGGGCACACGCCGGCAGTATTCACGCCAGGCCAGGCCATACTTGCGCAGGCACTGCTGCTCGTCCCGGGCCTCCCTGTGCACCAGCAGCGCGGTGAAGTAGAGGAGGTAGAAGTAGGGCAGCAGGTGGGACACGCCTGTGGGAAAGGGGCTCTGTGACCGCTCAGCCAGACCCCCAGTTCACCGGGGTTTCCGTACCCAATAGCTCATGGGCATCAGGGCTCCATGTGAAAGGCCCCGGGTCTGCAGCAAGGTGCCAGCAGTGTGTCCCGGTCACATCCCGAGTCCATCCCCAGTCCCCTGACTGCTCCCTTATATGAGGCGCACCCCTATTCGTTCTACACCCAGCCCGGGTGTCCTGTGGTTTCTAACCCGTCTGCCCGCACATGCAGTTCCTACCCAAGCTACTCACCGCAGGGCAGCGACCAGGCCAGAGCCATGATGAGGTCTCCGAGATAGTTGGGATGGCGGACCATACCCCACCACCCAGACACTAACAGCTGCCTCCCCGTGGCTGTGGAGATGGTTTCAAGGCCTGAGGAGAGACAGACAGTGGGGTGGTGGCCCCCAGCAAGCCCAGCTGCCCCACCTCACTCATGGCAACCTGGGAACACGGCTCACCGGCCACTCGGGGGTCAGAAGGATTCTTCCGGAAGGTGTTTTTCTGGGAATTGGCTCCACGGAAGATGTAGTAACCGACAGCTGAGGGGAAGCAGGAGCAGGCGGTCAGGGGTGAGGGCCACGTGCTTCTGCCTGACCCTGATCCTCCCCACAGCCTGAACCCACTCTGCCTGGACCCCAGGGCCCACCCCAGCTTTAGAGAAGAGCAAGTGGGTGCTGAATAAACAATAAAATGAGACCGGCTGGCGTGGTTCAGTGGTTGAGTTCCATTCCTGGTCAGAGCATTTGCCCAGGTCATGGACTCTGTCCCCAGTGTGGGTGTGCAGGAGGCAGCCAATCACTGATCCTCATCATTGATGTTTCTATCTCCCTCTCCTTGCCTCTCTGAGATCAATAAACATGTATAAAACATAAGGGGAGGGAGAAGGAAGCATGCACCCAGCCTGCTGCCCGTTCCTGACTGACCATTGATAAGGCAGATGACGGAGGCCACAGGCAGCTCCAGGGGCTGTGGGTGGTACAGCAGGAACTGGGCCTGCAGGCTGTAGGTGAAGGGTACCCAGGCGAGGTCCCCAAAGGCCAGCATGAAGCCAAACCCGTCGTGTGTGATGTCCATGGTGGTGAGTATCGCTTCCTGCAGGGATAGGACCAGACACACTTGTAATCCCCACAAGGTCCTCACAGATCCCCTGCTCCCCCTGAGCAGTCCCTCACCTCGTGCCAGAGGGCATCGCCCACATAGAGTAACTGGAAGCCATTGACCAGCCACATGGCCAGGGAGGGGCTGCCCCGGAGTTCTGCTTCCTGTACCAGCAGAGCCAGGTTGATGAGGACCTGGGGTGTGGAGGAGACAGGACAGTCTGTCCCTAGCCCATCTCCACCGGGTGGCCGGCTTCTCCCCATCTGAGTGTCAGCCACTAACTCTCCGGTGCTTTGCCAGAGAGCCGGCAACGGAGGTTCCGCTGTTCTCTCTCGCTGTGTCTGTAGTGCTCCCTCTGGGAGAGCAGCACGGCGTAGGCGGGCGCTGCAGGCTGAGAGTTAAAGCACATCCGGTTTTGAATCAGCTTCCCCACCTGGGCAAGTTGCCTACCCTCTCTAAAGCCCCCGTGTGGGAAATGGAGATAATTACGGAGCTGCCTGAGGACTGGGGAGGGATGGGTGACACAGGAGGTGCTCACCCTGGTGGCTAGCAGCCAGCCTGACTGAGCACCCCAGCTGGTAGCAGTGGGCTGGGTGCTGTTACCCCTGGGAATCCTCATGGTAATCTTAGGAAGGAGCTCTTTATCCCGTTCCACACATCGGGATGTAGTGTGGCCCTTGGCATTCCCGCTGCCTCAGAGTGAGGGCTCCGGGTGACGTGAGGAGCCTTTGGGAAACCCTGACCACAGTCCACGAAACACCGTTGGCGGGTCAGTCAGACACCGGCGAAGGGCAGGTTGTAAGCTCAGTGCTCACGTCCAAGTCCCGCCCTGCTTTTTTGTTGTTGTTGTTTGTTTTGTACTTTTGTTCCTCTTTGTATTCAGTTGTATAATACTTCCAAATTCCCGCACTGCTTTGACTAGCAAGCAGCATAGGACCACTCTGCCGTATGGAAGTAGATGTTTGCACTTGATTGCTCCATTTAAAACTGCACCTCACACTGGCCGGGCGGCTCAGGTGATTGAAGCATCATCCAAAAAGTTTGGGTTTCAATTCCGGGTCAGTTTCTTTCTTTCTTTTTAAATATGTTTTATTGCTTTTCCACAGAGAGGAAAAGAGAGTGATAGAGAACTGGAAACATCTATGAGAGAGAAACATCGACCAGCCACTTCCTGCACACTCCCTACTGGGGATGTGCCCACAACCAAGGTACATGCCCTTGCCTGGAATCAAACCTGGGAGGGACCTTTCAGTCTGCAGGCTGACGCTCCATCCACTGAGCCAAACCGTTTTCGGCTCAGCGCAGTTTCCATCCCTTGTCAGGGCGCAAATGGGAGGTAATGGATCAGTGTTTCTCTCTCACATCAGTATTTCTCTCTTTCTCCCTTCCTCTCTCTAAAAATCAATAGAAACATAGCCTTGGTGAGGATTTAAACAAAAATTGCACTTCTTCTTTCCTGCCTTGCTTTTCTCCATGGCACTCAGCATCCCTGGACGTGCTATATATACTTATTTTTTTGTCTGTCTTTTCATGAGAATGTAGGTTCCATGAGGGCAGTTTTTATTTTCTGTAATTTTTTCTTATATCCCAGTACCTCGGACACATATTAGATTCCTCAAGTGTTTGTGGAATGAATGAGTGGTGTCTGGGCAATACTGCACCTGCCCTGCCCAGGAACTGCCCATCCACCGCCCCTCCTGCTGGCGCCAGTCCCTTAGCCCTGCCGGCATACCCAGCCGATGAGGCCGGGCCGCAGCTCGCAGAAGTATTTGCAGTCCAAGGAGCCGAGGCGCGGGTTGAGCTCCCGTCCCAAGAAGAAGTCGTAAATGGGGTTGCCTGGAGAACAGTGGAGAGTGAGACTGCAAGCAGGTGCCCTCGCTGCCTCTGTCTGTGCCCACCGGATGGCTCTCACCTGAGTTCCCGCCAGGTGCCAGGGCGGAGGCCGGGGCCAGCAGCGCCTTCAGGTACAGGAGGAGGCTGAAGAGGAAGGCGGCGAGGGTGGCCACCGCGGCCAAGGGCAGGAGCATGTCCGTGAGCATGCCCAGGGGCAGCCCGGCACACACCCCCAGGCCCACCAACAGGGCTGTCAGCACCAGCGCCTGGAAGCCTGAACCCAGCACAGGGTGAGTCCTGGGGACCCCCCATCTCCGTCCCCAACTCCCACCCCCAAACACACCAACTCTGCTCAAAGCCAAGAGGTCAGAGACCTTGACCCAACCACTAGGCTGCCCCCTTGGCTTTCAGGTCACGTGAGCAGCTGCCGAGGTGCAGGGCAGCAGCAGATGCTACAGGAAAGGGTGGGGGGACAGGGGTGTGCAGGAGAGTGAGACCACCAAGACCTGGAGCTCCACCCCACGCGCAACTCCCGCGAAAGCGCCCAGCCCAGCCCTGGCACCGTTAATGGGGTAGCGCAGGCGGCTCTTGTCCTTCAATTCCTGGCCCTCGGCCACCTGCGGGCACAAAGGCTCCGGTGAGGGGTGAGGGGGAGCCCTCCCTCCGCCCAGCCCCGCGCGTCGGGCAGGCCCCACCTTGCGCGCCGGCAGCAGGTAGAAGGCCGCCTGCAGGCCGAGCCAGGAGAGCCACAGCAGCGGCGCCGCCGGGCTCCACAGCGCCCCGGGGGCCGGCGGGGGCGCGGGCAGGCCCAGCAGGCGCGCCGGGCCGGAGCGGGCCGCCAGCAGCAGGTGGAACATGGTGGCCGGGAGCAGCAGCATCAGCGCCGCGGCGCCTGGAAGGGCCGGTGGCGTCAGCATCCCCTCGCCCTGGCCCACAGCCCGTTCCCGGCCCCGCACCTTTCCTGACTCCCATCCTGGTCCCCGCCGCCATCCTCCAGCCCCTGGAAGACCCCCCTCCTGCTCCCCGACTGTCCGCCCCGCAGCCCCCAGAACGGTCCCTCCTCAGAGCCTTCCGAGTCTGCCCATCCCCGTTCGTAGCGCCCCCCCACCCCCACATCTTCTTTGCTCCATTACCCAGGGGTCCCCCGAATTCCAGCGGGGCCGGGGAGCCCTGAGGGGCCATGGTCTCCGCTCCGCCGGGAGGGGGGGTTCACGGAAATCCGTCAAGGAAACACCCTCCACCCCACCCCCCAGATGGGCACGGCGACGGGAGAATCTTCCCTGCGGCTGCACCTGTCCCGGCGGAGCGCGGACACGGCGCCTGTCCATCTGCGGCCTTTAAACGGGCCCGCCCCCGGCCCATCCTGGGCCCAGCTCGCCAGCCAATCGGCTCTTGGGGGCGAGCCTGACGCAAGCACCCGGAGGCAGGCTTAAGCCTCAGCCTCCAACCCCGCCCCCTCAAGCCCCGCCCTGCAAGCGAGAGGGAGGAGACAGCACAGCTTTATTTGGGGTCTGGAGGTAGAGGGGGGCCAGGAGGACGGGAGGGCCAGGGGTGCGCGGGTGGGGGCAGCCAGCGAGCCCGGGCACGACAACGGCCTGGCTAGCCGCGCTCGCAGATGACCTCGACGACACTGGGCTCCATGGGCACCGGGTCCGGGCATCGCAGGGCGGCGGAGGCCACCACCTCATCCAGCAGCAGGTGCACCAGCTCCTCGTCGGCCACGAAGCGCCACAGGTAGAGCTGCAGGAAGTGGCAGTCCACCTGCACCTGCTGCAGCCCGAAGCGCCCGAAGGTGCGCAGCCGCACACACTCCAGCAGCGTCTTCAGACTGATCTTGATGATGCCGGTCAGCACTGACACCTGCAGGGAGGGACAGGGGCTGCAGGGAGGGACATGGGCTGCAGGGAGGGACATGGGGCTGCAGGGAGGGACACAGGGGGCTGCAGGGAGGGACACGGGGGCTGCAGGGAAGGACATGGGGCTGCAGGGAGGGACACGGGGCTGCAGGGAGGGACATGGGCTGCAGGGAGGGACATGGGGCTGCAGGGAGGGACACGGGGGCTGCAGGGAGGGACACGGAGATGCAGCTCCCACAGCCGGTGTTGGGGAAGGGCACCCATGTCAGGGCCAGGGAGACAGTAAGATGCCAGTGGCTGTGATGGCATGGAAGGCCCAGGGAGGGAGGGACACCAGATTAGCCCAGCATCTTGAGGGAAACAGACAGGGAGAGCCCAGCAGTCACAGGCAGAGATGGGGGTCAGCAATGACAAGGGGACTGGGGGTTACTGAGTCAGAAGAACACCAAGTCCCTGAGTGCGGGCTGGGCGGGGCTGAGACCATGGGGTGAACAGGAACCCTGGGGGGGACCCAGGACCGCAGGGAAACAGCACAAGGGCCAGACACACTAGGTCAGCACCCACACCCAGGCTGGGCGCACACCAAGGTTGGGGCAAAGGGCCACTGGATGTGATGATGGGGCTCTGGATACTCATTCCCGGGAACACCCCTCGGAGAAAGACTGGGGGGCAGTGTGGGGACCTTGGAAGGGGGGTTCACTGGTGACTTCAAACCTTGTTGAACTCAACAGGGCTGAACACATCAATCCGCTCAGAGAACAGCTTCTGGATGTTGCTCAAGAGGTTGGTGTCCATTGGGGCACTGGATGGGGGGACAAGCATTCAGAGCCCACCCTGCACCCGTCCACCTTTGTCCATCCCCCCAGGGGCCAGTCTGACCAGCAGACCTGGGTGTGTAGCTGGGTGCGTAGCGGCCCTGCTGCCGGGAGCTGCTGTACACGGAGAAGGTCCTCTTGCTGGAGTCACTGCTCTGGGCCTTGCGAACACCCTCTTCGTACAGGAGCCCCACCTGGTGGTGGAAGGAGACACTGCAAAGAGGCCAGAGCACGGGGGACCTCCAGCTCCCCAGTGCCCTGGGCAAGGGCTGAGGACGCCCCAGCTACACACGCATCTACCACAAGTCACATTTGTCACTGGAATCGCAGGAAGTCCAGCTTGGAACCTCACTGTTACCCGGTCACTATGTACAGAAGTAGCGGAGTGGGGAAAGGTGGACACAAAGACACCGAGGCCCTTATTTTCTGGGTGACTCGGCCTCACAGAAGGAATGGGGGTGATGATGCCACAGTCAGGTTCCCTGGCCAGCACCTGCACGTCAATAGCCGTCGTGTCCTCCACCACCCGCTTCATGACGGCGCGTACGTTCCGCGGCTCCAGGGTACTGAGCCAGTCCCGCGTCTCCACGCTCTTGCGCAACATCTGTGATATGACCAGGCCCTGCACCTTCACATAGTGGGTCAGCAGCCGCCGGGCCGTCTCCCTGGCCTCTGCACACAGTGTGCTCACAGGTGTCACTGGAGACTGGTCCTGAGCCAGGGATGCAGAGGACAAAAAGGTGGTGGGTGCTGGGGGAAGCTCAGGGGCACTGCCAACCGGGAGCTGGGCACAGGCTGGGCATGGGAGGTTGGGTTGCGACAGGCAGCTGGCCCGACCATGAGGGCACTGCCTAGCCTCCTGCTTTCCCGGCACCACCATCCCCTGCCCTGCCATGAGCTGGGCGCTCACCTGCACCAGGAACTGCTCGTCAGTGAGGGTGAGGATGTAGGAGATGGTGGCCGTCTCATAGTCCAGGCAGAGGCGGGAGAGGAGCAGGAGCAGGGCGGGGGGCGTGGCACCCCCCTTCTCCCCGGGGCTGTCACAGAAGCTCTGAGCCGTCTGGCACAGGGACCGGATGAAACCCACGATGAGGCCCTCCCGGACACCCTGGCTGCAGAACTCGCCCTGTGGGGAGGAAGGGCGGGTAGACAGCAGATCCCCTCTCCCAGGCAGGGGCTGCCAGCGACCCGCTGCTGGAACCCCAAATGCTCTGGCGCTTCACCAAGGGGCAGCTTCATCCTGCACGCCAGCGCCCCAGGCAGCTGCTCTGCTTAGGGAAGGGACCAGCACTGGGACCCAGCTGGCAGACGCCCTCACACCTTCCCCATCCCTCCAGGCCCTGCCAGTATTCCTCATGACAGCCTGAAACCATGACAGTCTAGAGTGCCCAGGGGCAAGGACTGTGTGCCCTGATAGCTACCAATCTGCAGAATGAGTAAAAAATGCCCAGAAAAAGGAGAGTGTGTGCCAGGGGCAGGCATACCCGGAAGTAGGGCTTGTTGGAGAAAGACACCTCCTTGGCGGTGAAGAGGTGAACAGCAGCCAGCGAGGCCTTGATGTGGCTCAGGATGGAGCTGGCCACATTGGCCAGCAACTCGGCCAGGCCAGGGCCCTCCTTCCCGGCCAGGCGAGGGGCCGCCAGCGCCTGCCGCACGTCGGTGAGGCAGCCCAGGAAGGCCGCCCGCAGGCCCTGCAGGTGGTGGCCCAGGCGCTCCCGGGCCACTCGCTCCACGATCTCCGTGGCAGCGTCGGCCAGCCCGGCTACGGCCAGCAGAGCCCCGGGTGCCCGCAGGCGCCGGTGGAAGCGGTCCAGTGCCCGCACCAGCAGCGAGTTGTCGCTGCCACCTTGCTCCTGCGCCAGCCGCCTCTCCACCAGGGCGAAGTAGCAGCCGCCCAGCTCCCGGGCAAAGGCTGCCAGCTTCTCCGCGCCTGCGGGGCCCTGGGCCGCAAACAGCTCCTGATAAGCTGCGGCCACCTGGCAGAGGCCGCCCACGAAGCCGCTGCCCCCGCGGTCGGTAAACTCTAACACGTCGGGGGCTGGAGGGGAGGGCCCCAGCTCTGCCTCCAGGCTTCTCAGCTCCGCCTCCAGCCGCCCGCGGGCGTGTGCCAGGAACTCCTCACACAGCTCTTCTGCGGGCTCGCCCAGGGCCAGCAGCAGCTCCACGCACTCCGCCTGCTCGGGGGCACCGGAGCCGCCCTCCCTGCCGGGAGGGAGATGGCAGGGGAGAGCGAGAAGACAGAATTTGGGGGGGGCCTGGGGGAGGAGGGAAGGTGCAGGGCAGGGGAAGGAGGGGGGCCCAGAAGCCACACCTGAAGCGCTGCCGTAGCTGCTGGGCCAGGTGAGCCGTGATGACCTGGCAGTCGTCCTGGATGGCACGGAAGGAGGGCAGGTGCTGGTACTGCTGCAGCACGGCCTGCGCGCGGCCCTGGTAGCGCACCGCCTGCCCGTAGGCGCCCAGCTCCACGCACTTGGTGAGGCGCGAGGGCAGCTCGAAGAGGAACTGCAGCTTCCGCAGCAGAGCGTGGACCCCTGGGGGCGAGGGCAGGGTGTCAGCCTCGGAGCCCCGAGGGCGGCCCGCCTCGGCACCTCCCCTGGGGCAGGCCCACCTGCCAGCTTGGTGATGCGCTCGTGGCGGTCCTGCAGCGTGGCGCTGATGCGCGCGCTGAAGTCTGTGATCACAGCCATGTTGGCGGCCAGCCGGTCCATCTCATCCTCCATCTTCCGGAAATCATTCTTCATCTTCCGAATGGTGTCTGCGAGGCACGGGCCCGAGAGGGAGGAGGCGATGGAGGGCGCAGTGCCGGGCCAGCACTCAGCCCGGGGCCAGTGCAGGTGCTCTCACACCCGCCCCTTCCCACAGGCCTGAGCCCACGCTGCCGAGGCGCCGAGGCCCGCACTGCTGTCTGGTGTGAGTGGCCGCGATGGTGCTGGGTCCCAGGAAGTGGGGGAGGGGCAGTATGCCAATGCAGCAGGTGTTTGAGCACCCCTAGCCCTGGGGCAGGGGCAAGGCGCTCAGTTTCTGCCCTCAGGAGATGCCCAGAGCCAAAGGAGGGCACAGGCACCTGCAGACCTGTCTGCTCTTTCCCAGGGGCACCCTCTGTGCCCCGTGCACTGCCTGGCACTGGGGAGACAATAATACTTGTTCAGGTTTATCTCCTTCAGACTCCCAAACCCAATTACCCGCCTTCCAGAACACGGTCAATCTTTTCAGGAGGGTCTTTCCCTTTTGTCCGACAGAAACCTGGCCAAGGAGGCTGTTCGTCCTTCACACCCAGGCCCCTCAACGCTTCCAGAAGGTTCCATCCTCCTCCCTGCAAGACCCCAGCTTCTTTGAAGACCACACCATCAAGCTATCCACCTCCCCCGTTACCGTCCCTGTGTCCTCTTTCCATGCCTCTTGGTCCCTGACCAGTCACCTCCTGGTGGACTCAAACACTCTATAGATGAGTCTGGGGGACATCCCTGACTCTCTGTTCTCTGGCCGCCTCAATTCCGTCCATTCTGCCTCATCTGTGCCACGCCCCCTTGTCCACAGCAAGAACTGCCCCCCTGACCAGGGACTGGCCATGCAACCTTGGCATATTGGAAAGACACTCTAACCAACAGAGCTAGCCAGCCATGGCATCTTTGTGTCCCTTAATATCCTACATTTTCTGTTTCTTTGCTTAATTAAAAATATGAAAGGGCCCTGGCCGGTGTGACTCCGAGGATGAACACTGACCCAGGAACCAGAGGATGCCGCTTCCATTCCTGTTTCCCCAGCCGAGGCTGTGCAGGAGGCAGCCGACTGATTATGTTCCTCTCTCATCAATGCTTCTATCTCTATCCTGCTCCCTTCCTTTCTTGGAATTAAGGAAGGGAGGAAAGGAGGGAGGGAGGGAGGGAGGGAGGGGGGTCGAGGCAAGCACATCAAGGCAGACCACTAATGAAGGAAGGAACCCTTACTAAGGCATCCGTAGTGCCAGCCATTCCAAGTACATCAGATAAATTAACTTCCTCCCCCTTTGGTCCTAACAAAACGCTGTGAGAGCAGCTGTCACCGCTACAGGCATCTGACCACAGAAGCTCTGACAGAGAGAGGTGAGAGTGGGTCAGTATCGGGCAGAGCTGGAATCTGGATCTCCTCCTTCTAAATCCCCTGCCGGCTCTCCCAGCTCAGGGAAGGCACTGGGGGAGGAGGGGCGGAGGGGGCGTGTCGCGGTGGGGAGCACCTGTGGCTGAGATGAACTTGTTGTAGTTCTCATAGACCAGGGTCTGCATGTCGCTGTCTAGGGCCCGGATCTGCCGCACCATGTCCGTCTCACTGTCCATCAGCTGCGCCAGGGGGCACTCTCTCCGCAACTGGAGGAAACGGGGTGTTCAGTGCTCCGGTCAGAGGGCACTGAGCCTTGCCCCTAGCTGGAAGGCTTTCGGTGCAAGAAAACCCTTTCCCACCCCTATCAGAATCCGAAATGGAGCCTATGAGTGGCATAGCTCAGGAGTTACTAGGTTTGGGGAGCCACATTTGGGGTTTGTCAGCCTTTGAAATCCTCAGATTCCTCCGAGGCCCAGTCCAGAGCCTGTCGGCGGCGGGGCCACGCCCGCCACCCGGGGCTGTCAAACGTCAGGGGCCTCCGACTCCAGGCCAAACCCGCCCTCGCCCCTTAGCCTCCAGCTTCGTCCCAGCCGCCTGGCGGGGGTCGTCTTCCTTTCACTTGGTAACAGTCGGGGCATGTTCCGGGGGTGCAATTTGGGGGCCTGGTGCCCGCCCCCTTTCCCCTCCCCCCCATTAGCTGACCTTGTCCAGATATACTTCCGGGTCGAAGTGCGCCCCATTGAGATCTGTCGGGTCCAGGGGGTCCGACCCCGGGGCGCGCCCCGCCGCCTCCCCCTCCGAGAGGCCGTAGTAAAGCTTCAGCATCCCGTGCGCCTTCCGGCGCCGCTCCGGGGCCTCGGCGTCCGGCCCCTCCGGGGAGTCCCCGGGGCCCGGCCCGGCGGCGGCGGCCGCCATCGCGCACCCGCAGCCCACCCAGGGAGGCGGGCGGAGCACTTCCGGAATCACAAAGTGGTGGAAGCGAGGCGGTCCTTCAGGAGAAACGTTCCGCCGCCGCCCTGGGTCCTTCGAGATTAGAGTTCCCCCGCTTCTTTCCTCCTCGAGCGAAGAGGTTCCGAGGGAGCCCTTGGTTCCGCCAGCTTCTCAGGTGGAGAGAAGGCAGGTGTGGCTCCCAACCCTGCTCCCCCCTCTCCCCCACCCCCACCCCGAAGACAAGGACCCGCTTTCTGCAGAATCAGAGAGCTTGTGCCTGGCCTCCTGCCACTGCCTGGGTTCCACTGCCACCCCAATTCCTAAAATTGGGTCCAGTCTTCACAGGGGAGTTGTGAGAATTAAATGCACACACCATCCGCCACTCGGTGCCTCTGGTTCTCTGACGGCGTCAGAATTGCCTGTGGTGTTTTAAGACTGGGCTTTCCCCGGACCTAGCTCCTTTTTAAAAAGTCCCCAGGGAGTTCTAGTGCACTCAAATATACCGTGTTTAGAAGACAGACTCAGCAGATCCTAAGTGACTGATAGGATGTGCTGAGTGAGGGGTTGAGTGGAGACTTGACCATAATTCTCAGGTTTCTGACTTGGGTAAAAGTACCGGTTCACCAAGATGAAGAGCTTAAGAGGACGGGGTGACTAGGAGTTCAGATTGAGACATGGCGAGTTTGAATGGAACTGATGACCTTTTCGTGCAGGGGAGGGCGCTCTGTTGCTATAGCATCCCATGCACTGAGAGGCTGTAGGTTCAAGTCCTGTTTTCTGGCTTGATCCCCAGTAGGGAACATGAAAGAGGCAGCCAATTGATGTACTTCTCTCTCTTTAAAATAAACAAAACCAGCCAGGACCGGTTTGGCTCAATGGATAGAGCGTCGGCTTGGGGACTGAAGGGTCCCGGGTTCGATTCCAGTCAAGGGCATGTACCTTGGTTGCGGGCATATCCCCAGTAGGGGGTGTGCAAGAGGCAGCTGATCAATGACTCTCTCTCATTGATGTTCCTAACTATCTCTCTCCCTTCCTCTCTGTATAAAATCAATAAAAAATATATTTTAAAATAAACAAAACCAGATTTATATTTTAAATGGCATTGAGCTAGGAGCCCTAATATTTGTTTGTAGTCAAAGGAGAACTGAGGTGCAGACAATCGTTACCACAGTGGGACCATGGCTGGGCATTGGGACATCACCCCTCTAATGTGTCAGGAGGGCGCTCTGAGGGGCTGTGATCAATGACACTGGGCAGCAAGCATGGACGGTGAGGTCAGGCTCTAACCCTACCCGATGGAGGCGGAAGACTTTGGCCATGCCCTGGTCTGGGACCTAATGTCCCAGGCAGACAGCAATGGGGATGGACATTAAATCATCCCTCTTCAACTTTCGTTGCGGGGAACTTACATGTCCCTTTACACCATTTCTGGCCATTTTTTCAGGCTTTGACAGTCTTGGAGTTTTTTTTAGAAATATATTTTATTGATTTTTTACAGAGAGGAAGAGAGAGGGATATAGAGTTAGAAACATCGATCAGCTGCCTCCTACACAACTCCTACTGCGGATGTGCCCACAACCAAGGTACATGCCCTTGACCGGAACCAAACCTGGAACCTTACAGTCTGCAAGCCAACACTTTATCCACTGAGCCAAACCAGTTAGGTTGGAGGGTTTTTAAAAATATATTTTTATTGATTTCAAAGAGGGAGAGGGAGAGACAGAAACAACAATGATTGGCTACCTCCTGCACTCCCCAACTAGGGGCTAAGCCCACAACCCAGGCATATATGGAATCGAACCCAGACCTCCTGGTTCATAGGCTGATGCTCAACCACTGAGCCACACTGGTCAGGCGAGTTTTATTCTCTTGTATGTAGGGTGGAAATGTTTTCTTCACGGCTTCTGTCTCTTCTCTTTCCACAGCCACAGGTAGAACTAGACCTTAGTCTCAGTACTGACTCTCACTCATTGGCTGTGAAAGCTTGAGCTGACAATCCCTCCCTGTACCCCCGATTCCTGTGTAAAATAGGATTTATGCCACCAGCCCCAGCTTTCTCCTGGGACTCTTGGGATGAGACAATGGGTGTGAAAATGCTCTGAGTGCAGGAAGGTGGCAGAGGGGAAAGCTGGTCAGGTCAGGTCCTTGAACATCTGGGGAGAGGACTGGAAAGCCAGTATTTCTTGGGGCCACATCTAAGGAGGGCATGGGGAAGGTCCTGGGACAGCCATGGGAAATCTGTGGGCCCCCCCTTCCCTCAGTTCTGGTAGGTGCTGAAGCAAATACCTGGAGCTTGTGAGGCTAGGCCTCCCTCACCTGGGACACCGCCCCCCCTCCCACACACACACACACATACACTTTCCTGAGCTGCAGTTCTTCACCTGCAGTATGTCCTACTAACTCCTCATGGAGCTGTGAGAGGACTCGGTGAGAAGACATGCAAAGTATAGAGGTGGGATGATGTGGAGACGCTGTCCCTGATGTGTACCGTTAGCCCACCACCCTCCACAATTCACAGCTCCCCTGGCCACCCGTGAAACACTCTGCCATTGGCTGGAACCAGCCTGTGTTCTAGAACCTTGTCTCCTAATGTCCTCCTGGTTCTAGAATCCCACTGCCATTTGAGACAGCGCACTCTAGAAGCAGAGGGGTCAGCTGCTCTTCCTGGGTGTTGTCTGCTCGCTCAAGCTCCACTGACCGCAGTGTGGGCTGCTGCCAGGATGCGGTGGCGGGACCGTATTGTGACGCTGTTCTTTCCGAAAGGCATGGTGCTCACCATGGCTGCGCTGCTGCTCTTCTTTCTACACCTGTCCATCTTTGTCAGCGACGTGTACAACTTCTGCTTCACCTACCACTACGACCGCATGAGCTTCCGCTACACAGTTGTCCTGATGGTAGGCGAGGGCAGGGGCTCAAGGGCTGGCTGGGGGAAGCCCAGGGGCTGATGGGAACCCCAGGTGTGCCAGAGGGTCACTCTCCCACTGGGTGGGGCCTACAGTTCTCCAAGGTGATGAGCATCTGCTGGGCCGCCATGGGGTCCCTCTACGCTGAGATGGAAGATTACAAGATTGCCCGGTGCTTTGCCCTGGTCATCCTGAGTGAGTGAGGGAATGGGGACCTCTGGAACCCTGAAAAGTGGCAGGAAGGCTGATGGGGCTCTCTCCTCCGCTCAGTGCTCAACGCAGCCATGTTCTTCAACCGCCTGTCCCTGGAGTTCCTGGCCATGCAGTACCGGGAGGAGAGCCACTGAGGCTGGGGATTGGGTTGAGAAGGGGGAAGGAAAAGGCGGCTTTGGGAATTTTAATAAAGTCTGCCATTTATTTCCACTTGTCAGCTCCTTCATGGGTTGGGGGTGGGAGGCCAGAGACCAGGGGAAGCAGGTCAAGACGGACACTTGATCTGCAGGGACCCCCGGCCCCGCCTACAGCCACTCTAGTGGACTCGGCTTTGGTCCGGGATCTTAGTGTCTCAGACTTGAGGAAGAGGAGCAGCGAGAGGGCCCGCAGACCTGCCCATCTCTCCTTCTTGGGGCCCCAGGTCCTACGCTGGCCCAGCCGCAAGCAAGGGCTCAGGAGGGACCCACACGGATGTGAGGGTTCATGAGGGGGTCCAGGTTGGGATCATTGTCAGCTGCAGCCCGGCCCAGGCGAGACATGAGGGCAAGAAGGGCCAGGAAGCCCAGCAGTCCCAGCAGCAGCAGCAGCCCCGCCCGCTGGAGCAGGGTCAGAGGCCGTTTACGAGACCCGTCCCGGCTCCTGGGGGGACGAGGGGAAAGTCAGATCAGGGCCCAGTCCCTGGTGGCCCCGTGGCCTGGAGAAGAGCCCTGACCACGACACTCATCTTCCGGCCCCAGCGCCTCACTCCTGAGCCTCCCTCATTTCCTCCAGTGTGCAACGGGGAGGTCATCCCCGTCCCTGCCCACTAAAGGGGACTGTGCCGCTGGAACCAGCTGAGGAATGACAGGCCTGGAGACGGGAGGTGTCAGGCATGGGGACAGTCACAGATGGATGGTGTTGAAGCCGGAGGGGACCTCAAAGAGCCTGAGTCCAAACCTCATATGTAAAAGCCAAGACCGAAGACTGTTCTTGTCAAGCGGAAGCCTCTCTCCACAGCCCAGCACCAGGGTGCCCAGGTCAAGCCCCCTTTGTCACAAAATCCTCGTGCCCGGGGCCTCTGGCTCTCCCTTCCTCTCCTCCCCCTTCCTGGCATGTAACGCTGTGTACCTGAGCAGCTGGGCCAGCCAGCCCAGGGCGGGCCGGCGGCGGTACTTGTCGTCATCGCAATCCCTGTGGAGGCCCGGCGCCCGGTCATCGTCCCGCGTGTCATACACCTTCCTTGGGGCCGAGGCTGCAAGGGCAGAGCCACGAGCATGCACGGGCTCAGGGAAACCGCCCCACAGCAGGGGGAGAGGGGCCAGTAGGAGATCCTGGCCCTTCGGAGCCTGAGATTATGCCTCAGAATTGTGGGTCGGTAACGTCTGTGCTTGGAGTGAGGAAGGGTCCCTCCCGTGGGTCTCTGGGCCCCCAGCCCAGGCAATGCCCTGGCTCACCGTGCGTCAGGGGCTCCGAGCTGCCCATGTGGATCACCGTGTGCTGCTCGGGCCGGCCGGGGGACGCGGGGGGCCGGGGGGCTTGGCTGTAGAAGGCTGGGGCAGAAGTGCTGGCGGTCTCTTCTTGTGCAGAGGTGCTGGCTGCGGCAGGAAGACAGCTGTCAGCAGGGCGGGGCGGCGAGGGCCCCAGCAGCAGGCGGAGGCCAGCACTCACCGTTAAAGCTGGGCCAGTCAGAGAAGTCAGAGGTGCTGAGGGGCTCGGGCTCCGGGCTCACCACCTCATCGATCTGGAGGAAGGAACCCGTCTCATCAGCTGCTCAGTGCTGTCCCCACTCACTCACTCGGCCCAAGACGGATGGGCAGACAGACAGAGGGACTCTCACCAGAGGAAGGCCCAGTCCTGCCCGGGCCCAGTTGACCGTGGTCAGCTTCTCTCTCAGCACAGAGGCCACAGGACCAACCAGGTTGCTTGGGGGGAAGATGGGGCCGCTGCAGCTGGGACACTGGTAGCCAGCAGGAGCTGTGTTTCGGGGTAGCTGGGCAGCACGTTCATTGAGGCAGGCCCAATGGAAGAGATCTTGAGGCCCAGGAAATAGCACAGAAGAGGCATGAGGAAGAAGACACTTTAGGCCTCTCGCCCAGCACCAGCCCCCAGCCCATTGCAGGGATCTGCTCACACACATGTGCAGCCCAGAGCCGCCTCCTTCCCATCCTCCCCTTGGGTCCACTTCACCAGTGTTCCCTAAGCCTTCAGCCTTATTGGCTCCCACCATCTCACTAAGTCAAAACAGATGCTACAACCCCCGCCCCCCGCAGCCCACTGGGGGGTGGGGGTAGGTGGGAAGCATTTGCCAATCAAGAACAGTTTCAGAAAAGCTTCCTAGACACACACAGAGGCACAAATGTGCTTGCACACATCGATGGGCACAAATATACATAATCAAACACAGATGCCAACTCACACATACACATCTATACATGCACTTGTTTGCTAACACTTGAGCACCCTCATCCACACAATCTCCTGCAAACCCACAACACACTTTAGCCATGTTCACACACATTTACCCACTCATCTATACGTTCTAATGAACACACTAACACTTATGTAAAGACACATGCACATAAAATTCGTGCATATATATCCACATCCTGACACTAAAAGACAATCATGAAGTTCACGCCTTCAAAAAGTGGAACTAAGACCAACTGATGTGTGTCTCTCACATCGATGTTTCTCTCTCTCTCTGTCTCTCCCCCTCCACTCTCTAAAAATCAGTGGAAAAATATCCTTGGATGAGGATTAACAACAAAAAGTGGAACTAAGACTCTTAGATCAGAGTCAGGTCAATGTTATAACACGTCTGCTGACTTCTTTCATCAGACTTTACTGTGGGAAACTCCTTTCTTCTCTATTCAATCTGGGAATCAGCAATGAATCTTTTTTTTTTTAAATCCTCACCTGAGGATTTTTAAGAGAGTGAAAGGGAGGAAAGAGGGGTTAGAGAGCAACATTGATGTGAAATAGACACATTGAGCCCTAGTTGGTTTGAGTCAGTGGATAGAGCGTTGGCCTGTGGACGAAGGATCCTAGGTTCGATTCCAAGTCAAGGGCACATGCCTATGGCTGTGGGCTTGATCCCCAGTAGGGGGTGTGCAGGAGGCAGCCAATCAATGATTCTCTCTTATCACTGATGTTTCTCTCTCTTTCCCTCTCCCTTCCTCTCTGAAATCAATAAATATGTATACACATTTTTAAAAAAGAGACACATTGATTGGATGCCTCCCACATGCACCCCAACCAAGGTCTGGGATCAAACCTGCAACCAAGGTACATGCCCTTGACTGGGAATCAAACCCAAGATCCTTCAGTTCACAAACCAACACTCTAATCACTGAGCAAAACTGGCCAGGGCTTGCCAAAACCGGTTTGGCTCAGTGGATAGAGTGTCAGCCTGTGGACTGAAGGGTCCCAGGTTTGAGTCCGGTCAAGGGCATGTACCTTGGTTGTAGGCACATCCCCAGTACTGGATGTGCAGGGGACAGCTGATGTTTCTGACTCTCTATCCCTCTCACTTCTTCTCTATAAAGCATCAATAAAATTTATTTAAAAATAAAAACTGGCCAGGGCTCAGTAATGAATCTTGAATGCCTGAAAGTCCCATGCTTCCAGCTCATGCCTGGACTGGCCAGCTACTGCTCACAGACACAAACACACCACACGTTTGACTGATTTTCCCTCAACCCTCAAGATTGGAGGGCTAGCAGCTTTAATTTTCAGGGAAAGACACTGAGGCCTAGGAAGGGAAATGACTCGCCTGAGTTAACACAACATGTAAGTAACCTAGCAAGTCTGGGAACTCGGGCTGCCACCTCCTCAGCTAGGCAGTCGCACTGTCCTGCTGTCTGCAAAGGGCGTGGGAACCAGCCACCAAGATGGGCCTGTCCCAGGACTCACCATAGCAGACAAGGCGGGTCGTCTCTCGCGAGGCCAGGGGTGTGTTGCACAGGCGGCAATTGGAGCTGTAGTCGCTATCTTGGAGCCATTGCAGGTAAGACTGTACGATGCACTGAGTGGGAGAGAGAGGTCACAACTGAGCAGGGGCTCCACAACCCCGCCACCCAGGGCCCAATGGTCTGACTCTCATCGCGAAGACTTCCCACGTTTGTTCAATCAATAAACGTTTACTGAGCACATACGGTGTGCCAGATTATATCTTAAGGGCTAGGGGTGGAGCAACTAATCAAAAACATGAAGTCCTTGCCCTGGTGGATCTTCCATTCCTGCGCCTGGCCCTTCATGGATTCGGAAGCAGCCAATACCACCTGCCCTCCCAGTGCCCTGCTCAGCCGCTCTTTTAAAGGCCCCACCTTGGCGTGATTGGCTACCAGGCAGTGCTCGCAGACGTTGACCCGGTGTTCGAAGCAGAATAGGTTTGTCACCTTCCTCTTGGGGCACTTGCAAAGCCCCATGGTCCACCCTGAAGAAGGGGCCTGGGTTGGTAGGGAGCCAGGTTCTGGTGGCCGCCCCTAGGCACTCCCCGGCCAAGTTCGTTTCTGCACCCCTAGACACTCTCACATTGGTGCCAGCGCCAATTTTCGGCCCAGCGCCCCTCTTCACTCCGGACCACGCCCCCAGCTTAAATCCCTCCTCCAAAGACCCCCCTCATTCCTCCGGAGTCCCGGCCCGGCCAGGCTCCCCCATCAGCGTCCCCAGATACCACCGGCCCCGCCCCCAGGGCCCCTCCCGGGCCCCACCCCTCCAAGCCCCGCCCCCACCCTCTCCACAGCCCCCGCCCTCAGTGTTACTGGTGCACCGCGGCCCCGGTCCCGAGGAGCGGGAGCGCCGGTCCGAGGGGCAGACACCGCGCCCCGCCGACCTCCGGCTCAGCTCTTTCCAGCTCGGGCCGCCCCGACTATCCCTCCGCTGCCACGTCTCTTCCGGGTGCGGCGCGTGCGGCGCGTGCGGATGACGCAAGCACGCCGTTGGCCCCGCCCCTGAGACGCTCTGCGTGGTGACGGCCCGTCTTTCTCCCTCCCGCCTTGCGTCACTTCCGCTTCCTCGCGGGGAAGGCGGGTAGTTCGAACGTTTCTGCTTCGGAGGAGCCTGGCGGTTGGCGCGAGCCCCACCACCCTCGGTGGCGGCGCGGCCAAGGTCGAGGCCAAGGATGTCCGGGAGGCGGACGCAGTCCGGCGGGCCCTACCAGGGCTCCGGTGAGCGGAGGGCGCGCGGGAGGGATGGGCCCCAGTGTTTGAGGGACGCAGCTTCCCTCCCCCTCCCGCCGGAAGAGGCTCGGACTGACCAGGAAGGCGCCCCCGACGGGCCTGTTCGCGAACCTTCTGTCTCTTTTCCCCAGAGCCAAGGGCCTCACTTCCTACTCAGTCGCTGCGGAGGTCTCAGCGGAAATCAGGCTCTGATCTTCCCAACATCCTCCCTGACATCTGCCCGAAGGTGAGTGAGCGAGCCCGGGGTTCCTCAGGTGCTTCCCCAGAGGCGCCTCCTTCCCCAGAGGCCGCTGGGCTCGGACAGAGCTCATGGTCACCCCTCCTCTCCAGGAACGTCATGCGACGCCAGTCAGAAAGCCCATCGTCTTGAAGAAGATTGTGGCTCATGCTGTACAGGTGGGGGCTGAGAGAGGGCTTGTGGGTGGGGAGCAAAACTGGGGGCTGGCTGTGTGACCAATTAGTGTTGTCTCCACAGATCCCAGCTGTGGACTCGCCTCGGAGGAGCCCTCGGGTGAGTTCATTTTCATCTGCTTTGCTGCGTGGAATCCAGGACATTCTGGAGCTTTGGAGGGGCATGGTGTCTGCTCACATCCGCTTAGGGGGCTGTTTGCAGCATTTTGAAAGTTTGTCTTTCCATATCTGTATGCATTGCCAATCTTGCTTCCTTTTGTAGACTTACTAGGTCTTGATACCCTGGTATCCTCTACCGTTTTCCTTCTAGCCCCACCCCCCACTTAGGCCTTCCCCCCCTCTATTGTTCGTGTCCATGGGTTATGCCTACGATTTGGGCTTCCTGGGAGTAATACGGGAGGCGTTCTCTCTTCTGTCCTGGTAGATTGCGTTTTCCTTGGAAAAAGAAAACAATCCTCCTATCAAGGAGCCTACGAAGGCGGACCTCTTCAAGAAATACAGTGTCCCTGCCACTCCCGTGCAAAGCCCAGATGTTGTTGAGTCCAACTCCAGCGAAGGAGACCTGGACACCAGGGACTTGGACATGTCCAAGAAAGTCAGGCGATCCTATAGCCGGCTGGACCCCCTCTGTGCCTCCGCCTCCACCTCCACCCCGGGCCGCCCATCCTGCTTTGGCTTCGAGAGGCTGCTGGGGACAGAAGACCTGGCTGGAGTCTCGCCTTTGGCGTGTTCAAAGTTAACCGATGTCCCCAGGGTACCTGGGAATCCTTTGGTCCCAGATACGACTCTCCCTGGAATTTCCCCGCCCGTGAAGGAGAAAAAGAGGAAGAAGAAGGTGCCGGAGATCCTGGTGAGTGAGGGGCAGGGCCTTCCTCTGCTGTCGTGCAGACATCCTGGGAGATGCCAGGACACATGAGGGGCTGGGGCTCGGTTCTGGTTGTTTTTGGGGAAAGACAGCACCTGCGTGCAGGGCGTGGGTAGATATGCTCCAGACAACATGTACTCTTCCCCACTCACCTGCCTCCCATTTCTCTTCCCTCAGAAATCGGAGCTGGATGAGTGGGCTGCAGCCATGAATGCTGAGTTTGAAGCTGCTGAGCAGTTTGATCTCCTGGTTGAATGAGATGAAACTGGGGTGCACGTAGCCAGACTTCCTTCCCCCTGTACATAGCCTCTTCTTCCTGTGCAACAGACACCTGGGGTCCCCTTCCCTGGCCTCGCTACCTGTGCGTGTGCTGTTGCTGTACGTGAGGTCCGCCCTTGAGTGTTTGTGCGGTGGCAGCTGTAGGCAATAAGGTTCGCCTGGCCGGTGTCCTGGCCGGTTTCCAGTGGGGCTAGAAGTGGGAGGGAGAATCACTGGCCCAGCAGGAAGAGGTCACAGGGCTGAGGATTGTGGGTAAGAGCATCTCTACTGTTTCGGAATGTGGCTGCCCTGTGCCAGCCCCAACAGAAATGCATCCCCAGCCCAGCCTGGGTGGCTGAGTGATTGAGCATCACCCTATGAACCAGGAGGTCATGGTTCGGTTCCTGGTTGAGGTACGGGTCTGGGTTGCGTGTTCAATTCTCAGTGTGGGGCATGCAGGAGGTAGCCAGTCGATGCTCATCATTGCTGTTTCTATCTCTGCCTTTCTCTCTGAAGTCAATAAAAGTATATTTAAAAAGGAAAGAAACAGGCACCCGCAGCCTCAGGCTTTCCCTGCTGAGTTGCCTTCTGTTTGTGGCTTGGTTCCATCTATGTACGAAGGCTTGGGTTTCCTTAGATTCTGTAGATGGTCCGGGAGAGGATTTGTGGGTTTGGGACAGTTCTATCTGAGGAAGAAGCTGGACTCTCAGGCAGTAGAATCGGGTTTAGGAGAGTGGGAAAGCCTTCGTTGGCTTCAGACCATAGGCGTTTACTCCTTAGAAACTATTTCCTATTTCTGTGTTCTGCTGTTGAGGTATTTGGCTAAAAACAAGGCCAATGGAGTGCTGGCCGCATAGGGCAAAGGGAATGGGGTATGGCACCAGGTACCACAGGTTGCAGCCTCTATAGAACCTGCCGCTTGGCTGGGAAGGGGCCCACGGCAGGAGGGACCCCTCTTGTCATGCACATCTGTTTCTTACAAACTAACATTCTCAGTCTACTCAGCTCTAGAACAAAACATACAGGTGAAGCAGTCCTAGTCCCACTGGCATTTTGCAGCTACACATGTGAAGTTCTAGGAAGCCTTTCTCACGTTCCCGAAGGGGCAGCAGTCAGTTCTGTCAGTGCCCTGTCAAAGGAGGACACGGCCTGAGGCAGGTGCTAGGAGTTGAGCTAGGGGACAAAGATCACCTGTCTTCGGGGAACCTACCCCCACCATTTCTCTTCTCAATGCTGGTAAGGGCTGCCCACCCACACTGCTCCATCCCCATGCGTCGAACTTGGCACATGTACAGGTCTGTGGAAGGAGGGGCTGTGAACAGCAGGGTGTCGGGGAAGAGAGAGGCTCGTTCAGTCACCTGCACGGCACTGGTAAAACTCCGCGCGGCCTGGGAGTGCCAGCCTACCTGGTCCATGTTTTGTGCTTTGTCAGATCTCACAAGCAAGCCCCCTGGCAGGTGGGTCAGATGTCCGCACCTGAAGGTTCCTCCTGCCTGGCTGGTGGGCAGGACAGAACGGTTTTAGTCCTGATGGGATCAGGAGTAGCCAGGTGATGAGTTGATGTCATTGCTGCAAACTTCTCTCCCTGAAAAACTAAGAAAATGGAGTTTAAGAGATTTTTCTTCTTAAAAAATAAACTTGGTTGAAGAGTTTGTTCTGAGATTGTGTTTGTTTCTTTGGGTCAGAGGCAGAGCTGAGGATGTCAGGCCCAGGAAGCTAAGCCTTGGGGCTGTGTCACAGGGTTGACCCCATTTCCCATGTCTTTCTATCCAGTTGCTCACACCATTCTTCCAAGGCTGGGCTCCCTGTCCCAAGGGGAGTTCAGGGTAACATGCTAAAAGCTTCGTCCAGAGCCTGGGAGCACCCCCCCCCCCCCCATCCTGAGTCAAGCCCTGTTTCCCTGTCCCCATCCCCAGGAGCCTGCTCCTCACGCTGGCCCAGCCTGGTGCAGAGGCCCCTGGGGAACTAGGTAGCCATGCATTTGCACAAACCAGTCTTGTTAGGTCTACATGAGCCCTGGCCTCCTGGACCGAGCAAATCAAAACCTTAAAGTCTGTACAGCTCCCACCCCTCCCTTCCACCTCCTCGCCTCACCCAGAGGGAAGCAGCTTCCTTCTCCAAGGCCACGCTTCCCACTTTGGCTTTTGATCCAATTCTGTCATCTGAGCCCTGTGCCTCTCACAAGTGAGGTCTGGAAGGTTGGCAGCCGCTGTTCTATCCACTGAGCCAAACCAGCTAGGACTGTTAAAGCCTTTTGATACAATTCCACTCTGGGTGTAACCAAAATAATTGAAAGTAGGGTCTTGAAGAAATATTTGTACATCCATGTTCATAGCATGGCTCACACTAGACAGAAAAGGTGGAAACACCATAAATATCTATTGATGGATGAATGGATCAACAAAATGCAATATGTAGGTTCAATGGAATATTATTCAGCTCTATCAATTTCAAAAGGAATGAAATTCTGATACATGCTACAACATGGATGAAGGATGAACCTTGAAAACACGATGATAAACGTCATGGGCTATACACAAAAGGACAAATATATGATTCCACTAATAAGAGATACTGGAAGCAGTCAAATTCATGGAGACAGAAGTAGAATGATGGTGAGTGCCAGGGGATGGAGGAGGGCAAATGGATTATTATTTAACTAGAGGCCTGGTGCACGGGTGGGTAGCATGGCCTGAGAATGGCCTGCTGTGGGAGCAGCTGCTCCCAGTCAGCTCAGGAGCACTCCACTGACCACCAGGACACAGCTCCTGCATTGAATGTCTGCCCCCTGGTGGTCAGTGTATACCATAGCAACTGGTCGCTGGGCTTTTGTTACATGGGTTGTGTATAGTTTCAGTTCGGGGGAAATGAAAAAGTTCTAGAGATAGATGGTGATGGCTGCATGGCAATGTGATGTACCTAATACCAATGAACTGTACACTTAAAAGTGGTTAAAATGGTAAATTTTATGTATTTTATGTCACAATAAAATTTTTGAAAAATACCCTTTGGTGATTTTTCATTGTCCATGCAGTATCATAATGATGGTTAGTGGGTTTTAGCTGCCCAGTACCTCAGTCTCTGCAAGTGAGCTGGCTGCATGGGACATGCTTCCACAAAAATTGTTCAGTTTATCTGGCATTGAAACTTACCTAGCTCACGCTGCTTTCCAGCCGAGTGCCCCACATCTTCGACACCGTCCTGCCCCAGCTGTTCTTTCTGGGTTGCCCTTGATGAAGACCAAGCAGCACCCCCCTGATAGAGTCTGCCTGGAGCTCCTCAGCCAAGTGTGTGGCCAGGGCTTTCTGTCCGGGCCTCTATGGCACATCTCCCTGCTCAGGGTCCCTGTGAACCTGGGCCCTCGCATCCCCTGGAGCTTCTCTGGGGCAGAACCAGATCACACTCATCTTCTGTATGTTCTCAGGACCCGGCCTGAGACCTGAGACCTGTTGGTCAACCAGTGCTTCCTGGGACCATTAATTGCAGCATGAATTGTATTTTGTTATGTTTATACATCATAATTTATTTACCTTTTCTTATATTTTAGTCGTTTAGGCCAGTTTTAGTTTTTCTTCTTGGTGTAAATCAGCCACTGTGGGCCTCTGTACAAATTTTATTTCTTTGGGAGTCATTCCTTTAGCCCTAGTTTCCAAAGCAAAGTTAACTCGGAAGCATTCTCAGGCCCAGCCCAGCTCCGACTCCTCTGCCGACCCAGCTAGGGAATACCAGGGGAGGCAATTTTGCTCAGCAGAGAAAAGTATGGTCCGAATTCAGATCGCAGAAGGGGATGTGAATGTACTTAACGCCAATGAACTGTACACTTAAAAGTGGTTAAAATGGTAACTGGGGGAGGGGTGAACATTATGGGCAAGAGCATGGCACTGGGGAAGGTTTGGCATGGTGTTGGGAAGTGAGACTCCTGGCTGGTAATGAGCAGAGTATTGTGTGGGTTAGAACCAATGATGTCTGTGACAGAGGGTCTTGAATGCCATATTAATCACTTCTCCATGTCCAACCAACAGCTGATTTCTATACCAAAACTGAGAGGCATTCTCCACAGTTTACAAGTTTCTCCAGGGTTCCATTAAATAGTGCCGTCCCAGCCCCCCAACCCAACCCCCAGCCCTTGCGTTTGCAGGGATCTGGTCAGCTGGACAAGAATTAGTGATAGAGCCGAAACTGGTTTGGCTCAGTGGTAGAGCGTCGGCCTGCGGACTGAAAGGTCCCGGGTTCAATTCCGGTCAAGGGCATGTACATTGGTTGCGGGCACATCCCTGGTAGGGGGTGTGCAAGAGGCGGCTGGTTGATGTTTCTCTCTCATCGATGTTTCTAGCTCTCTATCCCTCTCTCCTCCTCTCTGTAAAAAATCAATAATAAACAAACAAATATATATATAAAAGAATTGGTGATAGAGACTCTCCAGGCTGGAGGCTGCCCCACCATAACCAGATAAGGCTGGAAAGGGGAGGCCCCTGGGTTGATGGATGTGGCTTACCACCTGGGCTCTGTCTTCCTCAGTCTCCCCAGAGCGGACCAGAAGCCCCTTCTGAGCCCATGGCGGAGCCAGTGGTGCAGCCTGTTGAGCAGGAGAACCTGGAAGAACCTGGAAGTCCTCTGTGCCCAGCCCAGGTCTGTGGGGAGCTGGGCACAGAGGTGGCAGGAGGGCTGGAGAAATTCTTTCCCTGCTGGGAGGAGACCGAACCCCCAGCCAGTGCCCCAGGGTGTGGGAGGACCCAAGCTCTTGGGCTGCCAGCCGCGTGTCACTTTGGTCACCATGACACCTTCTCGGCCAAAGCCATCTTCTTCAGAGTCAAAGCAGGATCTGCAACCAGAACCCACGGTCAAGTTCCTGTTTACACTCCTGAGCTCGGTGGAGCCCTCTGAGCCCAAAGACCCTCAAGCGTAAGTCTGTGTGAGTGTGAGAAGGGGAGGAGACTCATGGTGCTTCTCTCCCTCCTCCCAACCCCATGTTCACACTCAGCCCTGGGCCAGGGCTCAGCCCTGGGGTGGGCAGCGGGGACGCCCAGATAGGGCTGTAGGAGCCTGGGCCTTGGGCTGCCCCACCTCTCTGACCTCCCAGTTCTCTCCCAGTCTATCGATCCTCCAGCCCCACCCTCACTGCAAACCCATCCTAGGGAATTCGAGGCCCTGGAGAGCCGGTTCCTGGATGAGGAAGACTGGGGCAGCCGGCAAACCTCGAAGGAAATTAACCACTTGCAGAATGCTTGCATGGGGTGAGCCAGGCCTGGGCAGGGGCCGGCAGGTAGGGTGACAGGACTTTCCCCAAGGAGGTCATGCCTGGGGCTTGCCCCTCTTTCTTCCCTCCTTCCCTGGGCAACTCCGGAGACCTCCTCGCCCGCAGTCTCCTTCCTCCCAAGCATCAGGTCCCTGTATGTTGGTGTGGCCCCCTACAGGTCTGGGGGCCACAGCTCTTTCCTAGCAATTGACTGTGTGCCCACATGCCTGCTTATTGGGCAATCTCCTAATAATCAGCTTAAAAATGAATATCCCAAAAGGCAATTTTGGGGTGGTAAAGCTTTGGTTCCCCTCAATAAGACTGGACTCCGGGTGAGACCCTGGTCGCAGGGGGCAGTGCCAGGTCACACAGCTCATGCAGGAGGCATGGGTTGGGGGTAGGGCTGCCTAGGACAAAGGGCTGCCTGGGGGCTCAGGGGGCATCTCTTTCAACCCTAGACTCCAGGAGTCCATGAGCACTATTCAAGCAGACAATGTGGCCCTGAAGGAGAAGCTGCAAAACCTGGTGAGGCCCTCAGCCAGGACTTCCTGCCTTTGCCATCCTCCTCCCTGCCTCCCAGCCCCACACCCTGCTGGGAGCCTCAGGCAGTCCTGCCACGGTCAGCTACCCACCTCTCACCCCTGCAACCCTTTGTTCTAGCCCAACTTGGTGTACAACATCCTAGTGGAGGAACTGAAGGCTGCCCAGGAGGAAGACCAGGTTGCCCAGGAGGAGGAGGAGGCCAGCCACGAAACATGGCTGTTCCAGGTGGCCAGGCAGCCCCACGGCGAGTGGTGAGGGGGGCACACCTCTCTCCCCTTGCCAGCAACAGCCCAGCGTCCAGAGGAGCCCTGCCCCCTTGTGGCCTGCTGCTGCCCATGACCACAGAAACCAACGTCAGCCTAGAACAGCCCGAGGCCAGAGATGGGCACCTCCTCAGGAAGCCACTCCGACAGCAATAAACTTCCCTAGAGCTGAGCGAGGCCCCCGCGTGTCTTTGAGACCCTGCAAAGCAGGTGGAGCGGGAAGCCACTGGCTCCAAACTGAGCGTGGTTCCTGGAAGCCCTCTGCTGTCTCCCACGTGGTTTGCTGTTGCTGAGCTTCCCCCAACCCTGAGAGGTTCCAGGTCTGGTCCGCGTCAGCCTCAAGGTCCATGTACAGCGATAAGCACGGGGGCGGGACCGGAAGGGGCCACACCCCTTCCGAGGAGGATGGAGGTACCAGGTCTAACTCCAAAGGGCAGATGTTCTAGGGAGGGGCAAGAAGAACCATTCCCCACCTTGTGACCCCCCCTGTGTCAGTCATGTGATGGGGCGGGGGCAGATAGTAAGAGCTTCCCCAGGGCCCAGCACTGTCAGGCTGGAGTTGCATCTGGAATTTGACTCCCCACTCCCCCCCAGCCTTCACCTCCAGCCAGGGCTTTCCCTCCCACAAGACCTCCCTCCCTCCATCTTAGGCTCTCCTTGGCCCGGGCCACCGTGCTGGCCCCTCACCCGCCGCGGACTGGCTTCCTGAGCTTCCAGCGGTGGTCACTGGGTCCTGGCCACCCAGAGGCCTTCAGGGCTTGTGTCCACCAGCCTTGCTGCCCTCAGCCTGTCTAGTCCTAGGGAGCCTTTCCTTCTAGTCCCATGATCCTTTTTTTAAAAAAAAAATATATATTTTATTGATTTTTTACAGAGAGGAAAGGAGAGGGTCAGAGAGTTAGAAACATCGATGAGAGAGAATCATCAATCAGCTGCTTCTTGCACACCCCCCACTGGGGATATGCCCACAACCAAGGTACATGCCCTTGACCGGAATCGAACCTAGGACCTTTCAGTCCGCAGGCCGATGCTTTATCCATTGAGCCAAACCAGTTTTGGCATTCCCGTGATTCTTGATGTAAGGAGAGAGAGAATAGGTAGAATATTCAAAGACTTAGAAATAATTCCCATACAACTAGACAAGGACTGTGCTTCCATCTTTTTGTGTGTTTTTATTTTATTTTTATTTCCTTAAGAGAGATAGCAGCAAGATGACAAAGCTAGTTTAAATGAGAATACAAGAGACTGACACATATATGTAGTCAAGTGCGGGGGGTGTGGGAGAGGAGGAATCCTGAAATTTCCCTAAACTGGATATAAAATTGGTCAGTACCATATAGGGTAATTTTTTTCAAAGCCCTATAAGCCTCAGGGTGACATTACTTACTGGGCAGAAATCCTCCTGTACATCATGGAAAGGACCGGAACCATTTTTCTGCTTTATACCCACTGCAGGGGGCACTAGCCTGCGGGTGGAAATTCAGTTTGTGGCCCTTCCTCAGATCTGACTTAAACCAGACCCCATGACCAGGCCCAGACTGGATTAGAGAAGGATTGGTTTGGTCACAGCTTCAGGCTGAGCTGAGCCGAGCTCTGCTTAGCAGCCCACCCCTCCCAAGACCCACCCTTCTTGCCTGATGGCTTTAGGTGCCCAGGCATCCCTCATATCACTTCTGACCAGTTCCAGACCCCTGTGCCAGCCGACCAGTGACCCGTTTTCCCGAAGGGAATCATCGATGCTGAGACTAAGGGAGGATAGTTGGACCAGCAGCCTGATGGGTAAATAGATGTAACCACTTAAGGCCTTCTACCTACAATACCTAGTCATCAGGTGGCCCCGCTGAGCGGCTTCCTTCAGAAACCTCCGGCACCTCAGCCTGCGAAAGCAAGCCCACGTGGCTAATTGGTAAGACTCCGCCGTAGGAAATGGAGTCTGTTACAGAGCCCCTCCCGCCTCCCCAGTGTCTCTAAACCACAGAAATTGCTGACAGATGCCCTAAGCGCATCCTGGCTACTGCCCAGTGGCCCGGGGCCCCAACACTGCCCTGAGCTCAGTCCCTAACACCCACTCCTGCTGACACCAAGGCCCCCCAGTACTGCCCCCCAGTCAGCAAGGCCCTTTCAAGGGGAGCTTGGCCTGGGCCCTAGGGCCCTACCAGTCTCCTCTCTCTCTCTCTCTCTCTCTCTCTCTCTCTCAGGCTACTGTATCAGTCACAAGCTTGGCTCAGTCTTCCAGGCCTGTTATTAAGACACTGGGGCTGCACCCAGCTGGTGTGCTCAGCGGTTGAGCATTGACCTATGAACCAGGAGGTCAACAGTTCGATTCCCAGTCAGGACACATGTCTGGGTTACAGGCTCAATCCCCAGTGGAGATGTGCAGGAGGAAACCATTCAATGATTCTCTTATCATTGATGTTTCTCTCCTCCCTTCCTCTCTGAAATCAATAAAAATACACTTTTTTTTAAAAGACACCGAGGGTGGGTTAGAAAACAAAAAAGAAAACCAAAGACACCAGGGCTGGGTTGGCACACCTTCCTGTGTGTCTCCGTGGCCCCATCTCTCCTGTGAGGCATGGTGTCTGAGAGGTGGTACAGCTCCTGGCTGAGGCTGCCTGAGATGCGGCCTCTCCCCGAATCCCAGTCTCAGCCGGGCCAATTGTTAGCATCCAGTGAATGTCGGCGTTCTGAGCTGACCTCCCGTGGATCTACCCACCCGAGAGGCCCAGTGGAGGAGGTTGGGGTAGCTGTGCTCCCTGCAGGCTCCCCATTCCTGCCCAGCCTAAAAGTTCTGCCATTCCTGCCTGTGGATGCCCGGCCCTGCAGTCTGGCAGCATCACCTCCATCCGTGGCATCAGCTTCAGACACATGTGCTGTGAGGGCACCTGTGCGACGCAGGCCCCGCCCATGGCTGGCTGCCGGTGTGTTGGGGTCTGTTTCCAGGTGGTGGTGTATCCCTGTTGTTGCCCTGGACATGCCTTAAGTCCCGGCAGCTGGACTTAAGGAGCTGAGCTGCTTCAGGCGGCTTTCCTCCATTCTGCAGGGGCCTGGAGGGCGCCTCCTGAGCTCTCCTCCAAAAGACGAGGGAGCCGGGCCAGGATGAACTCAGGATTCTTCTGAAGGCTCAGCAGGACTTACTGTAGACCCAAGGCAGAATACGAGAGAAAGCAGAGTAAAATGTAACTCCAAGATTTTTATATAAAAAATGAAATAAAGCCCTAGCAGAAATCGGTTTGGCTCAATGGATAGAGCATCGGCTTGGGGACTGAAAGGTCCCAAGTTCGATTCCGGTCAAGGGCATGCACCTTGGTTGCGGGCACATCCCCAGTAGGGGGTGTGCAAGAGGCAGCTGATGGAAGACTCTCATTGATGTTTCTAACTATCTCCCTTCTTCTCTGTACAAAATCAATAAAATATATTTTTAAAAAAATAAAAAATAAAGTCCTTGCCGGTTTTGCTCAGTGGGTAGAGTATCTGTCTGTGAACTGAAGGGTCCCAGGTTCGATTCTGGTCAAGGGCACATGCCCAGGTTGTGGGCTCAATCCTCAGTGGGGGACTTGCAGAGGATGTATTTTTATTGATTTCAGAGAGGAAGGGAGAGGGGGAAAGAAAGAAAAACATCAATGATGAGAATCATTGATCAGCTGCCTCCTGCACACCCTGCCTACACAGGGGATTGAGCCCAAAATCCAGGAATGTGCCCTGACCGGAATCTAACCATGACCTCCTGGTTCACAGGTCGACTCTCAACCACTGAGCTATGCCAGCCGGGCAAACTTTATTGAAGTTGACCTTTTTAAGAGCAGTTTTAGCAGAATGGTGGGTAAAGCCCCAAGCTGAGCAGCCTCAAGAGAGAACGGAGGCAGGAATTGGGGACAAACACGGATAACTCACTGAGTTTTACCATAAAAGGGAACAGGACATTGGAAGTTACTGGAGGAGCAAGTGGAACTGAGAGATTTTGAAGAGATGGTGTTCCACACATGAATGGTGGGAGCGATCCCCTGAAGAGTTTGCAGAGCAGGGTGGCTTCCTGGGGCCATTGTTGAGCAGTGAGGGTGGTGGCTCTGGTGTGAGGTAGAGGTTGGTCCTGGATGGGCACAAACCATTCACCCACAGTGACAGGAGAGGGCCAGGGAGACGGTGGGCTGAGCAACTCAAGTGGTGAAGTTCCCTCTGACTTTCTCAGTGAAACAGGGAAGCGGAAGGGCGGGGGGACGGGGGGAAGGTAAGAATCAGTCAAAGGACTTGTATGCATATAAGCATAGCCAATAGACAGCAGGGGGTGAGGGCCTGTGCTGGGGGCCGGAGGTGGGCAGGAAGAGGTCATGGGGGATAAAAGACGTAAGGCTTTCTATGATAAATAATTTAAATAATTTTTTTTAAAATATATTTTTTTGATTTTTCACAGAGTGGAAGGGAGAGGGATAGAGAGCTAGAAACATCGATGAGAGAGACATCGATCAGCTGCCTCCTGCACACCCCTCACCGGGGATGTGCCCACAACCAATGCACATGCCCTTGACCAGAATCAAACCTGGGATCCTTCAGTCCGCAGGCTGACGCTCTATCCACTGAGCCAAACTGGTTTCAGCTAAATAATTTAAATAAAAAGAAGCAATCAATTCGGTGGGGAGGGAAGCACAGTGAGTGACTGAGTGGGAGGAGGTGACTTTGTTAGAGGCTTGAGAACAGAGGAGAGGGTGTGGCATCACCATCCAGGAGCCTGGAGGGCGAGTGAGTGGGCCAGGGAAGATGGCAGGAGGGCCTGATGAGGGGTGGGTCATACATTTAAAGCAAGATCCACGGGGTCGTGTGGCTCTGCAGGCACATAGGGTGAGGGTGCAGGTGCAGAGTGGGGGTGGGATGGATACAACCAGGTTGGGGCTTTTCCCCAGTGGCTGTGACCAAAACAGAGAAGGTCACGAGGGGTGAGAGGCTTTGCAAGGGACTGAGACTGGGCAAGGAGGGAGGTGAGTCCCTGTGGGAGGTGAGGGAGAAAGCAAGGAGCTGGCACAGATGGATTGGCAGTCCTGGAGAGACCAGAGACCTCAGAGTCAGCCCGGTCCTGGGAGTGAGGCGAGAAGATAAAGGGAAACAAATGCATTGGCTACCTCACGTGATTGTCATCAGCACCCACAATTCAAAAAGCTCAGGGAGGGGCCACACCACCCAACTAAGACGGGGGAAGGAAGATTGATCAAATTAACGTCTGCTGCTACAGAGTGTAAATACCAGCTGACTCCCACAGCCTGCGCCAGAGTTCTCGGGCCTCTCTCTCTCTCACACACACACACACACACACACCACTACACTCAGGTGGAGTAGCCCACTCAGATGTCACATACTCTTGTCCAGGTGTCGTGTTTGTAACTTCACAAGCTCAAGGGACTAAATCCTTCCAGGAGGGGGTGGGGTGGGACCATAAAGCTGTACCTTGTGGTGCCCTCAGCATGTCTCCGCCTCAATTATCAGCTGACCTTGGCAGTCCCACTGCCTTCCTGGTGGTAACTGTCCTCCTGGGTCCTTTCCACTGACAGGCTTCTGATAAGATCCAAGGTTAATAACCTGGTGCTAATAACCATCATGTCCCCGAAGGCACTGATCCACTCCCCCGTCTCCCCTCCCCCACCTCCAGGCCTCCTATGCTAACACAAGGGAGATGGCATGGCGGGGCCTGGGGCAAGTGAGCAGAAAGGTGGCTGCCCCTAGAGGGGGCTGTGGATCTCACACACACACACACAGTCCACCACGGCCCAGCTCCCTCAGCTCTTCAGACATCTGGGCCTGTCAATGGGCAGCAGCCTGGCCGGGGCCAAGGCAGGATAACA